TAAGAGAATTGACCAACCATTAAAAAAATAGCAAGAAGAACACATGCTCTTTATATAAGGCTAACGCCTATACATAGGAAAATGGTCAAAAATCCTACAGGTAATCTATTGATTTCATGTTTGTTTCGATTTATATGGTTATCAAATTATATATTGAATGCTAAGATTTCTTATTTTACTAATTCCTATACAAGACTTCAATTTGAGATAAATAACTTACAAACTAAGAGAAAATAGATGGTGAAGATCTATCAAACATGCCAAAAATCATTATAATCGTCTTCAGGTGATGCGTTTCGTAGACTTTTCAGGTTTATTGATATTACAGTATTTCAGTTTTCTTCATGTATGATAATGTTAAAAAAATCCAAATGTATTTCTTATATTGGAGTTTAATTTTATTGACAATTGTTAAAGTGTTTGTCATTGGAAACCTATCATATAAATGTGAATATTGTGGAGTTACGATGGGAAGGGCGGAAGTAGTACCAAACCCACTAGAAATTCCAATCAACCGAAGTTTTCATTGTGTTTCAAATAAGGAAAAGTGAACCTCCCTCCTTCAGAGGTTTTGAATATTCTATTCTAAGCAAATATTTCAATGCGATGTCACCTTTTGGAACATATCATAGGGTAATAGGGTTGTCAGATAACTTTTGTTGGAGGTAAATTGACTGATAGAAAAATTATGGATGCAGAGCATATGTTTATTCGATTTAAGGTCAAGTAAATCATCTAATCGATAGCATGTTACGGATTATCAAATAAGGTTGCAACAACATTACTACCAAGGTCTTTTGGAGGGAAGAGGTTCAGGTTAAGGTAAAGGACCTCACTTTGCATTTCATCGATGCAAAGATAAAAATGGGAAATTGTAAGAAAGACTGGAGGCTCACAGGGGTTTATGGATGGCCAGAATCACAAAATAAGCACCTGAATTGTGAGATGCTTGAGAGATTAAGTAAGCAAGTAAATATACCCTGGGTGGTGATGGGAGACTTTAATCTCATCACTGACTACTATGAGAAAAGTGGTAGCAAAGAGCCTGATGTGAAGGAAATGGACATGTTTAGGAAGTGCCTGGAAAACTGTGGTTTGGAAGACTGTGGCTACTATGGCAGAACCTTTACGTGGGAAAACAATAGAGAGGAGGAGGATTACATGGAAGAAAGGCTGGACAGGGTGGTAGGCAACAAGGATTGGCTACATTGCTACCCTAACATGAGGGTCTACCATCTGGATAGGTGTGGATCGGACCATATCCCTCTACAGGTTAAGCTTGTACTGGAGGAAGAAGAGGTAACATGAGGCTGGTCGTTCAGATATGAAAGGTACTGGGAACGACATGAGGATTGCTGAATGTCATTAAGGAAGGTTGGCAGGAGTTAGGAGGCAGCTCTATCCTGGATAGAGTCAAGAACTGTGAAACGAAGTTGAGGTCATGGAGCAAAACAACTTTTGGATCACTCAAGCAACGTAGAATAAAAACTGAGAAAGCCATAAAGGTGTTGAGGAACAGGAAGAGAACGAAAGCAGTGTTAGCTCAGAAGAGGATTCTTGAGCATGAACTGAATGATATCCTACGACAGGAGGAATTGAAATGGAGGCAACGTTCAAGAGCAGAATGGTTGAAGTCTGGGGATCTAAACACAGGTTATTTTCATAGGAAGGCTTCAGAACGCAGGAAAAGAAACACTATTCGAAGGCTAAAGGACACCACGGGGAGGATCTTTACTGGATAGGAAGGGGTCACTGAATGCTTAGTCAGCTACATGCGAACTTTGTTTGCCTCTGGGAATTACACTGGATCAAGCAGGGTGATGGAGGCGGTTGAAAGAAGAATCACGTTAGAAATGAACGAGGCCCTCCTAGCGCCATTCACTGATGAAGAGATATGGCAAGCCCTAAAGCATATGGGACCCGACAAGGCTCCAGGGTTTGATGGCATGCCAGCCAGGTTTTTCCAGAAAAATTGGGTTGTTGTGGGACCAGTGGTCTCAAGTGAACTACGAGGCTACCTAGAGAGTGGGGAGTTCCCCCAAAAATTGAACCATACTCTAGTGGATCTTATACCAAAAACAAAAGACCCAAGCTCCCCTCTTGATTTTAGACCTATTAGTCTATGCACAGTGCTTTACAAAATAATGGCAAAGGTCTTGGCAAATAGGCTAAAAGCAATTTTGAATCAAGTGGTGAGTGAGCAACATAGTGCTTTTGTGTCAGGAAGGTACATAACTGATAATGTTTTGGTGGCTTTTGAATGCTTCCATGCTATGAAACAGAAGAAGAAGAACAAGAAAGGGTTGTTGGCTGCCAAGTTGGATATCTTAAAGGCATATGACAAGATTGAATGGGGCTTTCTGGAAATGATGATGAGAAAATTGGAATTTGATGAGAGATGGATCAGCATGATCATGAACTGTGTAAAAACAGTATCTTATTCCCTCCTAGTCAATGGACATCAAACTGAAGTTTTTAAACCAGAAAGGGGATTGAGACAAGGGGATCCACTATCCCCTTATCTGTTCCTTCTCTGTGTGGAGGGGCTCTCGGCGCTAACACAGAAGGCTGTAAGGGAAGGTAAGATACATGGGGTGAAAGTCTCACACAGAGCACCAGAGATCTCTCATCTGCTATTTGCAGATGACAACATATTTTTCACCAGAGCTACTATTCCTGAGTGCAAGCAACTCAGAGACATACTCAGGACCTATGAAGAAGAGTCGGGACAAAAGGTAAATCTGGAGAAGTCTGAACTGAGTTTTAGCCCAAACCTCAGACAGGAACAGCGGCAAACTCTGGCTATGACTATGGGAATGAAACAGGTTGAATACCATGGGAAATACCTAGGTCTGCCTACTGTAATTGGAAGGGAGAAGAGATCAGTTTTTGCAAACCTCGTTGATAGAGTCAGAAAAAAGGTGAAACATTGAAAAAACCAAACTCTCTCAATTGCAGCAAAGGAGGTGCTAATGAAAGCAGTGACCCAATCACAAGTCACATACACTATGTCTGTGTTTCTGGTGCCAGAGGGGATCATAGATGAAATTCGTAGAGTTGTATCAAGCTTCTGGTGGGGACAGCGCAAAGAGGAGAGAAGAATACCTTCGAAAAGCTGGAAGAAACTATGTAGACCAAAGGAAGAGGGAGGTATGGGGTTCAAAGACCTAAAGATTTTCAACCTGGCTATGTTAGGGAAACAACTCTGGAATTTAATGACAAAGCCAGACTCGTTAGCAGCAAGGGTTCTCAAGGCAAAATACTACCCTAACGGGGAGGTAATGCAAGCCCAATTGGGGAATAACCCGAGCTATACCTGGCGAAGTCTGCTCATAGCGCAGGAAATGGTGAGTGAAGGGTTGAGATGGAGGGTGGGAAATGGTGAAAAGGTGGAGATATGGAGGGACAAATGGATTCCTGAAGCTCAGGAGGAGAATTATAAGGTGACATCACCCCCACAGAGTGAAGTAACCAAGGTCTCCGAGTTTATGGACACTGAAACAAGAACTTGGAAACGAAACCTTCTCCAACACATTTTCAACAGTGTGGATAGAGCACGAATTGAAAGCATCCCCATCCCTAGACAACCCTCTAATGATGTACAGGTCTGGAGCCATGAGAAAAATGGCAGGTACTCAGTCAAATCGGCATACAAGTTCTGGTATAAACATAGCCAGCAGAACAGGACGCAGGTGGAAGAGGGTGTGGAAGGTAATGGAGAGGAAGAGCTGCAGGAGGAGGTGGAATTCTATGACCCTATGGACTGGAAAAGGCTGTGGAAATTGACGATACCCCCGAAAGTCAAAATCTTCCTATGGAGAATGATACACAATATTCTACCCACTGGGAAGAATATAGCAGAAAAGAAAGAAGATGCTCCAACTGAATGCCCTTTCTGCAATTTAGAAGAAACTCAAGAACACATTTTCAGGAAATGCCAATGGGCCAGCAGGATATGGAGACCTACTGATTTCAGAGGCCTTTTCGAGATGGAGGAAGACCTATCCTGCGGATCATGGTGGTGTGAGGTTATGGAAAAAGGAGATTATGAGGTGGTTGAGCAAATGGGGATGATCCTATGGTATCTATGGAATGAGCGCAACAATCAAATGTTCAACAACAGCAAGATGGAAGAATGGGAAATCGTGGGAAGAGCCCTAAACCACTGGGAGGAATTCAAATCCTATCACGAAGGCGAAATGAAAGAGAAGGCAGAGGAAACAATTACCTGGACGAGACCACCGGCGGATTGGATTAAAGTGAATGTCGATGCGGCGACCTTCGCCGGGACTGGAAGTGGATATGGTGCGGTGGCGAGGGATGAGGGAGGGGTCTTCCTTGGTGCGTCTATCATAGTAGAGTTAATGTTCTCGCAAGAGTTTTCTTGTTGAAACAACATATAATTTATGGTGAATGTGATCTCATTAGATAATCGGTTTGTTGTTTCTTATAACAAATATTTGTTGTAGCGATTCCAAACATATATAAGTTGTTCATCTCATTTTATTTTTATATCCTCATTAAATTAATCTTACATAATGTTTCAATTACTTTGGTCTCCTATAGTTTTGTTTCTAATCCATTTTCACTATTTATTCGTTATTCGTATTGTCACCGTAACAGTGTAGTTACTATATTATGATGCGATATCAAGCGGTTATGTTTAGCCATTTTTTTCTGAAGGGGAATACTTAACCATATTCTCATGGGCTATGATTAGAACTGCTTTATTATTAATATTGTCATTACCATATTAGTATTGTGTATTTATAGATAGTGGTTTTGTGAAATTGCGGGAATGTGACTATGTGAGGCGTGTGTTAGGTTTATGTTTATTTTATTTTGTGATTTAGGTCAAGTGTACTATTATTTTTCTTCATACGCTAGGCCAAGCGAACAGAATTATCACCAAAATTCCAATAAATTTCTTTTGGAAATATATAAATCAAAATATGGTGAAACCAAATTTCAAGAGTCAATATATAACGCTTCATAGTTCAATAGATTTTTCAACTTTATTATTATATTTTATTTGAATATTTCTAAGTCATATGATTAATTTACTATGTTATCTGTGGCTATCAAGTATTTGTTCAAATATATCAACAAACCTGCAGATTGAATAATGTTGACTTTGACATCTAAACCAGGTGGTAATGAAAACAATACCAAAACCAAGAAATATCTTTAGCAACTTGCGTTTGCATTAATGAGACTAAAGCATTTTTGGATCGTCGCTACGTAACATCATGTGAGACATGTTGGAGACTTTATATTAGCTTTAATTCACCTTCTGTGTTGCGTATAAGCATATGTTTGAGGAGAATGACTAAGAATTAAGCGTCTTAGTTGATGAAGGTCAGCAAATGATCTAGAATGGCCTTTATCGATGTATAAAAATCTTAATTAAGGACTTAGGCTAGCATGTAATTAAGGATCCTTGGGGAATTTGTTAGTTTATAGTCGAGTATGATTGACCAAAGATAAAAGATTATTTGGTGAAATATTTTATACTTTAATTATCTTGAATTAAACATGAAGAATGTTTAACTAGGATTTAGACCCGATATAAAGATTTATTAAAAAAGATAAAATTTTTCTTTATTGAAGCCAAATGGCACAAGCGCAAGCGCAACTCGAGCGTCGGATGTCTTGATGAGGCACTTGTTGGTGAACACCACCCCCAAAGCCAGTATCACGCTGATGCTCCAATACAAGAAACCATAAAAAAACTATGTACATGGCTGGTTTCAAGTAGTACAAAGCAAAGCTCAGAAGCTTGTTCACCATCACGACGATTCCTACCACCTGAGCTCTCACCTTGAATGGTAGTGCCTCGGTACTGTGCACCATTGTAAGTGGGCCCAAGCCCACAGAGAAGGACGCGTAGAATGCTGCCACAACCCACTTGTTCACCATCTTAGCCACTCCCCTATTTCCGACTTTGTACCTCAACAACATTGATGTCATGTTAACCAAAATCATCGAGAATGCTACTTTCATAATTACCCTAATACTAATACGGAAATTACCTAGGCTAAGGGCTTTTCAAGAGTGTTTGAACAATGTCGACTTTGACATCTAAACCAGGTGGTAATGAAAAACAATACCAAAACCAAGAAATATCTTTAGCAACTTGCGTTTGCATTAATGAGACTAAAGCATTTTTGGATTGTCGTTACGTAACATCATGTGAGACATGTTGGAGACTTTATATTAACTTTAATTCACCTTCTGTGTTGCGTATAAGCATATGTTTGAGGAGAATGACTAAGAATTAAGCGTCTTAGTTGATGAAGGTTAGCAAATGATCTAGAATGGCCTTTATCAATGTATAAAAATCTTAATTAAGGACTTAGGCTAGCATGTAATTAAGGATCCTTGGGGAATTTGTTAGTTTATAGTCGAGTATGGTTGACCAAAGATAAAAGATTATTTGGTGAAATATTATATACTTTAATTATCTTGAATTAAACATGAAGAATGTTTAACTAAGATTTAGACCCGATATAAAGATTTATTAAAAAAGATAGAATTTTTCTTTATTGAGAAACTCGAACTAACAACCTCGGCAAAAACTAATTAGTGGGTAAAGGCATATGGCTATAAATACATATCTCACATACTAATTGCTACTCCTACTGTTGTTTACGGACTTGACGAAAACAAGTTTACAATTATCTAAAATTTAAGATTAAGAATGCTTAACTAAGATTTAGACCCGAGGTAAATAAATATGAACAAAGAGAGAATTTGTTCTTTCTTAAGAAACTCGAACTAACAACCTCGGGCAAAACTATCATAAAGGCCTATAACTATCATAAATACATATCTCGCATACTAATTGCGACTGTTGTTTACGAAGTTGACGAAATGCATCCGGCCAACTGGCCGGGCCCGTCACTAGTTAAAGAGAGAGGCAGACGAGATTGAGAACGTTGTTCTAGTTAAACTCTCCTATGATAAGAAATTGGGCCGATGATACTGAAAGTTCTTACCATGGACTCGTGGAAGTTTGGATCAGCAAATCTCCAAACCGTTGAGCGGACCCCAAACCAATTGAAAACATAGGCCCAAAAGAGTATTGTGTTTGAACTTGGGGATAATTACGTACCTTTTTTATGATGAAACAAAGATTCGAATTAATCAAAAAAGGAAAATGAAACACAGAAAATTAGTGTAGTAGTCTGTCTTTGATCGATTCATCTGCTTCACATGTTTACGTTTGATATACAATAATGTAATGTGGAGATGATGATCAATAAATAAAGGTATCTAGCTTTTTGAGATCTTCTCAAGCTTGCCCTCTGCAATTTTCATACTCTGTACTAATAAGGACAAGCAAAGCCCAAACGTACGTATATGAAAATCCTTACATTGACTGAACATTGTTATCAGAGTCTCAAATACATAATATTTTACATCTGATATCCATACAACATAGGCGGAGGCAGGGTACTTGGGAACTGTCCTAGGACACAGATGAAATTTGGGGTAGAAAAAATATCACATATGTGTTTGTCAAGTATGGAACCTTTCATCTTTTGGATAATGAATGAGTACTCTATCACTACACTAAAGATTATTTCTTGTTTGTCTATGAACAAACTATTTATATATAATTAGTTTAATGTTTTTATTTATTTATATTATGCGAAGAGTCACAAGTATTTTCAAAACCTGGCTCTACCACTAAATACAACTATGCTTAGCTAGGTGATCATAAACACTCGTAGATCAATCCTTTGGATCGTCGTTACGTAACATCATGTGAGATATGTTGGAGACTTTATATTAACTTTAATTCACCTTCTGTGTTGCGTATAAGCATATGTTTGAGGAGAATGACTAAGAATTAAGCGTCTTAGTTGATGAAGGTCAGCAAATGATCTAGAATGGTCTTTATCAATGTATAAAAATCTTAATTAAGGACTTAGGCTAGCATGTAATTAAGGATCCTTGGGGAATTTGTTAGTTTATAGTCGAGTATGGTTGACCAAAGATAAAAGATTATTTGGTGAAATATTATATACTTTAATTATCTTGAATTAAACATGAAGAATGTTTAACTAGGATTTAGACCTGATATAAAGATTTATTAAAAAAGATAGAATTTTTCTTTATTGAGAAACTCGAACTAACAACCTCGGCAAAAACTAATTAGTGGGTAAAGGCATATGGCTATAAATACATATCTCACATACTAATTGCTACTGCTACTGTTGTTTACGGACTTGACGAAAACAAGTTTACTATTATCTAAAATTTAAGATTAAGAATGTTTAACTAAGATTTAGACCCGAGGTAAAGAAATATGAACAAAGAGAGAATTTGTTCTTTCTTAAGAAACTCGAACTAACAACCTCGGGAAAAAACTAATTAGTGGTTAAAGGCCTATAACTATCATAAATACATATCTAGCATACTAATTGCAACCGTTGTTTACGAAGTTGACGAAATGCATCCGGCCAACTGGCTGGGCCCGTCACTAGTTAGAGAGAGAGGCAGACGAGATTGAGAACGTTGTTCTAGTTAAACTCTCCTATGATAAGAAGCTTGTTCAAGTAGTACAAAGCAAAGCTCAGAAGCTTGTTCACCATCACGACGATTCCTACCACCTGAGCTCTCACCTTGAATGGTAGTGCCTCGGTACTGTGCACCATTGTAAGTGGGCCCAAGCCCACAGAGAAGGACACGTAGAATGCTGCCACGGCCCACTTGTTCACCATCTTAGCCACTCCCCTATTTCCGACTTTGTACCTCAACAACATTGATGTCATGTTAACCGAAATCATCGAGAATGCTGACTTTCATAATTACCCTGATACTAATACAGAAATTACCTAACTTCTAAGACTCTGATAAGGAATATAACTCTGACCAGTTACATAACAATACTTATAGTATAACACACTACTACTCATACTACACATACTCTAATAGAAGTTGTTGTATATTATTACTGAAATCACATAGGATTTATATAGAGTATAGAGACGGACGTCTATAATAACCCTAACACTAATATGGAAGTTACCTAACTTCTACGATTATGATAATGAATATAAATCTTACCAGTTATATAACAATACTCGTAGTAAAACACAATACTACTCGTACTACACATACTCTAATAGAAACGATTGTCTATTATTACTGAAAGCACATATGATTCATATAGAGTAGATATATTGACTTCTATAATAACGCTTACAAGGAAATTGCCTAATTTCTACGACTCTTATAAGTAATACAACTCTGACCGATTACATAACAATACTCGTAGTGTAACACAATCCAACTCGTACTACACATACTCTAATACATCTAACCCAAATCGAAGGAGTAAGACCCGAAGAAGGCAACCATGCTCACCTTGTACACCAACTTAATACGTCTCAGACTTACCTCATTCTTCAAAAGCGTGGTCACATGTTGATGAACGTCATCGAGGACACTGCCCCAGCCAAGCTGTACCACACCAGTGGGGCACGTTCGACCACGTCTGAGATGAACAACAACACAAAGATCAGGTCAGCCTATTGCACAAAGGCAGGAGTTGTTCAATCAGATAGTCGAACGACTTGAACACGGGCTTGTCGCGAGGGAACATCACCAAGGATCAATCAGCGGGAGCAGTAGGGCCTAAGCTCAACCCGAGCATCGGAGCGCCTCGGAGGTGTGCACCGTCGTCATCGGGCCCAAGCTGATGGACAATGACGCAAAGAAGGCCATGACGCTCCACTTATTCCCCACGGTAGCCGCTCTTAGGTTGCCGACCTTGTAGTTCAGGAATGCTGAGGACATGTTGACGGAGATTATCGAGAAGGACGCCGCCCCCAAGTTGTAGGCCACGAGTAGGGTATGTCTGATGGTGTCCGACACGAACAAGGGCCCGAAGATCGGGAGCAGCCTCCCGCACATAGGTAGGAGCTGCTCCATCAAGTAATCCATCGGACTGAACACCGGACTGTCGCGGGCAAAGGTCAGCAGGGACTTGCTTGTCAGGACATATATCCCTGACAACTGGTGGAGGCTCTCGACAAAGAGGATGGAGGAAATTCACTTCATCAGGGCCGGATGGATCAGGGGCCGACGCAGCTCCCGCCAAATCGCCAGGACGCGAATGTCCTGCGCCATGGCATCAAAGTTCTCGTCCCCCCAGTCGGAGGGATTCTCGCCGCCTCTCTCAGCACCAACAACCACACCTCAACGTCATCTGCAGCCTTCAGTGTCCGCTGCAGGACGAGTTTGGCATCCGCCACCCTCGCTCGCCGCACCAGCCAACAGGGGGACTCGGGCATGAATGTCATCCCCGCCCCTAAAATCAGGGATGGCATGATGCCCACACCGAGCATCACCCTCCACCGGGTGGTCGTTGCCAGATCCCGGACCGCGACTTGTGTCAACACGGCCAGCCACAGTCCCAGGACCGAAACTATCTGCAAGGCAAAGGGAAAATATGTACATTTACACATCATTACTACGCACATTACATTACATTACACTCTAATGTCAACAAGAGAATAAAAAACCAGTGAAAACTAACGAGCTTGAAACACTACCAAATAAATTGGTTGTCGGCGCCGAACCCAGAGACGAGGCAGGCGAGGAACGCCACGTACTTGGTGTCATCGTGGAAGTGGGCCCTCTGTGCCGCCGACATCTGGAGATCGTTGCCAGGGCCGTCCAATGGGTCGTGGAAGCCCTGTTTCAAATTTGAGATGTGGTTCAAATTGATTTTTAATTATAATAAATTAAAATATTTTTTATAATGGTTATAATAAATTAAAATATTTATATCGTAATTATTTGAAATGTAATTTCATTCAAGCATTGTTTAAAATAAAATTATCTATTATGCCTCTAATTTACGTATTCTCAATAGGATAATTTCAATTGTTATCGTAGCTATTTCATTAAAATTTTCTTCTATTATCTTTTAAAACAAATAGGATATGTATAGTGTATATATAAGTGTCTAATGTATATATACATGAGAATAGTAACCAATGGTTAACATTAATATTAATTAATATAATTAAATTTGTTATCATATTCATAATCAATTAATTATATACTACAAATACAACCTACAATATACGATTGGGTAACTAACAAATTCACGTGGAGGCCCCTAATAATCGGAGGCCCTGTGCCGGAGTGCCGCTTGGCACACCCTCTTGGCCTGCCTGATCGCCGCCCATCGTCGTCGTCGCTCCCAGAAGAAGAGGGCAGGTCTCTGAAAAACAACAATTGGAGAGAATGAGATTTTGTTTACTGAAAGACGAAATAATGTTTTTTTCGTGGGACGACTGTGATGGCTGATTGATTGCTTACCGTAGCTAAAAGTGAAGATGAGGGAGGCCTGGGAGGCGACGAGGGAGAGAAGCAGCGTGAGCTTCTTGAGGTCGCCGGCGGCGGACATTTGGACAGGGGATCGCGTGAAGTTTTCTGATAGAGGAATTTGGGAGAGAGAGAGAAAGTGTTTCAAACCCTGTTCCTCGTTTACTGTTGCTTTTCTTCCTTACTTTCATTCTTGCTAATTTCCTTGTTTGGCTTCCTGTGTAGCATTGCTGCCTTGGCTACAAACTTAGCAATGGCTTCCTTGTGGACAGAGGTGGTAAGGGGAAGCAAGTGATGTGGATTCACACGTAGCAGAAGCTTTGCTGTTTTACGGGCAAAGTTTTGAAAAGTGTAACTTTCCTAAGATTCCCACCTAAAACGATAAACCCTAGTAGTATCTGTACTCATTGAAAAACAAGTTTGAGGACTCATCATCTATATTAGTGATTCTTGTACTTGATCTTTTTTTGTGATGATTGGATTGTTGTTTAGTTTCTCATTACCATTTTCTCGCATAATTTAGCACAATAGTGAATGTAGAGGCGGTAAATCGACATCAAACACTCGTCCAAAAGCACTTGGCAACACAACACTGAAGGATTCAGGGCCTGGACTCTGTTATCAAAAGCTTTGAGGAAGTTATCCTTCTCCCGACTTCTTTTCCGCAGCCGGCGATCTGCGATAAAGTGACGGTATCCGAGTACGGCGATTCCGGCCCGGTGCTAGGTCGTCTCCTGGAGGCGTAGGACGACGAACTCGGCCTGCCTTCGATGCTCGCCGCCGGTAAGGGTGGTGAAATAAATGAGATCTTGGCCCGATCTGCGATTTCAGCCGACTCTAGAAGAGTAAAGGATACTTCCTTCCTTTAGTCCCTCTGCTAATTTGAGGCAATTTCCCTTTGGAGATCGGCAAAATCAAATCTGCCCCTTTTACAAGATCTGCAGTGGCGAGAGCTCCGGGAGAGGATCCTTGCCTCATTCAAAATCTGCTTTCCAGGATAAAACCGGTCTCCTCTCAACAACGTGAGAGCGCTCCTCCCATCACAAGTCCAGCTTCTCTTCTCAAAGTCGGAAGTCCTTTGCTCCAGCTTAGATGCCGTATCCCCGACTGTTTCTCCGAAACCATTTCTGCAGGAAATTAAACTGATCTGAGGTTTGGAAAGTGTCGGGTAGTTAAAGTTCTCTCTCAGCTTGTCTCTTGTGTTTGATTGGTAAAAAAAAGAGAGTTGCAGAAAATCTCGGAAAAAAAAAGTTGTACTATATCAGAAGCTTTGAAAGCTCTGTCTATCAGACCTTACACGGCCTGCGTAGGTACCCGATTTCGGACCTCTCCTCCTATACAAACCCTCTGAGGGTTGTAAAACGCTCGAATCACTCCGACAAAGAGCTGACTGGCTGTCTATTGAGCTAAGGGATTAGGATCATTTATTTTTTCTTAAATATTGCTTTCACCTCCAATTAACGGATGGGAATACTTTTTTGGAATTGTCGTGGTATCGGTCCCATCACTACAACGAGATCATTGAAAGAGATTGTGAACCGATTTGCTCCATATTTATTGTTTCTGAGTGAGACCAAAAATAAAGATGATGAAGTTAAAAAGACAATTCAACTAATTGGTTTTAAGGAGATTGAATTAGTAAGCGCCGTAGGATCATCAGGTGGACTAGCGGTAGTTTGGAAACCCGACGTCCAATGTTCTATTATCGGAAGGGATCGCCATTTCTTTCATATAGAATGTCAACATCCTGAGTTGGGGATCGCCTCCTTTATTTTTGTTCATCTTAGTTGTGAGACAAGAAGCAGGGAATCCCAATTGAATGGCATTTCCAGCCTAGTCATAGCTTGCTCCCATCCAATCTTCGTGCTAGGGGATTTCAACTGTATCCTCCAGTCATCTGAAAAGACAGGGGGTAGGAGCCCTGCCTTTACAACTCTTGACCAACTAAGAGATTTCTGCTCTCAAGCTGGGTTACAGGATATGGGATTTTGTGGTCCCCAGTACACTTGGTCTAATCGTCAATCGACAGAGGACCACATTATGGTCAGACTCGATAGAGTTCTTGGATCCTCCCTCATTCTCAACACTTAGCCTCAAGCTCAATTAACTCACCTAACGGACTCGGGATCTGATCATCGAATGATCATTTTACATCTCGAATCTCAAATTAAATTGGGTAGGAGTCGCTTTCAATTTGATCGTCGGTGGACAAGTAATTCTAAAACCAAAGAAAAAGTGCTTGGAAATTGGTGGGACCAAGTAAATGGTACAAGACAATTTAAGTTCTTTACCCAATTAAAAGGTGCTCGATATAACCTTGTTGAGTGGATGTCTAAAGGAACCACCAACTCAGCTCGTCAGATTAGAGAAATAAGAGATGCTATTGACAAAGCTCGAGATACCCCCTCAGTGGATTGGGATTTGATCAGATCACTAGAAACCCAGTTAACCTCAATCTATCTACAAGAGGAAATTTTCTGGAAACAAAAATCGAGAATGACCTATCTTCAATTTGGGGACTTAAATACTCATTTCTTCCATCAATCCACTATTCAAAGGAGGAAAAACATTATTAAAATTCTTAAAGATGATAATGGAAATCCCCATTCAGACGAACAAAGTAAAGCTTCAATATCTATAGGCTTTTTTGTCCACCTTTTCACGTCAAATGGAGTAGATTCACTTCTTATGGTGGCTAACCTAGGTCTTGTCAGTAAAGTGGATCCCTTCATGAACTCCTCCTTAACAACCCTGGTTTCTCGAGAGGAAATTAAGAGTGTTACTTTCGCTATTGGAGCTTAATAGGCTCCGGGTATAGATGGCTTCACCGGAATTTTTTACCAGACCTATTGGGAGGATATTAGTAACTCGCTATGTGAGACCATTCAAGCTTTCTTCCACACAGGAAGACTCCTCCATAATTTCAATCACACTCTAATTACCCTGATTCCCAAAGTTCCGAACGCCGTATACATGAGACAAATGCGACCTATAGGATTATGTCAAGTTTTCTACAAAATTATTGCAAAAATCATGGCGGACAGACTGAGCCATATATTACCATTCATAGTGGGTCCTAATCAAAATGGTTTTGCAAAGGGAAGATCTATTATTGAAAATATCTTGATTGGCCAAGAAGTAATGCAATTCCTTAAGACTAAAGACCATGGAAAAGGAAAATGGATGGCGCTAAAACTTGACATGGAGAAAGCCTATGATCGTGTAGAATGGGAATTTCTAATTAATGTAATGAAAGTATTGGGATTCAGTGATCAATGGATTAAATGGATCCGCTCTTGTATCACTACTGTCTCCTTCTCAATAATCTTGAATGGCTCAACTCACGGGTTTTTCAAACCTTAGAGGGGACTACGTCAAGGGTGTCCTCTCTCTCCATTATTATTTTCCATCTACACAGAGGCCTTTTCGGCTATGATCCAAGGCGCTATCTCAAACTATTCTCTCCATGGGCTCCGCGTTCATAGGGAGGCTCCCATGACCTCTCACCTCTTTTTTGCTGATGACTCATATCTCTTTCTTAGAGCCTCAAGACCAGAAATAACAAATCTGTTGGGATTACTTCAATCATATGAAGCTGCAAGCGGGCAACGAGTTAACCTCCAGAAATCGACCGTTACCTTTAGCTCCAATATCTCTTAACAAGAGGCTACAGAATTAGCAAATGCTCTAGGAGTCGCCAAAATAGGGACCCATGATCGATATCTAGGTCTTCCATCAAGAATCCATCGATCTAAAGTCCTTACCTTTCGGTATATTGAGGACTCTTTAGCGGCTCGAATCCAGAACTGGAAATCTAAACATGTGTCATTGGCAGCCAAAGAAGTAGTGATAAAATCGATAGGAACAGCCACACCAATCTATGACATGTCATGTTTCCGCATCCCTTCTACCCAATGTCGAAGACTTAATAGTCAATTGGCCCGATTTTGGTGGGCTAACCAAGAAAAAGACAAAGGTATGCATTGGCTTTCATGGCCTGAATTATGTAATAGTAAATTTGAGGGAGGACTGGGATTTAGAGACTTTGATTGATTTAACATAGCCATATTAGCTAAACAAGCCTGGAAACTACTAATAGATCCTGATAATACTGGCAAAAATATATAAAGCCCGATATCACCCTAATGACCACTTCCTAAATGCGAGAGCTGGATCTCGTCCCTCTTGGGCTTGGCAAGGTATCCTTGAAGGGAAGAACCTCCTTAAAAAGGGCCTGCGATGGCAAGTGGGATCAGGGTCCTCAATATACACTCTACAGGATCCGTGGATACCTTCAGATTCACCCTCCTACCCAATCTTGAAGACAGGTATGACCTTAGAAGGTCCAGTAGTTGCCTACCTTATCGATCCAATAACGTTTACTTGGAACTCTAACAAGATTCGATCTTTATTCTACCCAGCTTCTGGCGAACTAATTCTGTCCATACCTCTTCCCTCATATCCTAGGGAAGATAGACTCATTTGGCACTATGATAAATCTGGTCAATATACAGTGAAATCGGGGTACCACCTTTTGACAAATGAAATTAACCCATTTCATAACAGTATACCAGACTACTTGGACATAAAATTTTGGAAATCATTATGGAGTATACCAGTGCCACCAAAACTGAAATTCTTCCTTTGGAGGATAGTTCGGTGGTTCCTTCCTGTTCGCAAAACTCTACAAATTCAAAAATTGACTACTTCGTGTGAATGTCCAGTGTGTTGTGAACCAACTGAGGACATTAAGCATTGCTTTTTTTAATGTAGGATTGCAAAAGAGCTATGGATCATGGCTGGATTGGAACATCGTAGAAACTCAATGCGCTCCCTCCAACCAGATCTGGCATGGAAAAATCTATTCTGTGCTACTCACATCTCCAAGACTGAGATTGCCGATACGGTTTTCCTATTCTGGCGAATCTGGAAAGGAAGATGCAAAGCTACTTATGCTTTAGTATTACTTCAAACTCGAGTTTTGTTCAGACAACTAACATCGCATATAGAGGAATGGCGAACGGCGGAGGGACAAAAAGCTCGGCAACCCACAGGTGCTCAAAGATCAGCGGCGAACCCTAACAATCAAATAGGATCTCGAAGGAGTCATCCAGATGCTATATGCCCTAATAACGGTATCCTTGTTAGATTTGATGGAGCCATGAAGAAAAACCAAGGAGGCTCAATCGGATTTGCGGGATTCTCGAGAGACGGTACGTTATCCTTTGCTTTTGGAAAATATTATGAAGGTATTTCGGAGGCTTACATTTCTGAGCTTCTAGCTCTTAGAGATGCTATGAGATGGTGCTTAACACATAACTTTTTGGTGGTTGCATTTTGTGGAGATGCTCAACTGGTTATCAAGCACGCTATGGCAAAGAACGCTTCTCATTCTCGAGCAGGGGCTGTCTTGGAGGAAGTTCACTCCTTTTTCTCCTTTTTTGAGTCAGTGTCGTGTCTTTTTGCTCCTCGGAGCTATAACAGAGCTGCCCATGTAGTGGCTAATCAGGCTCTCTCATCGGGAATCCGCTTGCTTACGGATTACCGCCCTTTTTTGGAAGCTACTTGTACCTGAGTCGAGTCTTTTGTCCCATGCCCTCTGGTGCTTGCCTTGGGAAAAAAAAGACACTCGGCAACACACACGTTGATTGATATGCGGAAACCAATTGTTAATCTGCCGAGCTCCTTCATGGCTTTCATAAAATTAGTTACCCAAACTAATTAAATGTCGTAGTAATATATTCTAGAGAGTTTGCATTTTTTCATGTATTTTTTTTTTAAAAATTTTAGGGTGATGTCTATTTATTACACAAACCTTTTCCAGATTCTTTTATTTTATCCAAACCTATTGGAATATTATTTATTAACCAAATATATTGTAATTGACCAAAGTCTGGGCATTCATTCTGTTACCGTTAATTTTTTACTAACATATATCTACCTCAGCATACACATCAATCGTCCCGTTCACCTCTCTAAATCTCTTCTCTTTCTTCCCATCAGAGAGGAGACTTTCTAGATATGGAATCTAGATCTATAACTTGAAAAATGAAAAACATAGGAGGGGTTTATGATTTGGACTTTTGAAGAGGACGAATGGGTGGCGGCTGGAGAGGACGACGACCGGTGCCTGGAGAGGACGACGATGGCGGCACGGAAGCTGATGGTGATCGGAGGAAGGAGATGCCGACTATGTTGGGACTTATTGGAACGAGGGTATACATACGATAGCCCGAGACCGGGTGACTAGGATTGTGATATAGTCGTGAACAACGTTCACTTTTCGAAAAGAATATTTCCACCCTCAACAAGCCTAGGGTTACAGGAAATTTCTCTCGAGGATAAAACTATCAACACTTTAGGTTCCAGGCTCAAGAACACTAAAGCATACTTAGAAATTTTTGGAAGAAAGAAGAAGAATATGTTTGATGGTATGTGGCATCATGCACCCCACACACATATTTATAGGGGTCGAATCCATGCATTGTTTCATGAAAGGTTGCCTTTAACAATACGAAAGGTTGCCTTTATCCATATGAAAGGTTGTCTCTATCCATATGAAAGGTTGTCCTTATCCATATGAAAAGTTGTCTTTATCTTTAAGGTTATCCTTATCCATAAAATAATGCAACCGCCACTAGGCCAAAGGGAAGTGTCCCTTCACGGAATTAGAATATCGGTTCGGTCGGTCTAATCCCAAACTGGTTGGTCGGTCCAACCCAAAACCGGTTTGACTTGGTTAGTCCGGTTCAACCAAATTTCCAACAGACTATGACTTGGAGATTAGTCGTCAGAGATTTGAGTAATCGAGAGGCAGGTGGCGGGCTGATGCGTATATTTATTAGAGTTTTCATTATTTGAATTAGTTAGTAGTGTTGAGGACTTGAGGTAGTTAGAGAGTCATGTGTTTATTAGAGTATTTAGGAGTGTTTTGCATAATAGGTGGAGTGGGTTTAGTGGGTTTAGCATCTTATGGTTAGTTGGTTAGCGTAGATAGACGTGGGATTAGCTCCACTTAGATAGGCCTTTTCAATTCCAGTTTTTGTGTATTTAAGTTGAGAACGTAAGGGATAATGGGTAAGCAATATTTCAGAAAATAAGAAATCCCTGGCCATTCTCGCTACGAAAGGAGAAACCTGGTCCACTCCCACCAAGAAAATGGAACTATCCAAATCCAACACGTATCACAGGCTTTCCCTTCTTTGCCGGATTAGTCTGCTAAGAAATACCCAGATCTGACCCCCTACAGGTTTCTACATATTGAAACCCATCTTCAACGGTGTGACGCTTGTAAGCAATGATGAGCAAACAGAATCCTAGGTTGAGGCGGGAGAGGCAGAGCGGTGGGGTGGTTGCCTTGAGAAGGTTGCCCGAAATCGATGCATGGAATGGGTGGCGACTGAAGGAGTTTGAATCAGTCGCCTCACTCTCCCTTAAGGATTCGGCATTGCCTGCAGGAAGTGTTTGATATCGACGGCCGGACGAGGGAGACCAAGGGGATAGATCAGGGGAGGGAGGTCACAACTCACAAGTCAGGGCTTAAGTTTTTTTCTCATTTTAGTAGTTATTTGATTTTTTAATTAAAAACATAAAATAATGAAATGTTGATAGGGAAAATTCTTAGCTCCAACCTTGGTTGGACGCAGAAGCTCATCATTTTTTTTAATATTTTAATTCTTGATTTACTTAGCATAATTAAATATTAAGAAAAAAGGAAAGTGAATCCAGCAATAATAAACTGACACCTTGGATGGTTGGAGCTTCTGTGTCCAACCAAGGTTGGAGCTAAGAAATTTCCGTTGATTGTCATGTAGGACGCCAACTCAACATCGTGATGCTTAGTCAAAATTACTAACGGAAAAGTTGACAGAAAGTTAACGTTTGGCTAATTTTTAGTAATTTAATAGGTTTGGATAAAATAAAAGAATATGTGAAAGATTTGGATAATAAATAGACATTAATCGGGAAAAAATTATTCATTTTTCGGGTGTTTTCCCTGCTATAAGGTTAACCAATGAAAATATTTGTTTTATTTATTGCATGGAAACTACGAGACGAGTACATTCAAAAGATAGATTATGACGTCAATCATTTAAAGGAGGGGACTTCAATTACACTAGTTGATCTGCCACGACCACTTGTTGCTTCTCGTTAGCTTTGCACTTTTTTGAGCAGAAGTAAAAGCAAGGGCTGAAAACAGACGAGCATTCCTCCAAACACGAGATCAAACATGCTGGATTTACTGAAACCACTTGTTGTGAAGTCATAGAACCTAAAATCATAAACAACACCATTATCAACACGCCCATCTTCTTCATGGCCTCCATTTTGTTTCTCTATGTATGTATTTATCTATCTTATATATAAAATATATTAATGATATATGTATAAAGTAGTGAATTTCGTGGTGGAGCTAGCATCTCCAATTCCCTTTTTATATTGTAGTTTTGAGTCTATGTTATGGGAGAGAAACAACCTTAACAAGAAGAAGATAGAGGTGAATCTAATGCAATGAACATAGGGATATAGTTTCCTTTTTCTCTACCATATTTATTTTTAATGGAATTTCATTCATTGTCTTGATTACTAGTCCCTATGATTCGTATGCACATCAATTCTCGGGCTCCACTATTATCTACTACATTCAAACGGGTTTGCGGTTGAATCATATCATTTTTTAATCTGTATTTCAGTGCAAACAAAAAAAAAAGAAATATTGGTTGTTCAAAACAAAAAAATAAACTTACGATTTTGTCATTCCATATTTATTTGTATACCATGTTTTGGTTGTTACCATATGTAGAATTTAAAGTAAAGTTTGCTTCCTCCTCTTTATGTTAATTATACTTGTTTTTTTTTTATTTTTTATTTCTGAGTGATATCAATGAAGAATAATAGTTAAGCTTACAATTCTACCCAGGACCCCTAAAAGCCTCTAAAGAAGTCACCCAAAAAAATCAAAAGATTCTAGCTCTACACGAGACAAAAGCAGTGCTTTACGCGCCACTCTATGGGCAGCACTGTTGGCGGATCTAGGTACCGCACTAAACTCTATACAAACAGACAAAGAGCTAAGGATCTAAAGACACTCTCGTAACACCGAACCACCAATCGAGTCTTCTAAGACGCCTTGACGGACTTGGTTGACGACCACTTCGGAGTCACCTTCGACTATCTCGTGGGCCAAGCAATATCCCTTGATGCTGCAACCTGAACGCCAACATCACATGCCCGTCTGACCCACAGATAACAAGCCCAGACGAACACCCGGAGGCACAAACAGCTGCGTCGACGTTGATCTTCAAAAAGCCTTCTGGTGGAGGGACCCAAGTGGTGGCAGGAAGGATTGGGAGTAGAGAGCTGCGGGGAGGAGGGGGAAGAAGAAGATTGGAGATTTCGAGGACCTGGTTGTAGAACTGTCTGGCTAGGGTACGGACATGAGGTTGGATAAATTCAAAGGTCACTTTATTTCTAGACTTCCAGATTCTCCAAAGTAAACAGACGCATTGGAGAATGTGGAATGGGGAGGTCTCGGAGACCATGACATGTCGCCACCATAGACTAAAGTTAACAGTCTGGGCGGCCTCAATAAAGTTGATCAATCCCACTAAAGTCCACAATCTGATGGCTAGGGGGTATTTGAATAATAAAAGTTCAATGCTTTCTCGATGTCTCCAGCAGATAGGCCATCGGTTAAGACAGTTTACTCCACGAGTTTGAAGGGTCACTACTGTGGGAAGTATGACTTTGAGGCATTGCCATATGAAGAATCTTAGTACAATTAATATGGTACCAATTAATTTCATAATTATCCATTGGTCCCAATTAATATGAAAAATGGACAAAGAAGAAAATGTAACTAAATCCCTTAATTAATCACCCAATTCCTCCATGTTTCAAATCCCAACGATAAAATAGACACTGGATTTGTTTTACTACACTAACCCAATAATTGACGAGCTAATTATTCTAAAAAATAATGGGTTGATCAGTGACACTATCGAGTGAATTAGAGGGAAATCGACACCATTATTAAAGGGAGGGCGAGAGTTAATACCCGAACTAATCATAGGCTGGCACCCGGTGAGATACAAAGCTTGAGCGTAATAATTTGAATAGCAATTAATTTATTAATATGGAGAACCACAAAGTTAAGAGCCAATAACTACCAAACGACTTTTTAGCTTTGATGAACCAAAATAAGCGCTCGCCTCTTTACCTCAGAATTTACTTCCATTGATGGCTGGGATCATGGTCAAGAAAGCCACTCAATAAGTCGAAGCGATTAATGCAAAATAATTTCGCGTGAGTGGCCATTGATGATAACTTTGTCGGTGGGGTAACCACCGTGTTTGGCCGCAATCTCGTCAAATAACCGGACGTGGATACTAAAGTAGCCACCGGAGGAATAGACTGAACCCTTGTGCCAAAGATACTTTGAAAGCCAGAAATTAATTATAGAAATCAAGAATTAATTCGTTTTATCCCATAATTTGAGATACAAACCAACCATTAAAAGTTGTAAAGCGCCATAAAAAGATCGCTTTAGTGACTCAGTAATCTCTTAAAATGGATCATTAAAAATCCAATAACAACAAATAACATAATAATTTATGTATTAAAACCAAATAGTCGAAACCGACCAATGGGCCATTAATTGGTACTTTATTTTTCGCCGGAGGAAAAATTAATTGCAGCGCCGGGAAGCGTGATTCTGCTGGCCGTTAGAACCTTCCCCGGCTCCGGTTCCCGAGCCGAGCCGCTGAACGCATTGGAGTCGAGGAGGCGAGTGGAGATCAACGCACCGCCGAGGAGGAACAGAACGGAGAAGATGACAGCCGACGATCTCGATGGCAGCTTCATTAACGACCGGCAGATCGTTTGACAGGAAGCTCCAGATCCGAACCACCTCTGCAAACTCAGCTGCATGTTTTAGTTTCTCCTCTACCGAACTGACCGCCGTTCAGCGCTCCGTCACCGCCATGTTGTTCCCCCCCCCCCCCCCCCCCCCCCCCCCCCCCCCCACACACACACACACACACAGCTGGCCGATTCAAGCTCCTCCGGACTTGCGATTCGATTTCAGGAACTGGGCTAGGAATCAGAGCTGGAGCTGAAGATCAATTGCAGAGTGAAATGAGGGAACAGGGGAATGAAGGAGAGACAGCTGGAAGATGCAGAAATTATACTTGTTACTGACTTGATTATTAATACAGAGTTTAATAGCGATTTAGCGTCCGCAAAAAAAAAAAAAAAAAATTATCACAAAATTTTGACTAGAGTACATTTCTTACGACACACGCGAAAATCATAAAGGCCTAGTATCTCTACTCATTTCGGAACTTGCTGTAGGCACATACCAATCATGGGCATGGCGGGAAGGATTTAAGAACACTTGGTCATACTGATGTATACAACTCTATGGTTGCGTAGCTTGTCACCTATGGTTATGTAATCTTCTTTTGAATTGTATGCCGAGTAGTTAACTATATGCTACGTGATTTTATGTAACCGGACCAGAATCGAGCTAATGGGTTGGGTCAAAAGTAAAGAATAAATGAGGGGTGGTATTCAAAATTCAACTCACATGAGAGTTGAGACCTTGGTCTAGTCGTAATATTGGTGCTTTCTATTAGCGTCAACCCCTGTGGGCTGTTGGCCCAACTTCCAAAAAAAAAGCTTAACATAAATGTCCATTCCCAGTGACTCGTATCCGGGCCCCACAGCCCATAATACCAAACCAACCCACCTTCCCCGGCCGGCTTTATTATGAGTATCTGGCTAATTGCATAATGACCCCTAAACTTTGGAGCCACTACTGAATCGACCACTCAAGTTTGATTTTCTTTAACTAACGAATCGGTCATCTTTGATCAGAGTATCAGGCTCGATAGCTGATGATTAAATATTAATAGTCATTTATATTTGACCTATGATGAACTCAATTGTTGTCTGGTAAGAAACTCATATTTGCTAGTTATGGTTGAATTGGAAACAAGATTATGTCATCTTCAAGTGTTGATGTGATAATTTTGATAAAATAAATGTTCATATTTAGCATGATCAAATAATTGTAATTATGTACATTTATTCATTAACACAGTGAATATTTTGTTCGCGAGTACTTTAGCTTAGTAATCAATTTGTGAAGAATCTCATAGTTTAATGACCATTTTTAACATTTCCCCCAGCCAATGGCACTATCCGTAATTCTGGCCTCTCACGAGGCTAAACAGTTAACCTCCCCGGCCTCCCGTTTTCCCATACGCTTAAAACCGCCGTAGTTAATTATCGAACCGACCTCTCTTCCCTATAAATTCCCACCAGCTCAACTGCCTTCTTTCACCTTTCCCAAAACTCGAATCAATTCCCCCACCAAAAAATCCCCAAATTCGTCGAAACTCAGAATCCCTAGATCGCGAAAACTATGAAGAAGCCTCAGATCCTCGCGATCCTCCTCCTCCTCGCGCTCGCCGTCGCTGACGCCGCGCTGCTCGGCGGGTGGCGCCCGATCGACGCCGAGGACCTCAAGGATCCGGACGTGATTGACGCCGCGAAGTTCGCCGTCAAGCAGCACAACCAGAAGGAAGGTGAGAAGCTGAAGCTGGTGAGGGTGGAATCCGGCTCGTACCAGGTCGTCCGCGGGAAGAACTACAAGCTGGAGCTGACGGTCTCCGGCGCCGCTGACACCAACGGGCTGTCCAAGTACGAGGCGATCGTCTGGGTGCAGCCCGGCGCCGGGAGCCCCAAGAAGCTGACCTCGTTCAAAAAGGTGCCGTGAGTGAGCATTGCTCCATCGATTTCTCTGGCTTTTCGTGTTCGGATGATGCGATTGTATATTTAAATGTAACGGGGAAGGAATCGTTGATGCGGTGATTATGTGGAGATGTATCTCTGTGCGTGTAATCGGAAATAAAAAGAACAAAAAAAGCTCTGTTGATGTTAGTGCTATTTGAGATCTGTTTCTTGGTGGTGGTTTTCTGATCGGACTGTTTGTTTTCCGGGAAAACTGGTTTTTGGAACTTTCTCGAGAAACCGGGCATGTGGCTAGGAGGATTAATTTTTTACGCAAAGGATAAGCGGAATTTAAGGTGCTTAACGTGATGGTGTAGGAAAATGAAAGAGCAAATTAGGAAAGGAAACTAACTACACCAGACGACGAAAGATAGCTTTGTTTTGACTCCCATTTTAGTAACGTTTTATTATTTCGTTAATCGTTGATTTAAAGTTCTTAACAACCGATTTTAGATTCGGCCCAACGCATGTCAGTTCGCTCCATTAACCGGGCCTTCAAATGAATGGCTTGGGCCTTTTACCTTCGTCCACGTAAGCATTTCTTCTATTTCTATACCCTTCTTTGCAAATGTAAAGACATTGCAACTTGTAAGTATCATTGGTGTGGATGCAAAAGTTATCATAGACAAGTGCAATGCTGGTGAAACTATAGAATGTTAAGATTGGATTCATATTACGTTGAAATTTGTTCAATCCTGTATAAGATAGATGGTTTCAAGATTTGGTTTCTTGGTCTCGATAAAAACAGAGAGGCTCATTTAGTGGTCTGTCATGCTTTGTTGTTGTCACACTGCTCGTTAAGACGGTTTGACTTCCTTTTCTTGTTATAGTAGATAGGTTCCTGTTTGTATCTCTGTAACTTTGCTCAATCGTCTTATTTAGAGTGTTCGATTGACAACAAAAAAAAAGACATTGGAAGTAGCTAGTATAGCCTTATTCATTCTCGACACTATATGATTCGATCAAGTACGTCTCACAAATCTCATTATCGTTTCGCTATTTAGTTTCTACACGTGGATTTTGTGAAAGCAACTCATGTTGTTTTCAGTTGGATCGCCATAATGTTTATGGTATTCAAAACCGATAATTTAGCTTTCATTTTGTCAACCACCTTCCACGAGCAGAACCAACTCCCACTGTTGTGGAACGAGAAGCTTCCCTTTTACATCCAATGACTTGATGGCTAGTCACTTAGACTAGTCTATCTTATGCGTTGAAGCTGTTGTCGAAATTGTTCACGTATACTAAATCTTGCAAAACAAGCAACATGTAAGATCACGAAAAATCATGCAAAGAAACATATGATCGTCCTAGCCGACAAAATTCACCGTCTCTCCTTAAAGAATCTTATTCCCCTCTAGTACTCAATGTTATGGAATGATTCCTCCTAGGATAGAAAGGACGTACCTTTTCCGGCGTAGCGGTATCTCAAACCCCGGAAATCATCGAACACAACGAACCGGCGAGAACCACACTTGACTCTATTTTCTCTTTGAAAAGAATGCATAAAACTAGTTTTGGATTTTAGCAGAATTTTGGTACCGGAAAGTCCATGTATATCTCGTAATTAAAACTAGAGGGGTTTGGTGCTATTTATAGGAAATGAAGGGGTGCATTGTAGGGAGGCAACTCTTCATATGGGTGGTTACACCCCCACCAACGCATTGGTTCGTTTTAAAATAATGAACCATTACATCGGTTCGGTCCATGGTAGTTGGACCGGTTTGGTTATTCCAACTGCCTCATCGGTTTGGTTCGATTTGGTTCAACTCGGTTTGGTTCATTCGGTTACACAAACCAATTAACCTCATATTACATCAAATTGATCGAATTCGAGGCCATGCCTTCCCACATCTTACCAACATGGTACTTCAAGAAACTCTCTTGGATCTTTCCCTTTTCATTTCCATTCACACCACTAAAAATCCCAACAGAAGCTCTTATGAACGAGCTACTATAACACTATCTCATTCTCAAGTGTAGTTTTTCAAACATACTTTTTATCGACCAGTCTATATTCTATGCCTCTATATCTTAATTATGATCAGGCTTGTTTCACTCTCCCCCCATGACATTTATTTTAATTGATTAGTCATCATTAGTATGATATTATATACGAGTTTTACAATCAAGTGTTCAAGTAGACCTACAAGGCTACAATTACAATCCCTCACGTTCCGGACCCCCACCCAACTACCGCATGTGTGAATCACACCCTTCTCTTAAAATAAACGACGTCCACGACCAAATTGCAAATTGAGTCCAAGTCCAACCCTCCTCGGCGCCACCAAAAAGAAAAGAAAACGATAAAAGGGAAGGGGATAAGCTACTCAAACGATACCACGAAAACCCCTCTCCTCTCGTCTCCTCCAACCCCCATTCCCTGTCAAAGCTCTCTACAGAAACGGGGGCTGCTGTTGTAGTTGGGAGGAGTCGTTAGGATTCATTTCATCATCTGCCCAACCTTCCTGTTCCCTTGTTCTGTTCATCGCCTTGTTCACTGCTCGATTGTAAAGCTTCAACCTTTGACCTCAAAGCGATGGCTTCTTCCACTGCCCAGATTCACGCTCTCGGAGCTATGGGGTTCGCCTCATCTGGGTCATCGAAGAAACCCACTTTCTCCTTCGCCCCGAAGACCGTCTTCCTCGGTCAAACCCTAGGGGGTTCGACGACGGCGGCGTTCCTAAGGTACAACGGCAGCGGGAGCACCAGGCGGAGGAGCTACGGGCCGTTGAGGGTTGTGAGCGAGAAAGTTGTGGGAATCGATTTGGGTACCACGAATTCCGCTGTGGCGGCCATGGAAGGAGGGAAGCCGACGATTGTGACCAACGCGGAAGGGCAGAGGACCACGCCGTCCGTGGTGGCGTATACCAAGAACGGGGATAGGTTGGTGGGTCAAATTGCCAAGCGCCAGGCCGTGGTGAACCCTGAGAACACTTTCTTCTCCGTGAAGAGGTTTATCGGGAGGAAGATGTTGGAAGTGGATGAGGAATCGAAGCAGGTTTCTTACAGGGTTGTGAGGGATGATAATGGGAATGTCAAGCTGGATTGCCCTATTTTGGGCAAGCAGTTTGCTGCTGAAGAGATTTCAGCTCAGGTATATACCTTGATGCTTTCTTTGTAGCTTGATTGAGATTGGATTGTGAATTGGTGTAGTTCTTTGTGTTGAATGTTTGATATAGAAGTCAAAAACTTTTACTTGGTTTGACCTCCAATTGAATAAGGTTGCAAGGAGTCTATGGCATCCATATTGGTTTTTGTTCTTAAATGTCTGCTTGATTGGATTCAGGTGTTGAGAAAGCTGGTTGATGATGCCTCCAAATTTCTGAATGACAAAGTGACCAAAGCTGTTGTCACAGTGCCGGCTTACTTCAATGACTCTCAAAGGACAGCCACGAAGGATGCTGGCCGTATTGCTGGGCTAGAAGTCCTTAGGATCATTAACGAGCCTACAGCTGCTTCGTTAGCTTATGGGTTCGAGAGGAAGAATAATGAGACCATCTTGGTGTTTGATCTCGGTGGTGGTACCTTTGATGTTTCAGGTATCTAGATGCACTTCATCTTTTGAAATTCTGTGGTCATTTTCGAAGATTATTTATGTCTTAGTGCCTGGTGGAAATGTTGGGGTGGATGGTCATTTTGTTTGTATTGTGTGCTGCAGTTCTTGAGGTTGGTGATGGAGTCTTTGAAGTGCTCTCTACCTCAGGAGATACTCATTTGGGTGGTGACGATTTCGACAAGGTTTTGATTGTTTCACATTGTTTGACGTTTTTTTTCTGTTTTCTTTGGGAAATGAGTCCTTTAAATGTAATTTTACTCTTTTGTACAGAGAATTGTTGATTGGCTTGCTGCCGACTTTGAAAGGAATGAAGGTATTAAGCTTTTGAAGGACAAGCAAGCTCTCCAAAGGCTGACTGAGACAGCTGAGAAAGCTAAAATGGAGCTATCATCTCTTACTCAAGCTAACATTAGGTAGAGGAGTTTTGAAATGTTGATCTCTCCTGTTTAACTTGTAAGTTCTGTTTGTAGCTTAGACTGATGGGACTTGCTTGGTTTCAGTTTGCCATTCATTACCGCTACCGCTGAGGGCCCGAAGCACATCGAAACCACCCTTACACGGGTGAAGTTTGAGGAGCTGTGCTCTGATCTCCTAGATAGGTACATTTACTGACACAGCTTCACCATATTCATTGTGTTTAATATCTTTATTTTCCTGTCCAATACATGATATAGATTTGCACACAACTACTTCATATATACTTTGCCAATGTCGGTTTATATTGATCTATCCTTCTTATCCTTAGGCTTAAAACTCCAGTTGAGAATTCTTTGAGGGACGCCAAACTCACCTTCAAAGACTTAGATGAAGTCATTCTAGTTGGTGGGTCCACACGTATTCCCGCAGTACAAGAGCTAGTGAAGAAGCTAACGGGGAAGGATCCTAATGTCACTGTAAACCCTGATGAAGTCGTTGCTCTTGGTGCTGCCGTTCAGGTGATTAAACTTCTGTTGATCTTGTTTCTGATTTTCGAAATTATGCTGAACCTAACCTAACTTTATTATTATGTGATCATCACAGGCTGGAGTTCTGTCCGGCGATGTTAGTGACATTGTGTTGCTGGATGTCACACCATTATCTATCGGGCTGGAGACCCTCGGAGGAGTGATGACAAAGATCATCCCAAGGAACACAACGCTGCCAACATCCAAATCAGAGGTGTTCTCAACCGCAGCAGATGGGCAGACCAGCGTCGAGATCAACGTCCTTCAAGGCGAGCGAGAGTTTGTGAGGGACAACAAGTCTTTGGGAAGCTTCCGTTTGGACGGTATCCCACCGGCACCACGTGGTGTTCCTCAGATCGAGGTCAAGTTCGACATTGATGCCAATGGGATCCTCTCAGTCACTGCTGTTGATAAGGGCACCGGGAAGAAGCAGGATATTACAATCACTGGTGCCAGCACTCTGCCTAGTGATGAGGTAATATTACCACCACAAACAACTATTCTCTTGGTTAACATTATAAAGTCCACATCATTCCCAATCGATGTATTTTAGGTTAGAAGACTAAGAGTGCAGTGTGAAATTGGAGTCCTGAACTCGCATTCAAGATTTTGATGTCCTATACAAATAAAAATGTATTCGTGTGCGCGCAGGTCCAGAGAATGGTACAAGAAGCCGAGAGGTTTTCCAAGGAGGACAAGGAGAAGAGAGACGCGATCGACACCAAAAACCAGGCAGATTCAGTGGTGTACCAGACCGAGAAGCAGCTGAAGGAGCTTGGCGACAAGGTCCCAGCTCCAGTCAAAGAGAAGGTCGAGGCCACGCTCCAAGAACTCAGGGACGCGATTGCTGGAGGATCCACTCAGACGATAAAAGACGCGATGACCACACTCAACCAAGAAGTGATGCAACTCGGGCAGTCTCTCTACAGCCAGCAGGGCTCTCCATCTGCCGGCGGTGAAGGTCCAGCTCCTGGAGGTGAATCTGGTCCATCCGATTCGTCTTCGACAAAGGGTCCCGATGGCGATGTAATCGATGCTGATTTCACCGACAGCAAATGAGATTGACTCTTGCCTTAGTTTAAGAGGGTTTTTCTTTTGGTTGAACTCTGGGGGGAAAGCTTGGGTGGAAACTGGATCGTAGAAGAGAACTCGGTCAACACCCTTTTCTTTTTTTTCTTTGCCTGGTTTGTTTGATCATGTTATCTGCAACTCAATTTTGGTGCATACAAAGACTCGGGGTAGTTGTTTTGATTGAATGGAACAATACAGGAGGGATAGTTCGAAGATGAACAACGATAGGTGGGTAGTAGATTTGGTTTTCATGCTGGTATCTCATCTCTGGTTCATTTTGCATTGAGCAATGGTTGAAATTCAAGTTTACAAGCAGCCAGAGGTGATGTTCTTGTTGATCAAATTCAAGGTCGACAACTGAAATCTTTCTTGGACAATCAATTCCTAAAGAACACCACAAACTCTAGCCCGATTGGGATGAAAAACAACTCATGCCACACATGGTTAAGTTGCTGGCGTTTCTTTCCAACGTCTGGGAAATGAACCACAAATAATTGGCAAAGTGCATGTGAGATATTTGTGCAAGGATTGGGTGGTGCATATGGATTCCATGATGCATGTGAATGTCAAATTATTTATACACTTATCACAAATTAGGCCAACAAATTTTGTGTATTAGGAAAAAAGGTATGAGAGCAAGAAAAAACTAAAAAGTGGTGGTTTGGGAAAAAGTTTTAAAAATAATTGGTGGCATGTGAAGGCATATCTAAGAAATCTTTTCCTTGGTTGATATTTGCTAATAGGTCATGATACTAATTTACTTTTAAATCAAAATATTAAAAAATATGATTACATAATCGATTAAGTAGTATTATTCAAGGATGTAGCTTTGACTAATTAGTCTGGTAAGATGTCTAGAACATACTCCGTTCAAAAAAATCAATATTGTACCGCTCATTATAAATTTTTGCGATCATTTATTAGTGGCTTTCTTTTCGATTCAATTCAATCTAACGAAGAGTCTTAATTAATTAATTAATTGTAACTTTAGTTTTATTTGCTATGTCGATTCATCAATGTCCACAAATTAACGGAATTATGAAACTCAATAGATTATATTTTTTTCCCCTTTCTTTTTGTTAGTTATTTAGGTTAAATTTTGACGATAAAAAAAGATACTCTCATCGAAACGGAGCCCAAAATAAAAGTGGAATCATCGGATCCCCCGATATACCCGATCATATGAAAGAAACCGACTAACCACCACAAAACGAGATTTCCCTTCTCTTAGGAGCCTCGCCGGAGCTAGAAGAAAGAGTTCCCCGATTCAGCTGCCAGGCAAGGCAATTGGGCACCGCCGCTGGGCGCACTTTGAGCGAGCAACGAAGGAGAAGAATCAGTTGTTGTTTTGGGTGGTGGGGGGAATTTAAGGCGCGGAAGTATAGGACTGTGCGCGTCAAAGCGTGCTGCTCCGGCGGCGGAGAGAGTCTCTTCGGGTGATGTGGTGAAGAGACTCTCCCAGCAGCCGGCAGCAGCACAATCGCGGCCGGCAGCTGTGGTTGCTACTGCTGCTGCTGCTGCTAATCCAGCTTCGATTTCGGCGTCGACGACGTTTGGAGCATCTCCGGGGGGTCTGTCTCCGTCGAGATCGCAGAAGATGAAGGGGCTGTTCAAGCACAAGCCTCGCACTCCTGCTGATATCGTACGCCAGACCCGCGATCTCCTCGCCTATGTCGACCGCTCTTCCTCCTACTCCACCGATTTGCGCGGCGACGTCCGGCGCGAAGAGAAGGTAAACAAAAGAGGGGGGAATTGAAAGTGTTTTGCTTTCTAGGTTGATTGGCATTCCGTCGGCTGCTTAGCAATCTGGTCAATTACGCTGCTTGCCGATTTTTTTTATTTATTTATGGGAATTTGCTACAATTCTAGATCGATCGATGAATTTTGAGTTCTTAAGGGAGGAACTAGTTGACTAGGGTTTTGAAATTCAGAAAGTTTCTGTGCAAATGGAGAGCTGTTGCCTGAAGTGGTGGGCTAATTGACCTTGATCATAGGGCCATTTGGATGTGAGTCATGCTTACTGCTTAGCTTTAAGGTTTTAGGCTCACAAATGTGGTGTCTTGAAGGATGGCGATGGAGGACGAATTGACCTTTGATGGACTCCACTCATCTCTAGTGAACTGGTGTGAAATTTGATTTTCTTGTTCTTCATGGTATCAATATATCTATGCTTGGAGTGTAAAAGTGACCTTCTGGGAGTGTTTAATGGCTACCTCTTCGTGTTGATCCAAGTGCCTTGCCTGTGTTCCAAAATTGTTGAGTGTCATTTTGGTTTTCTTCCCAGTTTGTGGGAATTTGCACCATATTCTTGGGATGAAATGTTTCAAACTGAAGTATTGTGTTTCATATTCATAGCAACAGAAATTTCTTAGATGGCTTTTCATTTATCGTTATTACAGGGACGAATAGTTGATGTAGGATAGAAACTCTGTGAGTTAGTGTCAAGGTGATAACTTTCTGATTGAGCGGGGATGCATATAGTTCTTGAGAGCTAGACAAGCTGAGATAAGAAGTAGTTTGATCTTTTAATGAACTCATCTTATGCAAAATGGACGTATGGTAAATTTGGCTTCTGTGTTGAATCTGCATTTGTAGCATGCAAGTAGTCAGCAAGCATGATTTGATTACTAAACTTTCTGTTCTATTGTTGTTTGGAATGGAATGTGTAGACTTTTCTCCAGTTTTTTGGAATTCGTTTTTGGATTTTTGGCACTCTTTGTTTATTTCAGTCTCACATGTCATTCCACGTGTTTTAATACTCTGGCAGATGGTGGAGTTAGCTAAAAATATGAGGGAGTTGAAGACGATTCTTTATGGCAACAGCGAGGCGGAACCAGTAGCAGAAGCTTGTGCACAGTTGACGCAAGAGTTTTTCAAAGAGAATACACTCCGCCTTTTCATTATCTGTCTTCCAAAGCTGAATTTGGAGGTAAACTCGTTCGAAGATTCTTAGATATATATGTGATAAATGGATCTGTTTATGTAAGAGATTTTCGTCCTTTGGGGTCCAACTGGAGATAAACTGAACAGGAGTATTGTAATCAAAGACTGGAATTATTTATGGAATTTCATGCTTAGCTTGTCAAACTTGTCATTTGCAGACCCGAAAAGATGCCACTCAAGTTGTTGCTAATTTACAGAGACAACAAGTTCAGTCTCGTCTAATTGCTTCTGATTATCTGGAAAATAATACAGATCTCCTGGATATTCTAATAGTTGGGTAAGTTGCCAGAACTTCAGGAAATGACAGATTGTATTCTGTTGACTCCTGGATGAAAATTTACAATACAGATTAGTTCTAACCTGAAAACATTGAATAAAATATCTTGAACAAACTGTTCGCTCCTAATTATATAGATCCTGTTCTTGCAGTTATGATAATCCAGAAATGGCTTTACACTATGGTGCAATGTTGAGGGAGTGTATACGTCACCAGTGTGTTGCAAAGTAAGCTAAGAACACTTGGCTCGAACTATTTTATCACGCCCAATGTATATTATAGATTATTCTTCCTTATTGTAAGTCTTGTACGGGAACACGTGAACATATCTTGTTAGATGGAAGCGTGTATGCTATTATCAACAAACCAATCCATTTATCCTTCAGTATGGTTGCATATATGAACTTCCAGCTTCATTGATTCATCCACACTGTACAGTCCTGGCCTGACTTTCCAAAAAAAGAAAAGGAAAAAAGGCCTTCACTTCACATTTTTCTGTAAACTGATGGCTCCATGTTTACATCCTGTAATATTAGGAGCAGAAAATTTCAGCCTAGAATATCATTAGCTTTGTGTACTCTCAATAAAAAGGTGTTGATTATTAATAGCATTCCTTGATGTGCATCGTGACTAGATTCTCTGCTCTATTTACAGATATGTCTTGCAGTCTCCAGAAATGAAGAGATTCTTTGAGTATATACAGCTCCCTAATTTTGATATCGCTGCTGATGCTGCTGCAACTTTCAAGGTTGGTACATAATTGACCAAGGATTACCAAAATGATTATTTTCTCCCACCTTTTCTCCATCTATGTATTTTAATTTTTGTGCGTCCACTTGAAACCTCAATTATGTTGAAGTTTTGAAGTCCCTTCTTGAAGTGGAATGCAGTCTGTAGAATTGTTGCTTGGCAAGAGTTAATTCTTGTTATTTTCCGAAACTAGGAGTTTCCTGTTGTCGTGTTGCTGCTGTGGCTGCATCTGGAAAATGTCAGATTGGCAGTGTTAGCCCACTATTTAGAATCTACCAATCATGATTCCTAGCATATAACTATTTTTTAGCTCATAAAGGAACGGGATCAGATTATCCATAGAGAACGTTTTGGTTGAGCTGTATCTAATAGCGAGATGCTCGTTGCAGGAACTCCTAACAAGACATAAATCTACTGTGGCTGAATTCTTATCAAACAACTATGACTGGGTAAGTTCAGCTTTTTAACATGATTCTTCCATCTTATTTAGCTTTCTACTTCTGTATATATAACAGCATCGATCCAACATTGTTATTGACAAAATCTAACTGCAAGTCTTATAGGGTGACCATTTTGTTTTTTCGGTTTTGTTTGATTGTATAATAACTTCTGATTGAACTAGCATTAAACTTTTTTCTTAACCACCGTACATATTATAGTTTTTTGCAGAATACAACTCGAAGTTGCTCGAATCTGAGAACTACATGACAAGGAGACAGGCTGTCAAGGTGATGAAGATCTATAGTGTTACCTTGTTGAGCAATCTATAGTGTTACTTTGTTTTCCCTGCTTTAATTGAATTTGGAGCAATTCTTCTACTGTCTGGTAATGTATTTCCGTTTGCTAAGCATTTCTTCACCTTGCAGCTATTGGGAGACATATTACTGGATCGGTCAAACTCACGTGTGATGACAACCTACGTGAGCTCAAGGGATAACTTGCGGATACTCATGAACCTGCTTCGAGTACGTATCAAAATCAAAATTCATTTATCTTTCTTCCTGCTATTCCCGATTTCTCGATGTTCTGTTTCATTGCGACGTTCTACTTAGACGTGTCAAATCATTCTCTGCAGGAATCAAGTAAAAGCATCCAGATAGAAGCATTTCATGTTTTCAAGGTGCAATATCCCTGAACAATCATTACATCAATCATGCACTCACGCTCTTGTCAAGAAACACCAAAAATTTCTGCTGATTGTTTGTTTTCTATGCAGCTCTTTGCGGCTAATCAAAACAAACCTGCAGATATTGTGAGCATACTTGTAGCAAACAGAAGCAAGCTTCTTCGTTTGTTTGCCGATTTCAAGCCAGACAAAGGTATGTACAAGAAGCTACATTTAGTCTCAAGTGTAAGATCCAACGATTAACTCGAACAGTTCTCTCCCTACACGCTCCGTAATCTCAATGCGTGTGTTCGGGTTTGGACTTTTTGCAGAGGATGAACAATTCGAGGCAGATAAAGCGCAGGTGGTGAGAGAGATAGCAGCACTCGAGCCTAAAGAGTAAAGACCTTGCCTGAGCAAGCAAGGGGTGCTGTGGTGTAATTCCTATTTGTTGTATCACAATACTACTTTTAATTTGTAATTCATGTAGGTAACCCAATCCTTCTAAACACACTTCGCCTTTTAAAGCTAAAAAGATAGACGCCTCAATAAGGCATTCTTTCTTTCTTTCTTTCTTTCCTCCGTCCCCTTACGCTGATCTTTTGTTAAAATTTGTTGACTTGGTGCTCTACTGAAGAGAGGAATAAATGAGAGGCAGTTGAATATTTGATGCCATTGTTGCTAGTTTCACTATAGCCATGTTTTCTTTATCGTCGTATTAGGATATAGTTCGTACTCTCAAGCACTCCAACAACATGGTGGATCAATTTTCTCGTACAGGCATCGCTCCAAACCTGACGGTTCCTCAGTTCAACTTTTAGCATATTCCATGGCATCTTCCTAAAGAGGTGTTGTATGTTTCACACTTTCACGTGAGTAAGGAATGTAACTCTTAGAGGTATGTTTGGCTCCACTTAAACAAAGAGAGTGCAAAAGAAGAATATTAGGCTAGAGGTAAGCTAAGAAGTACGAAGCATATGCCAATTACCAAACACTTCTCGTCTTCTCCATACTTAGCGCTAGGAAAATAAATGGTCCAGTTTGTTCCTCACTCTCACACTCCCAGCCTGCTTGCTCCTATTTCTCCTTTGGCCCGCATCTTTCCATCTTCACTCGCTCGCCGCAAAGCCTGTATCTTTCGATCAGTCCGACTCTTTCCCTGCGCGCGAAACATGGCGTCAGATGGTAAAAGAACTCATCTTTCGCTCTTTTCCCTTCACATTCTCGAATCCGTATGTACTTTTGTTGTCTTCTTCGTCTTTTCCGATGTGGGCTCTCCCGATTTCCTGGTAACGTTGTTGGGCTCTTCTCAGATTCGCTCAAGGAGTTCCTGGAGACCGCAGTTGATGCAGCTAAGAAAGCCGGAGAGGTTTGTATTTGGTATTTTTACCTTTCCTTTTCTGCGGAAGCTTTTTGTTTCGCTATTCGTGAATGTCGTTTTTCTGTTGTTTCTGGAATCTGCCAGGTGATACGTAAAGGGTTCTACCAGACCAAACAAGTGGAGCATAAAGGCTCGGTAAAATGCCCTCTCTTTTTGAATTTCCTTCCTCATGTTTCTTCGTGAATGAAAGATCTCTGACAACTGTTTCAGTGAGAACTGAAGTGTTGAAATTGGTTTGATATAATGCTGATACGTAACTTAATGAGTAGCAGCCGATTTGGCAGTGCAGTAGAGTTATGAATTTCAGGGCTTATAGATAATGTCTAGGCAGGGTTGTTCACATCAGCAGGGTATTGTCAATTGTGTGAAACCTTAGGTGCTTGTTAGCTGGAGAAATGAACTCTAATCATTATCCAGTAATCACGACGCACGAGTATGCATAGCGCTATTTGGATTGACGTGTTTGTGTGATTATGGATGGGATTAAACTTGTGCATTTGTAGTTGTACATTTTGGCTGGCTTACTGGTGATCTTATGGCTCTCTTATTGCATTCGTGCAGGTTGACTTAGTCACAGAAACTGATAAGGCGTGTGAAGATCTTGTTTTCAATCTTCTCAAGGAGCGCTACCCTACTCATAAAGTTAGTTTCATGTTCGACTTAAATGGATTAAATGGATATTCCTCCTTTGTACAACCCTTTCTTTACCTAAATTTCTGTTCTGCTCAAATAGGCATCTTTTTCACTTCAGAAGACTAGCTTTACCGTTTCAAGTGCTTATCTTGTAATGGTCTTTCTGTAGTTCATTGGTGAAGAAACAACTGCTGCCTATGGTGTTACAGAGCTGACTGACGAACCAACATGGATTGTGGATCCTCTTGATGGAACAACCAACTTCGTCCATGGGTAAAAGATTGTTCTGTGATGGATATTTCGATTTTCTATGTGTGCGTCTCATTGAGTTGTTCACATTTGTTGTAGCTTTCCCTTTGTTTGCATTTCCATTGGCCTTACGATTGGGAAGGTCCCCAAAGTTGGTGTTGTCTATAACCCAATAATGGAGGAGGTGAGGCTTTATAGTACATTCCTATTGTCATTGTCGATCATGTGACTTTGTAGTACATTTAACATAGCATCTCAGTTATACTTGACAACTTTCTTGGTTTTTAAGTCTTTAATTTGTTCTTTCTTCATATAAGAGTTAAGATTGTGGGTTTTCTGTAATGCAGCTATTCACAGCCATCCATGGGCAAGGTGCTTTTCTGAATGGGAATCCAATTAAAGGTTCGCTAAAGAACTGGTTCATAAGATGTTTCAACTTTTTTCACAGTTGATATGGACAAAAAAAATTTACCCGAGACTGAAACAACTACTTGGGGGTATTTCCCTCTTCTTATCCCCCTTTCATTTGCAGTATCTTCCCAACCCGAGCTTGTGACGGCTCTTCTAGCGACAGAGGTATTGGCGCCATTTCCCCAACAAATATGATTGTCTTATTCGATCGTTGCATTTCATGTTTCCGGAAATTTAAGTTGCTTATATTAGGCTGTAGAAGTATCACTGTTTGAGTGATTCACATTGAATCTTGCTGAGTGTTTGATCATATTTTGAATCTGCTTTGAGCAGGTTGGAACAAAACGTGATAAGGGAACAGTGGATTTTACCACAAACAGAATCAACAGCTTGCTTTATAAGGTTCGATCTCTGCGGATGAGTGGCTCTTGTGCATTGAATCTCTGTGGAGTTGCATGTGGACGGCTCGATTTGTTCTACGAAACTGGATATGGCGGCCCATGGTAACATTCACACAATCACACTTACATATTCTGCCACAAAACCTCAGGTCCTCAGTTCAATATTTTGATTCTTACACTACTATATCTTTTGCCAGGGATGTGGCAGCTGGTGTTCTCCTAGTTGAAGAAGCTGGTGGACTTATATTCGACCCGTAAGTTGTTACTGGCAAGAAAGCAATTATTTTTCTAGCATATTGTTGATTAAGCCTTAAGAAATCAACTCAAAATGTGGATTAATTATTCGCTGTCATGATCTTTATTATGCAGATCTGGTAAAGCATTCGACATCACATCGCAGAGAGTTGCAGCATCAAACTCGCTCCTAAAGGATGTATTCGTGGAAGCTTTGGCCCAATCAGGGTGAGCAGACGGTGAAATATATGATCAAGGGTAGTTGGTTGGTTGGATGGTTGGTTACTGAAGACCATCTACTTTTCCTAATCTTATTTATAAAGACCTAGTCATGGTGAGCTCGTTGATGTCATCTTTAGGCTATTTAAAATTACGTCTAGGTCGACAATTGACATTTGATATTCGATCTTTGCCATTGGACTATGGAATTATATGTCTCTCTCAACTCTAGTGTTATTCGAACTCAATTTCAGTACCTGATGTAAACACGTATGGACGTGTTCGATAACCAAATTGGTATGTAATCCAATGGAGATTCGGCTTAAATATGAGCTATAGTTCATGATTATGACATGGAAATGGTGAGGAAGAAGCAGTGGGTATTATTAGCTGTATAGAAAGAAGCAGATACATTTGGAAGCAAACCAATATCCTGCACCAGGTACAACATGGAAACTTCCTCTACATGAAAAATCAAAGTGCCCTTCCCTATAAATAAACATTGGCAATAAGTTAACAAACAAACGTTACAATTTGAATGAGACTGTAAAAAGAAGAATAAGGGATGGGAGGTCAACAATCTGAACAAAACAATATCTGATGTTCCTAAGCTCCATTGTTACTCCTCTGAGGTTCCTGCTTGTCCCCATTATCTCTCTCTGACCACCTCCTCTTCACGGTGATGTACCAGGTTGAAGCTTCCAGCCACACGGCGCTGAATCCCAGCGCGACGATCACACCAATATAAGCGTTCTTCCATTTCTTGTCAGGCTGCAGGATTTCAAACCCTTTGAATATGTTGATGACAGTCAGAGTAATGACAGCATACCCAATTGTGTGGTGGTATATGTTCCAGTAGAATCTGTACTTGTGATCTGGTTTTGGCCTTAGAAACAAAGCAAACACCTGGAAAACGATAGGACAGAATAAACAATGTTGCCTGAAAGCAATAGAAGAAAGGTTTCAGCTTTTTGAGTCAGTTAAGTTACCTGAAGGGTTCCAAGGCAGAAGAGACCGATCCCAATCGTTCGATGTGTACTGTAGACGATGCTCGGAGACTGGCTACCGAGTTGCAATCCGGTGATCCAGCCGGCGATTCCGATGATATAAGCCATGGACTGGCAACTAAGATGAAGGTAAAACCAAGCAGGGCCAGTTGAGCTGAAGACTTTGAGGTACCTTGCTGTCAAAGCTCCGATTGGCATCATAATTCCCCAACTCACTACATTTATCACCCCATGGATCTGAAATGTAGACAAGGAAGAAAAAAAGTTATTTCTAAGAACACAATCAATACATACTTAAATTTCTTTCAATGTGTAAGTAATTACAAATTTCTTGCTTTCTTCCATTACCACTTATAAATTTCATTTCTTTTTGCTTAAAGATGTTTTCTTTCTCAATCCCCCTTATTATTAGACTACCTTACCCCTTCCTTAAGCAATACACAAAACTTTCCGATCAAGCACCATCAAAAACTCCAACAAAAAACTGAAAAACCCAACAAGAACCCATAACCGAGAAAACAGAGCTCAGCAGCATTTCTACTACCCACATTTCTCTTCCTCATCCGATCATCACCACCGCCACCGCCCGCAGATTGTCCGGACAGCAGATTGAGAGTCGCCGCCGCTCTCACATTACCCCCACTCGTCGAGTGCTGAATCGGCTTACCTCCGTCCACCGGACCGTCCTGCCAGACATGGTTCAGGCTCGTGGTGTTCTCCTTCAGCCGAATGTAAGCAAAGATGACGATCTCTTGCTCCCCTGCAAAATACTCCGCTGTAACGTCCCTGACATCGACGCTGAGCTTCGCCTCGATCAGCGACGTGGAGTAGTCGTTGACCGGGGAAGTGTAGGCGGTGAGCTGGCCATCGCGATGGTAGGCGACGAGAGCTTGCGAACCGATCATGGCAGGGGCGGAAGGGTTGATTGCCCAGGCGACCCACGTGGAGGCAGGGGAGCTGATTCCGGCGTGGCGGTAGGCGATTTGGAGGACGCCGGTGGATTGGTCGTAGTCCCAGTGGAGGAATGAGTCGAGGTACGGGAGGTCGACGCATGAAGGGAAGACTCTGTTTTGGGAGAAGGTGTGGGTTGAGCATTTAGATGATGCAGGGGAAGAAGAAGAAGAAGAAACAGGGGAGGTTACTTGGATTAGAAGAAAGGTGAAAAACAGAGGAATTTTAGGATTCAGGGTAGCCATTGTGTTCTGATGTTTAGTAGGCTGTTCAAGGCCACAAAATCTTCTTCTTAAAGACTTAAACAATAGGAGAAGACTCTTAGTAGGGACAAATTTTGCTTCTTCGAGTGTTGCTCGCCATTGGCAGAATGGAGAAAGTGGAGAATGGTGTTTGAGCTTGTGTTTTGGGGAGATGGGAGGAGGAAAAGGACAAGAGAGAGAGGTGGGAATGGGGAGAAAAATTGGGAGTTAATATAGAGATGGAGGTGGAGAAGAAGAAGAAGGTGGTTTTGGGGTTGGTTTTTAGTTGGGAAAAGGAGCTTAGTTCATTGTTGTTGGTGTTTTGGAAATATTTACCTTGTTTTGATGTGACTATGTGAATCTTAGACGACAAAACTATTTAATTCGATTATGTCATCCAAAAAATGACATGAGATCCAATGTATTTGGGTTGGAACCATTATATGGGTGGATTATGTGATAATGTGTGAGGGTTTGTATGACGTGTTCTCGACGTTTCATTTTTACGATACATCATTTTAACATACATTTTTTGGCTTTATGCATGGTTGTAAATCTGAAAAATATGCTTTTATGGATTTATCAAGTATTCGTGAAGTAGTTTTGGTCTAATGTGTTACGGTTTAACTATTACAAAAATGAAAAATGAAGAGCTGGAAAGGGATGAATACATATTATGAGATTAGGTAGATTGCATATCTGACGACAAATTTGATAAGGTAGTGAATTTATTTGGCCGGTAAATTTTATGATAAATTATTATTATTTTATTCTTTGTTGTTATAGGCCACTTAGCTTTGCCCATGTATACTTTTATTGCCTGTGATATTGGATCATTATGTTTATGTTTATGTTTGAAGCAATCTTTGTAATTAACTAATTATTATTCGCTTAATGACATTTAAAAGAAACCTCGAACTTGTAGGTGCCATTATCAAAACAAAAGCTGTAAGTTGATAATTTTTAAGACGGCATGTTCCCATTTGATTCTTTCCCCATTACCCATCGTCTTCTTCGACAGAGACTGGCAGCGGCAACAAGAAGCATCGGCTGCCGCCGTCGTGCCGTTTTGGGACCAACTGGACAATGAAAGAAGATGGCTGAAATTCCTCTGCTTGCAGAAACAGCTTCCTAATTTCTTGGAAAGCGACGACTTTGTGAAACAATAGAAGAAGAAAAAAAAACAGAGAATTTATTATATTTACATGAATTACTATTGAGATGTATTAACAATTCACTATTTAATTATTTTGGTATCTATTCACAATTTAATTGATATGGTGAGAATTTTAGTAATTATAAGATCCATAATTAACTTCTAATTCGTGCTGCTTGGGACTGATCAGTTCCAGGATATGCAGGCGCCAACAACATGTTTGCAATTTGCGTGTGTATAATTGTCATTCACGCCATCAATGTGTTTTAATGGGTTGCCGTGGGATGTTGGGAGTTCTTAATTGCAATTAGTTTTTGGTTAATTGTTGTTTATCAAACTTGGTGCAAACAATCATCCATGTAAATAAATATTTTATTAAATTAAGGCTCAACCACTAGACTAACAACCTTATGGAGTACAATTGGGATTTGGGCATTCGTAATTTATGCTTAATTAATCACATTTTGTCATGATGATGGAAGATTTCTTTGTATGTTGGAATGTAGGAATGGAAATGGGCAGGTCTGGGGCGGGTTTTTTTGGACCCAGACCCGCCTCGTGGCAGCTCAAGTTTAGGTCGGGTAATTTATTATGGGTCGCAGGTCGGGGCAGGCCGACCCAATGGGTATGCAATTTACATGAAAAATATTAGAAATATTCGTTATTTTTATTATAAGACCACGAAAACAAACAATATTATGATAATTGTAGTTAAATTATTACAGAAATTGAGATTTTCACTAATTTATAACTTTATTATAGCTAAATCATCATGTAATTAATGAAAAATTCTAAGTAATTGAACTAAGATTACATGTAATTTAGGCAAGAACGAGTCGAGAATGGGACGAGTCAAGGCAGGTCGGGTCGATGAGAGTACCTATGCCCGCCCCGCCCCGTTTACGGGGTATGTCGGACCCGCCTCAAAACAGGCCAAACATATCGGATAAAACGAATCAGGTTAAAATTGTCATCTCTATTGGAGTGGAACTGTGGAAGGTGGGGTTTGGAGTGACTGAGGCAGTCCGCACAAGATAAGGAATAAGAAAATGAACCAAATTCCTGATTGTGGAACTTGAATGGACCCAACCCAAGCCCATTTTCGAGCCTCTCTTTTGTGGATGGGCTAGCGCCTAGCAGCATAACTGCAATAGAAACCCCCGGCCCGTTTCTATATTGGCCCAATTTTTGTATGGATTTTCCAAGGCTGCATCAGGGTCCATGTTTGAACTTCAACTCTCTCATGTCATGTCCATCTCACAATCCATAGGTCCTTAAGTATTTTATAAGAGCTAGAAATAAGAAGAAGGAAAACATAAAGAAACAGTTCCTGTCAATTTATATGCACAAATTCCATGTTTCCACAATGACAACAAATAATATGATGGATGTAGGGAACTTATAATCGTGTGAAGATTATACTTTCAAAGGTGTGACATTTTTAAGATGGCACCATTTCTACTTATGTGATGAGGGAGGTGGGTAGTTAGCTAGGTTAGGGGCACACAATGCACTTATTGCATGCATGGCAAGGCCACACAACCATCAATTTCATGACAATGCCACATGTGGTTAAAATTAGGAGTAAGAATTTTTAAGCTCGCTCGTGTTACATTGATCTCTTTTGGGAGGTAGAGGAGATCCGTGCAGGGCACTGACGACCCCTTGTTTATCTAGTTTGTGTTTTGACGATCTAGTTGTTATAATATAAAAACATAGAGCTACTGATTATATTTATATATCATGTTCACAAAGGAATCATTGTTAACGTCACAAATTAATTCTATGTGCATCGCAATAATCGTGTAGAAAACTCATTTTTATTAGGAGCTTATGGACAGGAGAAAGAACTTCAACCCCTTGTATCTTCAGTCGATGGTAGATTTCAGTGATAATTTTGCTTGTAATGTGCTCAATCTGGTCTGAAATCTTCTACGGACTGATGATAAACGTCTCGCGAACCAAGCCCTAAAACATTTTACCACGAACAAGATTAGGTTATGCAAATTTGTTGCTTATGATATGGTGGATTGTTAGGGAGGGTGAAACTGAAACAAAACCCCATGAACTCATAAGACTTTTACTGTTTACCTAGAGGACGGCCGAGAGCCGACAATTGACTAGATCCATCAGCTGACTATAGTAACTAACAAAAATCCAAAAAACTTGGAGATGAAGGATCAGCTTTGACCTATATCTGCCGACATTGAGATACAATAATGAAATCCTCCACTCGACGAAATTGTTACTGTTACAGAACAGTCGCCATTTTATGACCTCTCAAATTTGAGGAGATGGGATTATGGTTAGCTAGGCATCATTATCAAAAACTGCTTAGTTGTTGGGAGGACTATAATTAGCTTCTGGTCTTGAACTGATCTCTTGTTAATGACTACGACGTTATATTAATCATGCATGGCAGCCGACAGGTTTGGCAAATAATCGTGTGTGATTGACAACTTGATGTGTGTGTTCAACCACGTCGTTTAATTCGGATCACTATTGTTATAAACGCGCTGCTACGAATCGGGAAATCGCCGGAATCGACAAAGCAAGAATACGAAAGCAAGAATCGAAAAACACAAACACACGATTTACTTGGTTCACTAACACGATGTGTGTTAGCAACGTCCACGGGCGAGAGAGAGTTAGTTTCACTATATCGAGGAGATTATAGTTTACAGAGAAGTATGAGAAGTATTTATAGTACTTCTCCATGTGGGTCTAAACCTAATCCAATCTGGCAAAGGAAACGGTTACAGACCAGGCCCAGAACCCGAACCCAAATAACATTGAGCCCATACACCCCGATTACCAGTCGTAGCGGCTGATAGTCCGATTCAAGTCACATCAACAACTATAGTTCCACGATCTAACTGTTCATCTTACTGTTTCGAGTAATGTCACTGAGCCAAGTGGCATTTCTTGTGTCCAAAGAAGTGATTAGTGGCATCTACTCGATTAATTTGATGTGGACAGTTGAAGAATCAAAACCCCCATTTCTCATTTATTGTTCAATACCGTGTTTGATGTTTCGTGAGGACACAAGTTATTTTTATTTTTACTGAATTTACATTGAAACAAATTAAATGAATTAGATAATACCTAATATTGCTTAATATATATATTATTATTATGTACATTATGGAACAGAAGAATGGTACTATGTACTCTAGTGATCCAGGCGACGAAACCAAATCTTCCTTACAAAATTATTGAATTAATTAATTAATTGGGGGTGTTTGCAAGTAGTGCCAATGGCCAGCCAGGGTGCTAAACAGCGCACAATGTCCCAATAAGAATCAACATTATCATCGATTTCCGATAAATAACATAAAATAAAGACCATGTTATTTAGTGACTATATGTACATTGTCAGAGATTGTCATACATATATATTGGAATAATAATTAACCATAATAAATCCGTACCAATAGTGTTTTTATAATTCAATAGATTGGCCGTGCACTTGTAGTCAATAATATAGTTGTATATATAACATATTCTTTTCCTTTCCATTTGGTACGTTGAATGTGGGTTTTATCATTTATGTCTTGATTAAATTCAATTATTTTCCGAATATATATCTTAAAAAAAAATAAAATCTTTGAATGGTTTAATGAGTAGTGATGCAATCATCAAATGATGATGGAGGAGATTGGAGATCTTAATTATTATTATTATTCATTAGTATGCTTTTCATTGTATTAGTTATTAAATTGTCCAATTGTGGATCATAGTAAGACACTAATAAACAGATGCAAAAGTTAATTAGTGACATGATAGAGAAAGCAAATTGTTTTTTGTTTAGGTGGTATTGGAACGAACGTTGAAAAACCGACAAATACCACATACAAGAGCACAAATTAGTCTAAGATCCAACTCCAAAATAAGCTAAGTTTCTATCATCACAAAACTAAAATCCATCCATTCTTCATTCATTTTGATTGAATATAACATGCGAGAATTGAACAATTGCCATCCTCGCATTTAGTATAAGCAGGGGGACAAGCATACACAATCTTAATTTGCATCCCCCGCCCCCTCGAGTCTCAACAACGGAAAAGTTCTTATAGGTAGAGCTACTTCTGCAATTGCACTTCAAAACGTATTCCCAAACTTGCATGAGAACCACGAAAAGAGACATCCACAACAAAAACTATCTACTTCGAAATCGAAAATTCAGAGTCGCTTCATGTGCTCCAAACATCAATCCACTTCACTCTCTACATTTCGTGATCGATAATTCTCTCGAATCAAAGTAACTACCCAACTCCCAACCCGAATAACCGATCATATATGTACCGCATTAGAACAAGTAACAATCATTTTGTTCATAATCACCCACATTATTATCCCATGAACAATGGTTTTTGTTCAAGGGTCGAAAAATCCACAACCCTGCGGCCCAAAATTATGCAAATGGCCCAAAGTTGAAGCGTATTGTCACCATTGAATTGATGAATGTGAAGGAAACGACAGGATCCTTCACAAAATCTGGGTCAGAAGAAGCCTGAAAGTGAAAAGTGAAAAGAATGAATCGAAGAGAGGCCCACTTCCCCAGCTTGCTCTGTACGGGTACACGTGTGAGAACCGTGTCGTGTCGGCACGTGTGGTTGTTTTTTTTTTCACTTTGTACCGTTTTACCCAAACCCAGATTAACCAAATAATTAATTTTCCCTCCAACCGAGTACGGAAACGACAAGCCGTTTCTTTCTTTTAAGCCACAAGGAAAAGATTCGAACAGAGGAGCTGTGACGGACACAATTGTCCTTAGACGCGTAACTTTATACTTTCTCTCTTGTTATTATAAAAATAGTTTTTAAATTAAAAATTTCTCTTCGTGGATATCAATTTTTTGCCAGCACAGCCACAGCCCCCTTTTTTTTTTATTTTTATTTTTTTTTATATATAAATCTCTCATCTTCACTTTCCCTTTCCCTCTTTCTTCCTCTCCAGCCACTCCCTGTCTCTGCAACCATGAGAGAGTAGATTTTTCCGGAAACCAAACACTACCGATTCATCCTTCATTCACCACTCCAAGCAATAAAAATGGTGTCTTTCGATGATTCCCTCTCCCACCACCATCACCATCTCTCAAGCTCCGGCCGATTCCCTCTCCCTCGCACGGATTTCTACTCTCCCCTGCTCTCTCCTTCCGCCTCCACCACCAAGATCAACCGCCAAATCGGCCGCTCCATGCGGACGATCCGCTCCACTCTTTACACCGGAGAGGACAGCTGTTCCTCCTTCGCTTCCGCCGCCGCCTCGCCTGACCACGGGTTTGTGTCCGAGAACTTGACCGACTCTGTTGTGGACATGCGCCTCGGGGAGCTCGCCGCAAGGAACTTCCTCAACTGCTCTGGCAAGTCGGAGAAATCGTCGACGGCGAATTTGACCTCCTCCGCGGCGGCGGCGGAGGAGTTTTTGGATATCTCGCAGGCATTCAGTGATTTCTCCGGGTGTAGCAGCGATATATCCGGGGAATTGCAGCGATTGGCGTGCTTGCCTTCTCCCAGACGAGGAGGGGAGGAGGAATTACAGCCAGAGCCGGAGCCGTGCTTCGGGTTTCTGCAGAGGGAGAGCTTCTCGACGGAGATAATCGAGAGTATTTCGCCGGAGGATCTCCAACCGACGGTCAAGATCTGCGTGGACGGCCTTGAATCTCCGTCAGTGGCGGTGAAGCGATCCGCGGCAGCGAAGCTGCGTCTCCTGGCGAAGAATCGGTCGGACAATCGAGCATTAATCGGCGAATCCGGCGCGATTCCGGCGCTAATTCCTCTCCTCCGGTGCAGCGATCCGTGGACCCAGGAGAACGCCGTCACGGCTCTGTTGAATCTCTCCCTCCACGAAGGCAACAAGGACCTAATTACCAACGCCGGAGCCGTCAAATCCCTGGTCTACGTGTTGAAGACAGGGACGGAAACCTCCAAGCAGAACGCAGCTTGTGCATTGCTAAGCCTCGCATTGGTGGAAGACAACAAATCGTCAATTGGAGCTTGCGGCGCAATTCCTCCCCTGGTTGCTCTCCTAATCAACGGATCCACTAGGGGAAAGAAGGATGCTTTGACGACTCTGTACAAGCTCTGCTCCATCAAGCAGAACAAGGAGAGAGCGGTGAGTGCTGGAGCTGTGAAGCCACTGATAATGATGGTGGTCGAGCAAAGTTGTGGAATGGCCGAAAAGGCGATGGTGATACTGAATAGCCTGGCGGGGATTGAAGAAGGCAGGGAAGCTATAGTCGAGGAAGGAGGGATTGCTGCCCTTGTGGAAGCCATTGAAGATTGTTCTTCTCCTAAAGGGAAGGAGTTTGCTGTGCTGACACTGCTCCAATTGTGCACTGCGTGCTCGACCAACCGCGGGTTGCTTGTGAGGGAAGGTGGGATTCCTCCTCTTGTTGCATTGTCTCAGACTGGGACTGTAAGAGCCAAGCATAAGGTCAGTATAAAGAGTGAAATTCCTGCTCTTTCATTTCATGTTAGAGAGAGTTTGAGCTAGATTATGTGGGATTTGGTCTCAGTTCCCTGATGTTTCTCATTTCCCCACGGCATTTGTGCTTTGTTAATGGTGTTTGCAGGCGGAGACACTGCTTGTATTCTTGAGAGAATCAAGAAATGAGGCTTCATCTTCAAGTCCTTAGAAAAAATAGAGATGGTGGTAACTTTTATTCTCCTTCCCCAACTATTTTCAGAGAGGGTAGATTATATCATATCACTACTCACTAGCTAGACTTGTGATCGAGGGTTGGTTTTGATGGATATGTACATAGGAGTAGTGCTTTTTGTTTCCTTTCTTTCTTGATATGTACAGTGTGCTCTTGTTGTAAGTTTGAATTCTCTCTATGAAGTAAGAAGAAGTTAGAGAGGGAAGGGAGGCTAGGAGTTGAGCAAAGAAGCCGACTTTTGTGAAATGTATGACTTTCGAAGACTAGGAGGGTTTTTGAGAAGGGGGGATTGGGAAAAAAAAAGGTTCCTTATTTCACATGGTATTCTGCAGGATGAATACTGTGTGTATGTCTGTTGGTGTGTGTTCATGTAAATCTACGGATTTGGGTTAGTCTTCCTTATGTTTTGATTTGGATGGTGACCCAAATTTCTGTTCTTTGAAGGGTATGTTACCTTTGTGTAAAAGTATAATCAGGTTTTAGAGATTATATGTATTGCGCCTGTATTAGGCAGTTTAGCTTGGAGCTGTACTATGGTGGACATGTATTTCACTAATGAGTAATGACATATCTTAGTTTTTCTGCTTGAGACTGTTTCCACATTGTGGATTATATAACCAGGGGCAGGCATGATCCTATGATCCTAGTACAGAATCGGTATACAGACTGGATCGGAAAGAACAGATGACGATCACAACATGTTCAGAAGATTCAGTCATTTCTATCGGGTACGTTTCGATCCAAGCATCGGGTTCTTACGACCTGGTTTCTTGTTGTGGTGAGGTAATGCAGTGCAGGGACCTTCTCCACTGCGGCCATGCTCTTCTTTCTGTTCTTTTGTGTGTTGTTTTCTGATGATGAACTCTTCTCCGGCCAAAACTTGAAACAGAAGTAAAGGCTTGAGGAGCAAACAAACAAAGGTTCTTTGCTCAGTTTCTTGACCTGCCGCCAACTGGAAGGCCAAGGATTATCGATTACTTTAATGGCTGGGAGGAAAAGATATAATAGTTTATTAAAGAAAAGAAAAGTAATGCAGAAAAGGGTTGTTCTTCTTCTTCTGGGTTTGGTGTTTGAGCCTGACCTGAAGGTTGGCTTGTGGACTGTAGTACCTTTTACTTTCATTTGTTTGTTATTATATGGTGACTAATATTTATAAATAATTGCCTTCCTTTGAATGGTGTTTGGCTTCTTCCTCATTCTTCCTTGCTTGAAAGGGTGTAAAGTCTAGAAACCATAACCACAAGGCCACAACAACACAATGGCCAACCAAAACCTTATCTCCATCACAGCAACTTGTCTACTTTTGTGCATGAGCTTGATTGGAGTATTGAATTGTTGCTTTCTTCAAAGGAGAGAGACCAAAGACAAAGTCTACTTCATCTTTTGAAACGAGGAAGGATGCAAAATATGGTTTGGGGGACAGGTGTTCTCTCCATGGCAATGACTGCATTTTTCTACTCTCCTTTGTGCAAATGATGGGCTTTAGAGACTAGGGTTATGCTTCTCGAGGTGCATTAGGGAGTAAATGATTATGATAAGAAGCACTAAAATATTGCACTCCATGTGCAATGTTGATGATAGCACTGGGTTTAACCACTAGTGTAGTGTAATCATGTTTGAGTGGTATTAGATCACAAGAGCAATAATGAAGCTGGTGGGCATGCATTCCGTTTGGTTCGAAGTGCAACTCGCCTCAGATCACAAGTAAGAATTCGTGTGGATCGAGCCTTGAATCTATTTAAGTATCGTTTCGGTTGTATTTCCTGGTTTTAGGGTGGACAACGTGTGCATTTTACTCTGAAATCAGAAGTAACTTGGTACCCAATTTGAGGCTCTCAAATCTCAATATGATCTTAGATTTGACTAGGAATGGTTGGCAACGTCCTCTTCACCAGAAGCCAAAAACATCCAACCCCACCCACAGGAAGGTTAGGAGGGAAGAGAGACTTTTAAAATCTGTAGGAACAGCATGTTTCTATGCATTTATGATGGATTGGGTGCTCTCCTAACTTTACCTTTCCTTTTGTCTGCAGCTTCGTTTAGCTGGCAAAGAGGCAGGCGTGGTGCTCTGTTCTTCTGTCTGTCTTGCTCCCCTGTTTTCTTTTGAGTGCCAAATGGCCACCATACTTGATGGTTCTCTGCTTTTCCAAAGGCTTTCTCTATTCATGGGAGTCCTTTGTGCTTATCGTGGCCAAATGGTTTCATGGGAGTCCTTCAAACTTTATCTTGGCCAAATGGTTCGTCTAAGGTATATGGAGAAACATTAGAGATACTTTTTATGCATTCAAATGTTGATTTCAGTATTATCGATAGGAGAACTCTGAAAAAATGGCTTATGTAGGTCTCGAACCATGCCCAACTCTCTTGATTACCATTATGATGCAAGTTTCCTTCTGTTATCTTCCTTGATTACTTATTAGGGGTGGGCACGTGGGTGGTTAATCCACGGATTGATATCGATCCACCCGCAAATAACCCGACCCGCATGCAATGGGTGATTGATGTGGGTGGATTGCGGATTGTTAAATCTCCCACCCGCACTTATGTGGGTGGATGGTGGGTGGATTGCGGGTCACCCGTATGACCCGCATTATATTTTTTACATGGAAAAATGTTGTTTCTTATAGTATCGAATATTCATCATATTTTCAAATGCACTACAGTCTGACCATATACTGCAAAAGGTGGAGAATAAAGAATAGTTTTGACTACTATTATTATTGGCTATTGTGTTGTGCAATATCTATTTGCAATGAATATTGGTATGCAAATTATCCATTAAATATTGGGATACAAACTATAAATTATTAATTGTATCAAAATCACAAATTATTGATACAATCTTACTAATGTGCTATGAACTTATTATAAATTTTAGTCAATTTTCTTAATGGCTAGTTGGAGAATTGCTTTTGCGGGTTAACCCGCGACCCAACCGCACCCATCCGCCATCCACCCAACCCAACCCGAATAAGTATGTGGGTGGATTGCGGGTCACATATATTCCAACCCGCTAGTAAGCGGGTGGGTCAATTTTAGACCAAAATCCACCCAACCCGCCCATTGCCCACCCCTATTACTTATGATGTTTCGGAGGTTATGTTGACAGTTAAGATGTTGTTTGATCTTTTGAATATAAAAGAACATTAGATATATTGTAAAAAAAAAAGAACATTAGAGATATATTTATGCATTAGAATGTCAATCTCAAATATTATCGATATTATTTGTTCGGCAAGGGAAAAAAAGTGGCCCATGCAGGTCTCGAACCTGCGACCTTCGCGTTATTAGCACGACGCTCTAACCAGCTGAGCTAATAGGCCAGATGATTTGTTATGCGATTTTGTAATTATATACCTAGTGCAAATAGAAAATATAAAAGAAATTTTAGTTTAGTAAAACAGAAATCAATAATAATATAGGTCCAATTTTGGTTAATCAAATTTCTAAACAGAAAGTTCAAGTTTTGATAATGTTGTATCAACATTTTGTATCGGACATAAGCAGGCCGCTCATGTGGGCTTGGTAACTGACTCTGGATCATGCTGAGAAGCCCTTACTGAAATTTGGGCCCTACAGGCCCAACTAGCCAATCTTGGTTTCTCTAAACTCAGTCAGGATAAACCTTCTTCAGTTCTTCTTCCATCTCTGATCTCTCACTCGCTGGCTGTCCCGCCCAAACCAGAGTTACAAGAAATCCTCTGCCTTCCATTCGCAAGACATTCATGAAGCCTCCTCCGCTGCCTTTTTTACCATCTTAGAACTGCTGCTTTCCCTTCAAATTTTGTTTCCAGGTACTTCAAGCTCTCCTTTTTTACTTATAGTCCAGGAAGCTTGTGAATAAAAATGGCGCGGAACCCATGTTCGAACAAAAGCTTGGGTTTTTATGAGTTGATTTGGAATTAAATGAACTTCAATCAGATTGAATTGCTTTCAGTTATGTGCCTTCTTTTTGAATGACTTTGGATTTGTTTTGGTTCTTCTCATTAACACGAGTAGATGAGGAAATCTCAGTGCTTTTGGAATGATTGGATTTGTATGTTTAAAATGCTTGCAGAGGGAGAGAAGGAATTCCATGATTTCTCCAAATTTGGAGTCTCCTGAATCTGGGCATTGATTATAAAATATTAGTGAGCAATGCTGCAAAGAACTTCAGTTTCCCCAATTTTCAGCAGGACATCGTCGCCTCTCTTGTTAATGGTTATTACAAGAAGAATCCCGCTGATCTCATTTCTCCAGCACAGCTACCATACTTTTCACCGCCCTTCGATTCTCTCATACCATCATCATCACCATCCATTTGCTCTACCTGTGAAATTCACTAGCAGAAGAGCCGAATTTTGTAGCTTGATATCTTCAGCAGCAACACGCATCCGTAAGTCGTCACCAACAGTGACTAATAGGGTTTCTGGTAGAGAAACGAAAGCACAGAGGAAAGCTGCCCGGAATTCACCTGAGGGGCAGCTTCGTGTGAAGATCGACATGTGCTCGAAATCTGGAGACCTAACTGAGGCACTACGCCTGTATGATGAGGCAAGGAGGGATGGGATCCCGGTTACCCAGCACCTTTACAATGTATTGCTGTATTTGTGCTCTTCTTCTAATGCGGGTTCCTTCTCTGATTTGGGTTTGAAGAGGGGATTTGAGATATTTCAGCAGATGGTGATTGATAAAATTGATCCTAATGAGGCTACTTTTACAAATGCAGCTAGGCTTGCTGCGGGTCTAGAAGACCCTGACATGGCATTTGATTTGGTTAAGCAAATGAAGGATTTCGATATCCCTCCAAAATTGAGGTCATATGGCCCAGCCTTATTTGGCTACTGTGAGAAGGAGATGTCGGATAGAGCTTATGACGTTTATCTACACATGAATGAAACTGGTGTAGTGGCTGAAGAGGCGGAGCTTTCTGCACTTTTGAAAGTGAGTGCTCATGCAGGGAAGGGAGATAGGGTGTATGAGATGATTCATAGGTTGAGAGCCACGGTCAGACAAGTTGCAGATTCGTCTATGGAGATTATTGAAGATTGGTTTAAATCCGAGGGCGGGGGGAAGATTGGTTTAGGGAAATGGGACGAGAGGAAGGTAAGGGAAGGAATTGTGAAGGGAGGTGGAGGGTGGCATGGACAAGGGTGGTTAGGGAATGGCCTGTGGAGAGTGACGAGAACTCAAGTGGATGATGAAGGTGTTTGTCGGTGTTGTGGGGAGAAGCTTGTTTGCATTGATATCGATCCAAGAGAGACAGAACATTTTGCTAGCGCATTGAGTAGCTTGGCCTGCAAGAAAGAGGTCAAATCAGATTTCATCCGCTTCCAGGTGTACAAGAGTTGCTACTTCTCTCTCTATGTATCATTTGCAATTCCAGCCAATAACCCTCTTTAAGTTCTATTTGTTCTACATTTTGACTTGAAACTAATGATGCATCAGTGAACTGTTTTCAGGAGTGGCTCCGCAGGCATGGTCCATTTGATGCGGTTGTAGATGGAGCTAATATAAGTTTGATCAACCAGCAGCATTTCAACTTCCACCAGGTCAGGGATCAAGGAGTTTAGAGATACACACTCTTTCATGAAAAGATTTGTGCAAATGTGTAATTCATTGATTCTCAATGGTCTCATTTTTTTCTGTGATGCAGCTTAATAATGTTGTGAACCAATTGCGTGAAATGAGCCCATCAAAGAGATTTCCACTTATTATTTTGCATAAAAGCCGTGTGACTGGAGGTCCTGCTCAACATCCGAAGAACCAGGCACTGTTAGAGAGATGGATGAAGTCTGGTGCACTTTATGCTACACCTCCTGGTTCAAACGACGATTGGTAAGTTTTATGATTTCTGAGAGTTCTATGGTGTTGTTACACTCTCAAGTTAGCTTACATTATTAGCAGTATAACTTGCTTACATTCTCTTTTCACTATCTGATTCTATCTTATACACTGATATGCAGGTACTGGTTATATGCTGCTGTCAGTTTTAAGGGTTTGTTAGTCACCAATGATGAAATGAGAGATCACTTGTTCCAATTACTCGGAACATCTTTCTTTCCGAGATGGAAGGAGAAGCATCAGGTATGGTTATCCGCTTGCATTATATCGCATGTCTAAGTTTGTCCTATGCTGCATAAGCTGTATGTCCTTGTTGGAACTTCAGTTGCCATTTCAGTATTTACTACTTACTACTTGCCTTTCACTTTTTTTTGTTACTGCTGTAAGTCCTATGCAAGTGCTATAGTCCTCTGGTTGCTTAATGATTGTATAGTATTAAAATTCTATTTAACTTGAAGTTACTTGCTATTGAATAAATTGAACACTTGATGGAACAATTTGCAGGTTCGATTGTCGGTATCAACATCTGGGCTCAAATTACACATGCCGCCTCCTTATTCAATTGTTATTCAGGTGATAGCCCAAAAAAAACCCAGCTCTCTTTTTCACAATACCATTTTGCAGAGAGAATGTGGGGTTTATGCGTTTCTTGATTCAAATGCAGGAGTCCGAAAAGGGTAGTTGGCACGTTCCAATGACCACGGACGATGATCTTGCTACCCCAAGGCAATGGCTATGTGCAACTAGACAAAGGGCAGAGAGACACACACATTCACAATGAAGAAACTCCTTGAGCGACTTGGAAGTTTACTTACCTTCATCAGAAACTCCCAACTGATGGCAGATGTGGTTCTTCGGCGCAGTGGTTTAACAGTTGGTGTATCTATGTAAAATCATCAATTTTGAACTGAATGGTAGATTAGTTGCAGAGATGGACTGCTGCACAGCTGCATGTTGCTCTCTGCACATATGCAACTACTGAAGAATTGAGAACTGACCTGGTGAATTTCCCTTGCCAGTTCCCAATGGTGGTAGCATGAGTTGCTCTTGTAGGCTTGATTATTGTTAAGGAATTTCATTTATTTCAATGTCAACAACAGAAGAAGAAGCTAAGGGCTTAGAAGGTAGATCATTCAAGTAGAACAAGTCAAGGTGTTGTTTTTATTCCCTTAGTGAAATAGGGAACTGTATTCATCCCTTCAATCGAATCGAAAGTAGCAATTCATGCAAATTATTGCTGGAAGATTGCTTATTAGACTAACTGAAATACGGATTCATGAGGATGACATATTTCTTGAAAAAATAAACTTCTAGGGGTTCTTTTGAGAAAAATATAAAAGATCAGTGGCCATACTTGACAAATGAATACGGTTAACCTAACAAAACTATTAACCGGGAAAAATGAAATAATAACAGAATGACCAAAAACCCTGAATAAACCCCCAGAAGACGAAATCCGCAACTCCAAAAGTTTTCACCGCCGATGAATTCATCCACGAAGCGCCTTCAATCCGACTGAGAAAATTCCAGCTCTGACTTCTCCCCGCCATAATTCATTCTTGTAGAAGGTAAATGCCCTCTCGATTCTCTCAGTTCCACATCTTAGCATTGAATTTGATCCCTCGAAACAGATCCAAAATGCCCGTTCTGGGCAAAATATGTAATTTCCGGCAGTAGATTCCGTAAGTCCAGAAGCAATAGTCGATCCCCAGCTTAAAGTTTCCGTCTTTGTCTATTGCTGTTCGAAGCTGATGCTGTATCATTTCTGGGTTCGTCTCATTTCATAGCTCTTTGTGAACTTGATTGTCTGCCTGAGAGCATACTTTTTAGTTCGTCATTTTGCATTCTTCTGTAAACCCTAATCTACTTTTAGGAGATGGATGTTTGATCGTATTGTCGTATTGGGACTCCTTTCGAGAATTCTGAAGATGGTTAATGAATTGTAGAAGTAATTAACTGCAGTACTATACTATGAGCTCATTGAACCAATCCTAATCCTGATGCAGAGCTGAAGACATTGATGGTTTGCATGTGGTGAAATCCTAGGATTCAGATGTTGGGTTTGGGATACTCAATGGACGAATTGCTAAAGAACCACCTTTTCGCAACTCATGCCATTGCTGGTGCAGGCTCGGTGGCATTAGGCACTGCACTAACTTACCCTCTTGATACAATCAAGGTCCTTACCCAGGTTTGTGTACTGTAGAATCTGTCACCGAATCCCAGTTCTAACAAGGCTCCTTAATTCTGTATTTTCTGACTATGGATGGTTGGTTTTGAGGTGATGAACAGGTTGGTTCAAGTTCTAATAAGCAGTTGACTCCACTTTCAGTTTTAAGAAGAGTTCAAGCTCTGTCTGGAAACTCAGGTCTACTCCTTGGAATATGCTGAATGTTCCTATTTTCTTGGTTTTGTCGTTACGCAACTCCTTACTCAACTGTACTTTCTGATTTTTCAGGTGTATACAGTGGATTGGGTTGGTTGACTTCAGGCAGAATTGTTGGTCTTGGTACTCGCTTTGGCGTCTATGAAATTTTGACAGCATTCTATAAAGGTAACCGCTTCACTAAAACTTCTGTTTTGTTTCGGTTAGTTTTGTTCACTTCCTTGAATTGTCCTTCTTATTGGGAGAATTGCTCCAGGACAGAAGCTAAATCAGCATCTATCAAACAAATAGCAGATTCCTATGAAAGAGTGTAGTTCTCTGAAGTGAAAACTTGACCTTTTTTAGATGTGAGCTAAGTCCGTCTTCTGCAGTGTAGTCTGCAAACTCTTGGTAACAAATCAGATGGAAAGCTGAAGAAGACCTAGATAGTCCTTTCACTAGTCTCATCAATGATATAAGTAAGTGAGAAATGCCTAATGATGATTCCATGTAAAAACTTGTTTCTGCAGATGGTCGAGAGGACAACTATGTATATGTTCACGAGGCCCTCATGGCAGGCATGGCAGCTGGTGCCTTGGAGTCACTCACAAGCTCTCCATTCGAATTTGTCAAACTTCGTGCTCAAGTGACCTCTGCTTCTCGCGCTCGAACTTCTACACCCTCTACAGAATCTAGATCCGTGGGACCCGTGATTTCCAAACTATTACGTGGATACACTCCTGACGTAAAAGCGCTGAGCCATTCGACTGCCCTTCTATCTACGCTATCCACCAAGCACCCAGACCTCGTCGGTGCACTGAGAGAGCATCCATGGATGATGACTGGCTCTGGGAGGCCACCGTCAGTTAGTGATGTTAGTAAACCATCGCATGTAATCTCATTAGAAGGATGGAGTGCTTTCTGGAGAGGCATTCGATCTGGAATTGTTCGAGATTCTGTATTTGGTGGGACGTTCTTTTGCACATGGCAGTTCCTTCACCGGGCAATGCTCGACTGGAAAGCAGTCGGTATGGTTCCTGAACCCAGGTTAGGAAAGCTCCTTTTCTTCTTCCACTTAGCAATCATATCAAGTTCAGTTGTCTTATTAATGCATATGTTCTTCCCTGTGATTAATTTCTAACTTTTTATCAGGTTTGACGATGAGATTGGGCCGCTGTCACCATTAGCCGTCAGTGCTGCTGCTGGGATTTCAGGATCGATTGCTGCTGCTGCCTCTCATTGTTTCGACACAGCAAAATGTCGGTTCCAATGTACCGTGCTGCCCAAGGTAACTACGCTTGGTTTGAGTGGTTTTTTCCCCCACCTCTGCTCAATTCTTAGGGTTCCTTGATGTTGCATTGTTCATACCTGGTTTTGTCTTGTCCCAGTATCTTAGATACGAAAGGGCGCTGTTGAAATGGCGCCGTCCAGGGACAAGATTCGAGAGAGCCACGGGAATCCACCCTGCAGATAGAAACGTTCTATTCCGAGGAATCTGGCTGAGGATGGCTCGCAGTGGGGTCGCGTCGTTTGTTATCATAGGAACGTATTATTTGGCTGTTGATCAGCTCCTTTCTTGATGAACCACAGATGAACATTAAGCATATGCCAAATATTGAGCAGGTTTTGCCGCCTTATTTAAAGCACTGCAAGTAATTATTGGTAGAAAGGCCATAACTTTTTGGCAGTGCAGTTCATCACATCGTTGAAAGAGATTCTGTAAAATTTAGCAACTCTTGTTCCTGGCTTCTCCAACTTCTGTATTCGATTATTTGAAGATATACTGAATTGCTGATGTTCTGTTAAGTTCACTGTTGCTCCTTTGTTGCATGACATCCCTGAGGTATGTTGCATCCATTTTCCCCCCTACCATTCCAAGTAGGAGTTGATGATGGTCTGAATTCACACCCGATGAGTATATGATCATATTGATAAGGGAAGGAAGATGATCAACTGACCCGGATGAAGAACTAATCAATTTGGTTCCCACCTGGTTTAAGTTCTTTTCCTTGTCAAGTTAGCTCGGTCGATAATGGCGAAAGACCAGTATCGAAGACAAGACTAGTAATCGGTTGAAGCTATTCATCAAACATACCTCATACATCAATTTCATTCGGTCTGAATCAAGTACTGATTCAATCTAAAAACATACATATAAGACTAGATCAATGTTTCTGATGCAGAAGGTTAACTTTTCCTAACACAGATAAAAACTCAAAAGTAAAATCAACCCTTTCCCGTTTTTACCCTCCAACCTTCATTTCACCACCTGAAAAAATATGAGAAGCGAAGGCAGAGGAAAATTACTCTGTTTTTTCCAGTTACCCAGAAATCGATAAAAATACTCTGTTTTCTGTCTCTCTCGAACTCTCATACGCTCTCTCACTCTCTTCACGCCGCATTATCATCACCATTCACCTTACCGACCTTCTCTCCCTTCCCCTCCCGTCCGCCGCAAGGCCGGTAACCCTCCGCGAGCATCTTCTCCACCTCCTCAAACGGCAGCCCTTTGGTCTCCGGCACAAACCAGATGATCAAACAGAGGGAAAGGGTGGAAACTCCAGCGAACAAGAAGAACGTACCGCCGGGGCCAAGATGCTCTGTGAGAGTCAAGTAGGACTCGCTGACGATCAAGTTGGAGACCCAGTTGGCCACCGCGGCGATCCCTCCGCCGACTCCTCTGTACTTGAGCGGGTAAATCTCAGAGTTGACGATCCACGGCACTGTCCCCATACCGGGGGAGTACGAGACGATGTAGAGGCCGAGGAAGACCACCGCGAGGATCCCGAACTTGCTGGGACAACCTTGCTCGAAGAACACCCGATCCTCGCCGTGGCAGAGGTCTCGATTCGGCTTTGAGACCACCAGGCACGCACCGGGCTGGTACTGCTCATGTCAAAGAAGAAATGAAGGAAATTCAGCGAGAAAAGTACATTTACAAGGCGGAATCGACATACATCGGTAACGAAATATTGAACACGTTGCGAGAAAGATGATAGAATTAGTACGAGAATTAAAGTTTCGAATTACCTCACTAGCCTTGTTGGAGCAGAAGCCACATTTGGCCTTCAAGCAAGTCATGCAGCTCCATTTCCCGTCGGCAGCACTCTTCGTCGCCCCGACATAAGCCGAACAGGTCGAATTCGCCCCGAAGTGGACCGATTCGATCGAACCAACTTTCGGAGCATGAGAAGAAGCTTCAATGAAAACAACGGATAAGAAAATCAGGAAAAATATGATCCCTGCCATGGAAAAGATCATGAGCCTCTTCCTTCCATAACGGTCCACAAACAGCATGCTCACTATGGACCCGAATGCATTGAGTCCGGCTGTGATGAGGGACAGAGACAGGGCGACGGATTTGGAGGCGAATCCGGCAAATTGAACAATGGTCGGAGAGTAGTACATGACCGTGTTGATCCCGACGAATTGTTGGGCCACTTGGACCGTGATACCGGCGTAGAGGCCACGTCTGACCACCGGGTTCTTGAAGGCGTTCTTGAGCTTGGACAACATTGTCTCGCCGATGGCTGCCTCGTCGGCTTTTTCGGATTCGATGGAGGCCTTGAGAAGGGCCATCTCGGCTTCCACTTCATCCGGTGAGTAGATCTTCTCTAGGATCGATTTGGCCTCGTCAACTTTGTTCTGAAGTTAATCAAATACGTTGAACAATTCTAAAACTTGTCACACTCTAGAACTAGAAGATCTAAATCGACATTTTGAACACGACGAATATGCTAATCAAAACATTTACCCTGCTGTAGAGCCATCTAGGAGACTCAGGGAGGGACATCATCAGCACAAACTGAATCAAAGCAGGCAGCCCAGCAACTCCAAGCATCCACCTCCAAGTCCCAGGAGCCTTGCACCACAAGAAACCCCCCAAAAAACTCAAAATTACCAATGAAGTCCCGAAGTTTACCATTTAGAAACACAAAAGCTCAACTGGGTTGTGGTTTATACTTATACCTTGGTGAAGGCTAGATTGATCAAGTAGGCCATGAACTGCCCTCCAGTGATGAGCAGACCATTTGTGCTGACGAGGGCTCCTCGAATTCGAGCAGGGGAAGCTTCGGAGATGTAGAGAGGGGCAGTCATGGAGGCCATCCCTACTCCTAGTCCGACGAGGAGTCTTCCAATTATTATGATCCATGGGTTTGGAGCCGCCGCCATGACTATGGCTCCAGCGAAGAAGACAATGTCGGCTCCTAGGATCGATTTCCTCCTCCCCAAGCTATCGCTTAGGAAGCCTCCTAGTGCTGCTCCCACTATGGCTCCAGCCACGGCCATGCTCACAATAGTTTCCTGTTTCCAGAATCACATAGAAATCGCGATTTAGAAAGTAAGGGAGGGATGGTGTTTACTACATTTCTTATCGAGATCGAAAATATGGAACTGACTTGTAGCCATGTCTTCTTGTCGATGGATTCGAAATCCTCTCGCATGTAGAGTAGAGCACCAGAGATAACCCCTATGAACACACATCAAAAGAAGATCAACCTACAAGATCATCATATCATTGATCGAATTTCGGAACATTTCTCTTCTCCCCCCCTATGTTCTCATGAAAGATCAATTCACCTGTGTCATAACCAAAGAGCAAGCCGCCGATTCCAGCAGAGAGAGCAAGCCTCATGATGTATGGAGTCTTCCAACTCGTCCTCCAACATTCTGTAAACTCTGTCTTGTCTGGCTTCATAACACCTCCTTCCGCCATGTTTTTCAAGCTCAACTAGCCAAGTTCAAGAAGTGGAAGTCCTAGATATATGGAAGACAGCCCTGTTAAAAAAAATAATATGATACCCATTAGAAAATCTGGACCAAAACAACTCGTTTTAGACAGGTTTCTTCTCGTTAGTACTATATATTGAGCTTGAAAGTTCCAATCTTTCATACACAATTTCAAAAAAGATTAAGAACCCAATCCTACCAAGAAACATCCCACAAAAACCCAAAACTCTTTTTTAACAAAAACTATCGATCAGATTTTCCTTTGACAAGCTCTAGTGATTGCGAGACGAGACGAGACTGAAGCAATGAAAAACATACATCTACGTATACTGATGGTTTTTTACCTTTCACCGTGATGAACTGAACTTGTTTCTGAGTTTATTCTTCTTCTGCTGTTGCTGCTGGAAAACCTCTGTTTGCTATAGGTAAAAATAGTAACATATAGAACTCTTATTGCTATTATCTAATTGAAACCTCCCAATACCAAAAAGAACGTTATTCTGTTTGCCAATGAAATTGAGTTGTGAATGTGTGAATATAGAGGAGGGGAGGACAATGTTAATGTCGCAGTAAAACGATCCCACTTAGATAAGAAGATTTAGAAAGGGTAATTGTTATTTAATTACGAGTAAAATGGGTAAGTGAAATGAAGGGAAATCTCAACTTTCTTGCTTCGACAATGGACTTTTTGGCTTGGTTGGGAGAGAAAATAGAAATAAATTTCAACGAGTTTCCATGAAAAGGGTTGGTAATAAATTTATCATACTGTTCTGTAGAGATATTTGCCTTTGCCCACTTATATATCTTGCCTAACAATATTTGGAGATTAAAATTCGGGGTGAAATTTAGAAAGAATGAAGAAATTTGGGTGAGCTTATCAAGGAATATAGGAAGTACATGTATTAATAAAGATTGAAATTGTAGAAAAGGAAGTGGGAAAAAAGGAAGAAGTAGTGAGTATTGGTAACTGATAATCGAAATTACTTTTTACTATTTTTATGAGACTCGGATTTAATGTTTCCATAGTTTGATGAGTGAAATAGAAGATTTTTTTTTTGTCGGTTAAGTCTCTAGAATTATGTTGCATAACTAGAACCGATCAATTAATTTTGATTTACAAGGGACAAATTTTCAATAGGTTAGCTTAATTGTATATTTTAGTACTTGAATAGTATTTCGAAATTACTATATGTAGAACTCAATACTCAAACTGAAATAATTGATCGATCGGTCCTATCTTACAAGTTGAAGGATGGATAAAAAAAAACTTAAAACCTAAGTTCGGTCTAGAAGTGAATGAGCGGATAATCAACCAAAACATGCAAAAGTTTTAGAGTACCTAACTCATCTTCTTTTACCCATTTAAGGACTGGAATAATTTTTTAGGATTATGTTATACACGTAATTATTATTATCTACAAAATTTTGAAACCAAATATAGGATCATGTTCCCTAATCAAGCAATTAATCTAAGGTTTAATGAAAAAACTAGAATTATGGTTCAAGCATGCTTTGATTATGTTTCGCTAGATCTTTACCACAAATCCACACGCCATATTAAGTTTGATACGGATAAAAAAAATAATTAATTTTAATGAATTTAGCCACTTTTACCAAAGGAAACTACAATTAATTTCTTTCCAAATCAGGATTAGAAGTTGAATTAGGGGAAACTCAATTCGTAAGAGAGGATTGTCTTTGATGATTGATCCCTCTTTCTTTCCTTCTTTTGGCAAATCCTACACCCTTGTAATTATATAAGGAAAATATATCCTCATCAATCGAGCAATTATAAAAACAAAGAATTGCCACAATTATAAGATTTATTTATACATGTTTCGCAACAGAGAAAAAAAAAATCAATATAGATGTAACAAAATCAATTTTTATCTTATATAAATATCATACAAAATCATTAAAAACCTATTCAAAAAAATCACTAAAAAGAAGTTATCCAATACCAAACCAACATTGAGATCAAATAAGTAAGACTTGACTTGTTATTTCCTCGTTAAGACCAATTAATATGATCAATCAAGTCGCTAAAGACAGATAACTCTAAGCGGAACAAACTAAGACTATTTTTTTTTTTTTACTTCATATATAATTTTGCTTTCTTTGGTGGAGCTGTGGGAAACCAATTAAACCAAACTTATGGGATCATTTCGATGAGGATTAGGATAAGATTCTTCTTAACTTACAGCTAACAATCAGATATCCTTTAGCCTTATGGTCTTCATTGTTCAGACAAAACTAGAGTAGAACATATGTATGTTAAGCTCTGTTTGTTTTAAGATTTGAGTGATCCAACACAGTAGAATGTTTTGATGTTTTTTTTTTTTTTTACATATATGTTTTGATGTTAATGACTATTATAAGGACCCTAACTAGCAAGATTCTTATCAGACATACACACATTTTGACCAAGGGGCTTAAGAATTTCTTTAGATATGAATGAGATCACCGAAATAGATAGAGCAAGAAAAACATTCGATATACTCTCAATAATAAGAGGTATCATTATGTATAAAAAGAATTTAAAACAGACGAAAGATGTTGTCCAAGCTATCTATATTGGTTGTTTACTATACATTCTTCTTAAGTGAATGAAGAAGAACCTAAGATAGACCCTTGATTAAGAATGACAATGTCAGTTTGATTCCTCCTCCCCTATTTCTGAACTTATTTTGTATATGTCATCAAACAATTCAGGGCAAACATAGATACCTTTCATATTCATTTTCTATCTGGCTAAGCAAATCCAAACATTTTGATCACTAAACAACCATCTTCAAATCCGTAACTTACCCTTCTATAAAACTGTATAATTCCAATATGGAATAAAAAAAACAATACAATTTATGACTAAATCAAACTTTTTATTCTTAAGAAATGAAAATTTACCCTATTTTCCTGTTTTTCTAAACAAGTGTCTCATACAACTCCTCAAACTTATTCTGAAACAAATGAAGAAAATTCTTAAAAAGGAAAAGAGCCAAATTTTCATCAAACTAAGCTGGAGCTTTCCCCTTCCCCTGATCCCCTGCTTTTGCCTTGATGAACCCTGGCTTGAACCCATCTCTCAAGAGCTTCTCCACTTCCTCGAACTGCAGCCCTTTCGTCTCCGGTACAAAGAAGAAGATCGCCACCAGCATGATAAACGAGATGGCGGCGAACATCAGGAAAGCTCCGGCCACCGTCAGGGTCTGCGTCATGGTCAAGAACGTTAGGCTGACGAGCAAGTTGGACGTCCAATTGGCGACGGCGGCAATTCCACCTCCGACGCCTCTGTACCGAAGCGGGTAGATCTCGGAGTTGACGATCCATGGCGCTGTGCCCATTCCAGGGGAATATGAGATGATGTAGAGGCCCAAGAGGAGGACGGCCAAGAACCCGATCTTACTCGGACAACCTTCCTCGTAGAGCACCCGATGCTCGGCCTTGCATTCGTCCCTCATCGCCTTGTCGTCAATCAGGCAGGCTCCCGGTTTGATCTGTAGAAATCAAATCAGTTCGATATCATCGCTGTAAATAATGTTATTCCACTTATTTATAACCCATTTCAACACTCCAGTTGAATCGAATCAAATCCTGCGTTGCGTTACCTTGTCAGCAGCGTTGGCACAAAAGGCGCACTCAGCCTTCAAGCACTGCGTGCATCCCCACTTAGGCTTATGGAAATTCTCCAAGTAACTAGGGCAAGTCACATTGCTCCCAAAATGCTTGGTATCCACGAAATCGATCCCCGGAGCACCCAACGAAGCCTGCCGGAAAACGATGGCCAGAACTATCAGGCAAGAGATGATCCCGATCATGGAGATGATCATCAGCCGGCGGCGCCCATACTTGTCCACCACCATCATGCTGATGATCGAGCCGACGGCGTTGAGCCCTGAAGTGATCAGGGAGAGCGCCAGAGCAACCGATTTCGAGGCGAACCCTGCGAATTGGACTATGGTTGGGGAGTAGTACATCACTGTGTTGATCCCCACGAATTGTTGCGCCACTTGGACTGTAATTCCGGCGTAGAGCCCTCGTCGGACCACCTTGTCGGTGAATGCTCCTTTTAGCTTGGAGTACATGTCTTTCCCGATCGATTCCTCCATTTCCCTCTCCGATTCCACGGATTCTCTGAGCGCTTGAATCTCTCTCTCCACTTCTTCTTCAGGGTAGAGTTTTTCCAGGATCTCCTTCGCTTCGTGGACGTGGTTCTCTCTGTAAAGCCATCGGGGCGATTCGGGAAGCGACCACATTAGCATGAACTGGATCAGGGCAGGGAGCCCTGCCACTCCAAGCATCCACCTCCATGTTCCAGGAGCCTGATGACCGGGAAAAAAAAAATTGCTCAAATGATTAGAATTGACCCAAATAAGAACACAAGCAAAACAAAGCAAGAAGTGAAACAGGGTACCTAGAGAAACAGAGTAAGAAGAGAAACAGAGTGCAACGAGTAACCCCCAATAATTAGATGACACATACTTTGGTGAATGCAAGATTGATGAGATACGACAAGAACTGCCCGCCGGTGATGAGCAAACCGTTGGTGCTGACCATGGCGCCGCGGATCTTCGCTGGAGAGGCCTCCGATATGTAGAGGGGAGCGGTCATAGAGGCCATTCCGACGCCGAGGCCAACGAGGACCCGACCGATGATGATGACGGCCGGAACAGGGGCGATGGCCATGATGATGGATCCCAAGAAGAATAGGACGTCGGCTACCATGATCGTCTTCCTCCGTCCGATCCGATCGTTGGCGTAGCCTCCGAGTGCCGCGCCGATGATAGCTCCGGCGACACATGTGCTGACGATGAGCTCCTGGAGGAACGTGCTCTTGTCCACCTCCTCGAAATCTTCCTTGATGTATAGCAACGCTCCCGAGATAACTCCTGCAAGAAGACATAATTAAGACGACGGGAAAAGAAAAGTGTCGGTAAAGGTCTTGTTAATAGCAACGGAACTCTTGCCTGTTGCGAATTGTTGATTACCCAAACCCTAACATCCAGAATCATTTTCTCTCATTAAATAAATATTCGTCGTTAGATCTAGAGTGTGATTGGATTGAGTTCTTTCACGGTCTCTAATTCAATGTATAATTAAATACAAGGAATTTCATGAATAATGTAGAATGATTAAATCAAGACGAGCAGTCTTACCAGTGTCATAGCCGAACAGAAGCCCTCCAATGCCGGCAGCGAAGGCCAGCTTCATGATGTAAGGATTTTTCGACGAGATTTTCCAGCATTCTGTGAACTCTGTTTTATCCGCTTTCACCGGTCCCCCTTCCACCATTTTTTACGTATCGCTTAATGACTGAATTCCCTTATTTGTTTACAATAGATTTCACTACTAGATGAAACACATGTCTTTCTTTTTTGATGAATTTTGTAGCTGTGAAGAGGGCTTTGTCTTGGTGGTTTTTGGTGGGTTTTCCTTTGAATGTTTGGGATCTTCTTATTCCCCTTTATTCTTTTGGTGGGAGTTGTGGAGTGTGTAGGGGGCTAGGAATAGAGAAATAAGTGAGAGAGCAAATAGGAGAAGAAGATAAATATATAAAAGACTTTGGCTAATTATAGGGGGCCTTTGATTTATTTATTTATTTATTTGTTGTTTGCTTGTTCAAAATTTGTTTTTGTTTATAAGGCTGAACAAAAATTTCTCTCCACATAGTTTGGTCTTTTCATTTAGGGAAATGCTTACTTGGAAATCCATTTTGGGTCTAATTGTTTCCCCAACAGAAACAACTGGATATTGGGTTTCATTTAGAATTGAAACATTTTACCATATAACTACATTTACATTTATTTGGAAAATGGCATCTACTTAAAATGTTAATATAGAAGTTCAAATATTTGCTAAATAAGGCTACAACCTTATCTTCTTATCATTTTAAAATGGGGTTTCCATTAATCACATAAAACTATGATTACATTTTTACCATACTGGTATGGTTTCATCGTTCTTTTCGACTATATCTTTTGCGTGTGATTGTTATACGTACCAACCAAGTACATTATCTTTCTGGATAATGTCCATATTAATGTGAACTAACACTACATGCTAGAATTTGAACACATGAACTCTTTATTAATGAAAGATTTTTCTTTTGTGAAAGACGTGTTTTTTCTTAGTGATCTTTCACCCCAAGTATTGATGTATCATTGGATGCACTATCCATGGTAAAGGTTATGAACCATGGAGAAAAATTACTATAAGGATACTCGTACAATATATTTACTCACTAGTTATCCGAACTCCAAATTATCCTTTGTACATAGCAAACGCTTGGTTGTAGTTCTCTTGTCCCCTTTCTATATTTTCGATGATTACATTTTTACCATACTGGTTTCATCATTCTTTTTGACTATATTTTTTGCGTGTGTTTGTTGTACGTACAAACCATGTACATTATCTTTTTGGATAATGTCCTTATTAATGTGAACTAACACAATAACACTTCATGTTAGAATTTGAAACATGAACTCTTTATTAATGAAAGATTTGTTGTTTCTTGGTGATCTTTGTCCCAAGTATTGATGGATCATGGATGCACTATCCATGGTAAAGGGTATGAGCCATGGAGAAAAATTACTATAAGGATATACTTGTACAATATGTTTAATCCCTAGTTATCCAAACTCCAAATTATCCTTTGTACATAGCAAACGCTTGACTGTAGTTCTCTTGATCCCTTTTTATACTTTCGAGAATATTAGGAGGTAAAACGAAAACAAGCAAAACTTTCTGTTGTGAACAAAATGAAAACATTATTGTCAAGAATGAGATTTGAACCCATGGCCTTTCTGTTGTGAACAAAATGAAAACATTATTGTTAAGAATGGGATTTGAACCCATGCCCTTTCGGACCAGTACCTGAAACTGGCGCCTTAGACCAACTCGGCCATCTTGACTTGATATTTTATTTTCCATGTTATGATAATAATACTATTTCTACTAATGATAACAATAACTTGAGGTAGCAAATGATTCAACAAACCATATCGAATCGATATTTGATAAGATCGGATGAATATATTTTAATTCAATTTCAATTTTATGAAAGATCTCAAATATGAATTAAAAATGGTCTGAAATTGAATTGGTATCAGATGAATCAAACAAAACATACTTTTGATCTAGTTCTGATTTTTTTTATTTTTTATCTTATCATATGACTAGATTATTTTTTTTAGTCTCAAGCATTTGGTAACGTGACCTCTTATTTGTCTAATTAGAATTGAGTGGGAATATATTACATGTTGAATTTCTCGTTTAATCTGTAACTTTATATTTAATTCTTGATCTCTCTTCAAATACTTCTATCTAAATTACTCAATACGGATCATCATAACTTCAATAATTTCAATATCTAAACTACTCTATAGTTAATCTGTAACTCTATAACTAAAGTAACACACAATTCAATAATGGGGAATTCTGTGGTACAGGCACTGTACCAGTGCCGCCACTTTTTTCTGACCGGTTGGAATGGTTGAGTTTGTAAATTACTGGGTGACTCTGGTTTGATAATTCAATTACTAAATCATAAATAAATAAAAAGTGAAAAAAAACAAAAAACAGCACAACCATTCCCTTCCACTCCTTTGTTCGTGACTTTGTAAACCAAGCCCAGACTTCCGGCGAGCAATCCACCACCTCGCTATTGTCGTCGATCGACCTCACCACCAAGATCACCACCGTCGTCACGCCCGTATCCGCCTTCTGATCATCGCCGCCCTTTGTTCCTGCCACGACACCATCGAAATCGCCATCGTCATCAAGGCTCCCCCTCCCCCCGATTCAATTTCCACCACCTCGCTATTGTCGTCGATCGACCTCACCACCAAAATCACCACTATCGTCAGGCCCGTATCTGCCGTCTGGTCATCGCCGCCCTTTGTTCCTGCCGCGACACCATCGAAATCGCCATCGTCATCAAGGCTCCCCCTCCCCCCGATTCAATTTCCACCACCTCGCTATTGTCGTCGATCGACCTCACCACCAAAATCACCACTGTCGTCAGGCCCGTATCCGCCTTCTGGTCATCACCGCCCTTCGTTTCTGCCACGACACCCTCGAAATCGCCATCGTCATCAAGGCTCCCCCAGTGATGAGAATGGTGTTGCAGCGTAGCTATACGGAGGGATTCCGCCGAAAATGGTCCCGGAGTATAATTCTTTTCGCGGCTATTTGGAGAATACAACTTTGCCGTGATAGATTGTCGGAACAGTGTGATTAGATTGAGAACAATAAGATGAACCTTATGTGTCCATGAAACCGTACCGGAGATCGTACCGGGAAAGTCAGTGTTAGGGTATTTTATGGTAAAACCGTGGTTTAATCGTAGTTCAACCGTTATACCGGTAAATACCGCATATCGATTTAGCCTCCGATACTGGTATTTCGTGGTTGAACCGCCGGCACAGTACGGTTTAATGGACACTGCTTATGCCTCAACTGCGAATTCGTTTTCTGTTCGCCTCCCCTTCCTGCCAGCGATCAAGAGTATTCGTTTCATCATTAAAATATATATAATAAATGATTTAAATATACAATGGGTTCAACCTGCCGGTTCAACCTACTATGGCTTAGTGATGGTCATAATCAACCGTCCTCATTGCAATTTGGAAATCCAACGGCTTTTAGGATGGCGGCATTAGTGCAGTGACTGCACTACAGATTCCGCCTTCAATAATTCCCTTGAGAAACTACTCCAAATTAAATTCTTAACTAATCCCAACATGCGTTAATCTAACCCACAAAAGAAATATAAAACTATACATAAGTTTCTTTATTGAATAAACTAAACACAATTAGTTAAACATGAGAGGATAAAGCAACTAATGTATATCTTCTATCACCAATCATCTCGAGACAAATCCATAAAAACACTTATCCAAAATGAATCCTTTCATCTAATCTCGAGATAAAACCCCTAAGTTGTTAAGCATTCTGTTTCAGATCAACAACTTCCCAAATCTTTTGTATTCCCAAAACAAAGAGTCAGAGCAGTCCAGGAAACAGAGTCAGAGAGTAAAGCTTTCAACAATGGTGGAAGGAGGCGCAACGACACTCGCCGACAAAACCCAGTTTACCGAATGCTGGATAATCACTTCCAGGAACCCCTACATCGCCAGGCTCGCCTTCTCCGCTGGGATCGGCGGCCTGCTGTTCGGGTACGACACCGGAGTCATCTCCGGTGCTCTTCTCTACATCAAGGACGATTTCGAGTCCGTCAAGAACAGCACTTTCCTCCAGGAGGTCATCGTCAGCACGTGCGTAGCCGGCGCGATTGTCGGAGCCGCCGTAGGCGGCTATGCCAATGATAGATTTGGTCGGAGGAAAACGATTATGGCCGCCGATGCTCTGTTTTTCTTGGGTGCGGTGGTTATGGCGGCGGCCCCTGTTCCCGGAGTAATTATTATGGGGAGGGTTTTGGTCGGCTTTGGCGTCGGGATGGCTTCCATGACGGCGCCGCTTTATATATCGGAAGCTTCTCCGGCGAGGATTCGAGGGGCGATGGTTAGTACTAATGGGTTGCTGATTACCGGCGGCCAGTTTGTTTCTTACCTCATCAATCTCGCCTTCACTCAGGTAAATTAAATACCACATTTGGCTTCCTTTTACTTTCTTCTTTTGGGTTTGGAAATTTAATTTTCCTGTTTTTGTTCGGTCAGGCTCCAGGAACTTGGCGATGGATGCTTGGAATCGCCGGAGTTCCTGCTCTGGTTCAGTTTGTGCTAATGTGGTCGCTTCCCGAGTCTCCAAGATGGCTTTACAGAGAGGTAAAGAGATCGTTAAATTTCAATCTCGTAGTTGGAATTGCTGTTAGAAATCAATTGGGTATTTTTTTTTTTTTTTTGAATTTCAGGATCATAAAGAAGAGGCGAGATCGATTCTGGAGAAGATCTACCCGGCGGAGGAAGTGGAAAGAGAAATCGAAGCCCTCAGAGAATCCGTCGAAGCAGAGAAAGCCATCGAGCAATCAATCGGCAAAGGCACGATCTCCAAACTGAAAGGAGCCCTCTCCGACACGGCGGTCCGTCGGGGTCTCTACGCCGGCGTGACGGTCCAGGTCGCACAACAATTCGTCGGAATCAACACTGTAATGTACTACGCTCCAACAATCGTCCAGTTCGCCGGATTCGCCTCCAATTCTGTCGCTCTAGCTCTCTCGCTCGTCACCTCGGGGCTCAATGCGTTGGGTTCGATCATCAGCATGATGTTCGTCGACCGGTACGGTCGCCGCCGGCTGATGATGGTGTCGATGGTTGGGATCATCACGTTTCTGGTGATCCTCGCCGTCGTGTTCAAGGAGGCGTCCGTCCACGCGCCGGCTGTCAGCGCGATCGAGAGCGCGGGGTTTGGCGGGAACATGACCTGTCCGGCGAGTTTGAATATTGGCGGGAACAAAAATTGGGGATGTATGAAATGCCTGAAAGCAGGATGTGGATTCTGCTCCAATGCCGGTAGTCAGGTACGTAAATTTAAGGTACCGATTGAGTATTAACATAGTTGATTACAAATTTAGCGGTGGAAATCACTTGATTTTTTCTTTCCGGCAGTATCACCCGGGAGCCTGCCTGATCGGAGACAAGGTCGCGAGATCGGCCTGCAAGGCTGAGAGCGGCCGAACGTGGTACGAAGAAGGTTGCCCGAGCAAGATCGGGTTCCTCGCCGTGATCCTCTTGGCTCTCTACATCATCTCCTACTCCCCAGGGATGGGGACGGCGCCGTGGATCGTCAATTCGGAGATTTACCCGTTGAGATACAGAGGAATCGGAGGTGGAATCGCCGCCGTGGCCAACTGGACGTCGAATTTGATTGTGAGCCTGACTTTCCTGACGATGACGGAGACCCTGACGGTGGCCGGAGCGTTCCTGACGTTCGCGGGGATCTCGCTGTTGGGTTTGATTGCAATCTTCTTTCTGGTGCCGGAGACTAAAGGGCTGCAGTTCGAGGAGGTGGAGAAGATGCTGAGAGATGGGTACAAGCCTGGGTTTTTCAAGAAAGCAGGGGATTCTGAAGTTGCCAAGTAAGGATTTTGATTTAGTAAAGAGTTTGTGTCAGCATAGACGGTGAACATTTTTGGTTCTTAGTGATTGCTACTAGTTATTTGGTTTTACTATGGTTAGATATGAGTTGCGTTGTTACGATCTAATGACGATATCAACATTTATGATCGCCACTAGTATCACAACTCGACACTCAATATTAAAATCACGATACCTATAAGATGTTGCTTGCAGATTTGCATCCTCATTCCCGCGATTTTCGAATACCCGCAGGGTGAATTAACTTCTCCCGACTGCCAATGCCTTGGAAACCTATCCCAATCTCCAGAAACTGGAGCTGCATGTGAATCAGTCAAGCCATGTTTACTGGTAACAATGCCTTCATTCATGAATCACCTCTGCCATTGAATTGACAATGCACTCTCTCTTGCTATAAATTCAAGCTCCTGTAGTTGCTCAGCATGCATTATTGGCCATCTGCCATTTTTTTGGGGTTCTGTTTTGTGACAGAGCCATTTATTCTGCATATGGCTACATGAGAATTGAGATGGATAAGGCAGCAGCATCAATGAGATAGGAGATGAAAACTGTTGGAAATCCAACTCAAATCCTGAAATAAATGATTTTTTTAAAAAAAAATTATTGTCATGGTATCGTCATACTATATAGTCTATGGATTCAATACTACTAATTTGATTAGACAATAGTTAATCTTTGTCCGCCAATCTTGTTTCGAACCAAATTGAGATAAAACGAGATCAAATATAAAGAAAACTCTTGAGAATCAGAATATGATCAAATGTAATCGATCCACTTTCAATATAAGGTTGGTATGTTTTCCCCCTTCAATACTAAAAGAGAAAATTCAATTGCAATTTTAATTCAAATTTCAATTCGGGCATGTGTTGTTGTGGTATGAGCCAAACCGTTGTGGATAAAACAAATGAGACAGACAGTTGTGGACAAAAAATGAATCAAAAGCATGTTCGGTTCATTTGTTACGACAGTGTTCGATCTCGTTTCACTTTCGTTTCAATGTTCCTTGTATACCTAATATAATTTGTATGATCGATCCTTGGACCGACCAAATCAAACTATATTTGATTTGATTCAGTTCGATTCAAATATTGATTCGATATAGACTGGACGGTTGCACACCCTACTCAATTGAATACTCATGATTCGAGTTTGGCTCAATTATTGGGAAATTGAGATAATTTAGTTAGAAAAACTTCAAAAAAAAAGTAATTTAATGTAAATCAACCACTTATGTAGTGGTGAACTTCCTTCCTTGGACCGACCAAGGATGGTAACTAAGCGAACTATGTAGTAAATCTATCTAGTGGACTGAAAACCCAAAACGACAAAAGAAAACAGTACGTGGATAACTGGCCCACAGTGGAGTGGGTAAAGAACAAGAAAGAAATAAATAAACGGACCAGGCGGGCCCAAACTTAAATTCCCCCCGACCCACGGGCCCACTGCCACGGCCTGAAAATCGCCACCTGGCTTCGTGGCTTTCAACTGAGGTGGGTCCCACTTCCCCACGTCCGTCCCCGTCCTCTCTTCCTTTTCACCTTCTTCGCTCTCGCTCCTTCTTCAATTGTCCAGTCATCTCTCTCTCCTTTCCTTCCGTTCCATTCCCATCCACGCCTAAAACGAGCCCTTCTTCTTCCATCTTTCTCTCTTTCCGTCACCTAACCCGAATCGAAATTCAATTCGAATCAAACCCACATTTCTGATTCATTGCTCGCTGTATCTCTCTCTGTCTCACTGCATTGTTGAAATCTTTGCTCGATCAGATCCACCCCACTAGTCTTGCTGTGGTTACCGTTGTTGGGTGGTTCCTTTACTACCTCTACTTGTTGTTCTCTCAGCCGGAAACCCAATTGAAAGGAGAAAGGAGGAATACGCGACGTGGTCGTTCCCGGGTAAATAAATCTTACTAGCTCCGCGCCATTTTTTTTTTTGTTTGTTGCTTTTAGGGTTCTTCGCGGGAGGAGAAAACAAAAATGAAAAGGTTTCCCCTTTTTCGCGGGGGTTTATACGGGTGATAATTATGGATAGACCCGTTTGGCTGTTTTCTCCAGTTTTGATCCGGCAATGGCAGCCTGTTCTTTTTGTGTTCTGTTGATTTGCCTTAACCTTCAATTCCTCCGCCGGTTTTAAAAAAAATTCTGTTATTGGGGCTTGGGATGGTTTCCTTCTGTTTCTCTCGCTTGAGTGGTGCTACTGAGTCTTGAGCTAGGCCAGGCTCCTTTCGAAGTTCATTTGGGGCTGGTTTTCGTTACTTTTTTCCCCCCAGATTCTGTTTAAGGCTGCATTTTGCTCATTTAAAGTGTATGTACGGCCTGAAGTTGTCTGTTCTTTTTGCTTCGGATTTGGACAAATTATTGTCCTTTGTTCTGCGCTATCTCTAAGCTAAATTATTGTGAGTGCAATGTTCTGCGGATTTGAGGTTGGCCAAGTTTGAGAGTATTACTGCTAGAGACTCCAGTTTAAGAATGCTTAATGGTTTTTGTAGTTTTTCATGAAAAGGGGTCGTCTTAAACGCATTAGGAAATAGGAACTAATTGCCAAGGTTCAATCATGACTTACATATAAGATCATCACTGCAATGCTTATAGGCGAGGGAAAGTTTATGATGGAATGATTAAAAGGGCATAGAGTATCTTGCTTTTCCTTATGTCTACCCAACTGCCCTCTGGACCCCTGCTATCTTTATACTTACCCCACCTTTCAAGTTTTCTTGGGTTGGTCTAACTCTACCTCCTTTATCTTAGCCAGGGGAGAATTGGCACTCAAGCAAAATACTGGACCATCACTAGGGAAGATCTGGGTTATAATATGCTTCCATAGGGTGTAGGATTCTGTGAAGCTTGGTAGAAGATGGCATTTTACTCAGAGGAGGATAACGCAGATGATTACCTGTTCAAGATAGTATTGATTGGTGATTCCGCTGTTGGGAAGTCGAATTTGCTGGCCAGGTTTGCAAGAGACGAGTTCTATCCTAATTCGAAATCTACCATAGGGGTCGAATTCCAAACTCAGAAGATGGATTTCGATGGTAAAGAAGTTAAAGCACAGATCTGGGACACTGCTGGTCAGGAGCGGTTTAGAGCTGTTACATCTGCTTATTACAGAGGTGCAGTTGGAGCACTTGTGGTGTATGATATCAGTCGACGCCAAACTTTCGAGAGCATTGGCAGATGGCTCAATGAACTTCACAGTAAGAAGATCTCCTCAAGCCCTTTCTCCATATTTGATTTTTAATTGATGAAATCTGGATCCTTAGGTCTTAGATCTCACATCTTCCATGTTAAATGATGGCATCTTCTGAATATGATTTCTTTTTACACACAAAAAGTTATTTTCTGTACTTTGTCAGAGAAAATGCTTTCTGTTTTCTTTGCATATGCTAATAACCTGTCATTAGGGGACAGAACCTACAGATTAATCACATGTCCATTACATCAAAACAAAAGATGTGTTCGAGCGGTTAAGATATGTTGGGTCCATTTCAATATCTTTGTTTAAGAGGTTAAGACTGAATATTGTATTCGTTTCAGCTCACTCCGACATGAATGTAGTAACAATACTCGTGGGCAACAAATCGGACCTCAAGGAAGCTAGAGAAGTGACCACAGCAGAGGGAAAGGCTTTAGCAGAGGCACAAGGTCTGTTCTTCATGGAAACTTCTGCTCTCGACTCCTCCAATGTGACAGCTGCTTTCGAGACGGTCGTGAAGGAGATCTACAATATATTGAGCCGGAAAGTCATATCTCAGGAGCTCAAGAAACAGGATGCCCCCGAGATGGGGGATGGGAAGACAGTGGTTCTACAGAGAGATGGTGAACAAGGCGGTGAAAATGCTGACGGTGAGGCACCTAAACAAGGTGCCGGTGGGTGTTGTTGATCAATTCAGGTTTAGGGAAGGATTAAGGAAGTCTCTTTTGTTTGTGATTAGATGTTTAACATTCGAATGAGTTATCTGTGTTGCCCCCCGCCCAAAACCCTAGAAGCCACTTATGAAGAAAGTAGGGTTCTTCTTCTTGTTCTCCATCGCAGTTGATTTGGAGATATCAGTGTTGTTCATAGGAGTGGGCAAAATGTAAATGAGATTATTATCTGAAGAACGGGTTCACAAATGATTATGAGATTCCTTTAATGTTCTGTAGTGCTCTGTTGCCCTTCTCTACTTAAATTATGCATAAATTAGTTTCTCTTACTTGGTTTACTTGGTTTTCTAATCGTAGTAAGGTCTTGTGTTTGATTCTTCATATATGAATTCTGAACCCTCTACAAGTTGTTGCATTTAGGTCTTCGTGCATATTGTGCGATTGTGCTAAGTAGGGATGAGATGTTTGTGAGTTCATGTGGTGCATTATCTATCGAATGATTTTCATTAATTTTCAAAGATATAACTAGTATTGGCTTAAAAATGCACAATTGTGGGTTTTTAATACCAAATGTTGTACGATCTAGTTAGTATATGTATTCACTAATTCCTTTCAAGTGAGATCTTTTTGGTCGGTCGATTTATAATTGTGTAATGTGTTATGATGTTGTTTATTTTCTTTTAGTGGGATCTTGTGTTGTGTCTAACTAGTCTTCCTTGCATAGCTATGACCAAAAGTGTAATAATTAATAATTATTGAAATGTTAAGACAGATTTGGAAATCCTAATTTTAAAAAGTCAAAATCTAACGAACAAGGGCATGGTCTAGTGATAATACCATTAGTCTAGAACCCGGAGGTCATAGGTTCAAATCCTTTAAACAGTACCTTAATGACAATAAATGAAACCTATATCACCTTTATCTAAAAAAATCTAAATTAAAATAAAACAATACAAGAAAAGAAGAGAAGTTATAATGCTCATTATTAAGTCTAAACGGCGCCATTTCGGCTTCCCACTGACGGTTGCGCTCCCTTTTCCAAAACCGTTAAGTGAAGGCGCGAATGAACGATGTCGTTATACTGATTGTTAACTACCTTCCGAGCCGTCATTTCGGTTAAACCGTCACCGCTAAGAGCGAGAGTCAGAGAAAAGTCTTTCTTCCTTCTTTTATCTTTCTCGCTAAACGGAGGCTTGCTTTGCTGGTCCAGTTTCATCTCACTGGTCACAGCTCTTCCGCCCCCAAATTGGCTGCCGGAGACGACGGCGAAGGTTGAGAAAGCAAGCTAGCTCGCCATTTTCGATTTCTAAAGAGAACCACCGATTTCTCAGTCCCAAGTTCTTAAGATCGTGAGAAATTAGTGGTTTTGAGTTTGGGGAAAAGGGGGGATTTGGGGGGTGGAAGGGCGGCGGAAAGGGACGACCTTTTCTAATGTTCTTGGTGTTCTTCGATTTAGGGGGGAAAAAACTCGCAGCAATGGGGAGATTGTTCATAGAGGATGCGAAGGGAGAGAAGGTGCTCATTTGCAGGGGCTGCAGGGTCGATTCCGCTTCCTACGATGACATCGAGTCCAAGGAGTTTCAGGGTCGCTATGGCCGCGCTTATCTCTTCAGGAAAGTGTGAGTTCCCACCCCTGCAACTTCTCCTTTCTCTTCTTTGCCTTTCTTGGTCAGGGGGTTTCGATTGGGTTTGTGTCTCCAAGGTGTTTGATGCATTGTCCGTGAGACGGAGTAAAGAAACTGTGAGTTCTGGCATGGTTGCCAAGTTGGGATTGTTAGAGAATGAGCCCGCGGAGTAAAGATCAGTAGAATTGACATAGGTTGGAGCTCACGTGGAGATTGTGGTGGAACTGCTTCTTGATTCTGCTTTGATTCTCTTTTTGGCAGTATGAGAAAAGCTGGTGGTGTCTGATGTCTATGCATGTTCCAAGTGAGCTTTTTTAGGTGATTGATGGTGGGGAGAAAGACAGATTGGTTTTGTTGGCGGCTTTTGCAATAGATAATATCACAGCTTGGTTAACAATACTTTTCTTTTGCTAGACATCAGAATCTTGCAGTTGGTTTTGGATTGGATCTAGCAGCTGAACTCAATCATGTCCCTAGTGAATGCATCTGACACATACACACATGAAACAGTGGCAAAATGCAGTGGAGTTGGAGTGTGTGCCACCATCTAACGTTATTGTTTCCATATATCTTCTGCTTTCAGGGTCAACATAGTAATTGGATCCAGCGAAGAGCGAATTCTTTCAAGTGGATTCCATGTTGTTAATGACATCTACTGCAGCTCTTGCATGCAGCTAGTTGGTTGGAGATATGTAAGATGACAAACCCTCTTTTTTCGTTTTCCATTTTCACTGACATAGATGTTGTGGATTCTTCCACTGCATTACTGGCAGAGCTTATCATTCACACTAACACATAGGTGCGAATTACTATGTGCGTTGGATGGAATATAAAGACATGGCATAGAAGAACACTGTCCTGACTTTGTTGGCATAGTTTAATTTCACATGTGTACCTAATCATGAGTGAATTGCCAATAAGGTTCTCCTAGCTAAGAGTTCGTTTTTAACAGATTGTTGGTATTGAATATTGATTGACTTGGAAGTTGTAACCTTCATCATGTGCACCACCATTCATGCTGTCTGTGATTATGGGAGACCAAGTTGACCATCCAGAGTAGTAATTCAAGTCTGCTAATCAAACATTAAGGACGAAACGAAACTTCACCAGTTAATCGAATCCATTCCAGTTGAAACAGCATTGCTCTTGCTTGCATCTTGTCTCTCCGGTAGTAACTGGAAATTATGATGCTAATCGTTCCATTGCATCTGCTCGATTTACTAACCGATCTCGCTCCTCTTTCCAACCATGATGTGGATTTGTTTCCAGGAGAGAGCTGAGGAGGAGAGCCAGAAGTACAAAGAAGGAATGTTCATCCTGGAAAAGGAGCGGATGGAGAAAAAGGGCGGATGATGCTCAAACCAACTCCAGCACACGATCACTTGGACGAACTGTAAACTTTGGAAGGAAGTAAGTAGGAAGTGTCAGTCACTACATCACCTAAGTCTAAATGTAACTAATTGGAGCTACGATTACTTTTGATACTCGATTTTTGCCATGTAAGTAGAGAGTATTGTCAAACTAGTAGTAGGGGGAAGCAAATGTAAGAGCTATAGGGAGTTCCTTTAGCACAGTCAGGGAGAGGGCCATTACTGTTGAAACTGAATTCTGATTCATTTTGGTCCTTTCCTTTCTATATTCTCGATGTAATAGACAAAGTTGGAGCCACAGCCCACAGATACCACCAATTGCTTCTCAGAAAGTGTCGTTTTTCACAATTATTTATGAGTTACTTTGGGGTGGCTCTATGTGGAATGTTGTCAATATGTTGGACCATAGTTTTACATTTTGTTTCTCAAGTGGGGCTGAAATGGGTGGGTCAAAATTCAGCAAACGTGGGTGTTCATTTTGGCTTTCATTTATTATCATATTGTTGAGCATATGAAAATGTGGAGAGCAAAAATTAAATAAATGGTGGTGGGGATTTTGCTATATTTGGGTGGTGAAGGTTTTATTAGTAATAAATAAGGTGTATTGATGCCTTAAATCTAACTAATTTGGATGAAAAATCTCAGGACAAAGAGATGATTATGATTATGGTTAGTTATTTCAAGTGATCAATTTACCTATCTATTATTTATGAATACGTGAAGGATATTAGGTAGGTGGGGTTGGCCACACACTTTGATGATCTTATTCAAGAAAAGTAGAATTGAGATAGATAGATACGGGTGTGATGATATGAACAATGAAGCACGTTTCAATTGCACCACAAAATTGATATCCATCACACAAAATTTCAACCAACATTTGAAAAGGGAGTTGGCATCTTTATCTACCAGATCAACATGTAAAGACCCCTTGCTCTTACGACATTATCATTGAAAACTCATGGTCATTAACAATTAGCAACGAAAAAGTTCGTTATCATATTAGTTATTGAGTAGGGATAAAAATCATAGCGTGGCGAACAATGGAGTGGGCTAGTGGTATTTCTACTCTTCAATCTGGAGGTTGCAAGTTAGAATCCCTTAAGTAAGCACCTTAAATTAAAAACAAACTTATAATAATAAAGACAACTAATGTGATTTAAGGTAGTATATGTCGAATTTTAGTCAAGTAATAGGTCTTGCTCAGATTTGGTCGCATCGAGAAAAATTATAAACTAATTACGACTTGTATAACCTTTCTTACTAATCTAAGTGAGTTGACACATTAATTTATGCCCTCTTAAAAGCTTGTCATCCACTCATTCTTTTAATTTACAAAATTAACCAATTGCTAAAACTACCTAATTCAAACACACCCATATCTAGAGTCAAAAATTACAAACCACACCTATGCTGAGGTTAAAGAAGTACAATAAGAGTTCTTTACCAAAAATAGCTATAAACATTTATTAGGTAGGGCTTATATCTAATAGATGAAATCAAAACACATCCATCTCACCCTAAATTCATTCCAACTTTAAGTCACTTGGAATCCAAATATTGGGTATACCAATAGGAAAACAGAGGAAGAAAATGCTGGATTAGTAACACCATCCACAACCAAAAAAATGGAGAAATGAACATAAATCAGTATTCTGTAAAAATTATTATTTCCAAAGTGGGGAAAGGTAAGCAATAAATGTCCCTCTCAACTAGTGAAAGCCAATCAACTTGTACAAACCCTAATTAAGATTCCAAATCCGCACTTGACAAGGACTAAACAGTTTTCTGCTGCCACATGAAGAACCTGAAGAACCCAATACCCAAAGAAAACAATTAAAAGAGAAGAAAAAAAGGAAAACACCCAAACAAAATACTGTTCTTCATGTTCATATCCTTTTTTTTTTTTTTGGTGGCCTTCTGTATCTGTCAACATTGATACAGTATCTCTGATGTATACCCACAAACTCCTGATTTTACATCTTAAAAGTTCCAGATATTCCCAAGTTGGGAAGGAAAAGCAAAATTAAAAACACTATATATAGTAAAATAAAATGATAACAGAAGAAGAAAAAAAACTCCTCCTCAAAGCTCAAACCTTACACAAGAAATTCCTCCTGACTGAATTGTTCTCTCCTGCTCTGCTCTCTAACCATAATTTTGTTCGATAACCCGATAAATTGATTAGCTCTAATCTCAAGATCCTCCTCACATAAACATCAGGGGGGGGTAAGAAAAATAGGTAAGAAAGTAAACTTCAGGTCCACGAAACATGTAATGTACCACCTTTACTTCAAATGTTGATGATGTACTCTTTCACCTACAGTAGCAATATTTGTTTTCATCCTAAGCAGCAATTCCTGAAACAGATCAATAAAACCAAAGAGAAAACAAGTATTGATCATGCATGGGTTCATAGCCAAAAATTATAAGCAAAAATTCAGCGAACATGCGAGTTTGTATTAAGCGGAAGACGTGAGCTTGCCTCTATCTGACTGTCTATCAGCAATGCCATAACCACCAGCATAAGCTGCAGTATTCTTAGTAATAACATCCGAAGCTGCATTTCCAATTCCAGAATCAAACAACTCTGATGTTGGGGATCTCCAGGAAGAATCTCCATAGAGTGAACTATTCTCGTAAATGTCAGCATAAGCTGCCCTGTCATAACCTCCATTTGCAGCAGCAGCACGCGATGCCACAGGCGCAAAACCAGCCCCACTGTTTCTTCCATATCCTCCCCCTCCTAGTCCAACACTAAAATCTCCTCCACCGACATTGTTATACGCGGGTCCCAAACCACCACCTGGCCCTGCATTAACCGAGGAATCCCAAAGAGCTCCAGAAAAGGAACTGAGCCCCGAGTTCCAACCTCCTCCGTTCGAGTTTGCATTTTGAGAAATGTTATCATTGCTCCACAGAGTACGAGAAACAGAATTCAAGCCCGAGTTGTTTCCTCCTCCATAACCAATGGGGCTCCAGTACCTGTTCGAATTGCCACTGTATGAAGGACTCAACCGGCCGAACCCAATGTTTGACCCAAGGCTTGAGTTGCCACCATAACTTGGACTCAGACATTGCTCGAAATTTAGACCTGATCCATACCCGCTATTGAATGGAGAAAAGCTGCTACGACTTGCAGTGACTGGCATGAATCTACCATCCATTCTAAGTCCAACAGAATTTGGATTGTGTGCCTGAGGGGAGTAGCCATTGAGGAAGCTATTGACTCTGGTAATTCCATAGTTATATCCAGCAAACTGGTTCGACCTGGCCGGACCAGAGGAGGATAGTTCCTTTGGAACAGCCCGTTTCACCTCAACCATTTTGCCATTGAGCTCATGGAATGTCTTGTACAGCACTTTATCCACAGCTTCTTCTGAGTCAAAGGTGATGAACCCGAAGCCTCTTGGCCTTTGAGTGTTGTGGTCGTACATGACAACAACATCAGTGATTGTTCCAAACTGATCGAAGTAATTCTTGAAGTCGGTCTCTGTTACTGTCGATGCTAAACCTCCTACGAATATTTTCTTGGTCCGAGTTGGACCAGGTGATCCGTGAAGGCTGCTGTTGTTGCTGGTTCGGTTCAGAATGTTCTGATCGTCCCTGGGTACGGCTTTCTTCGCCTCAACCTGATGATCAAAATTTCATCAAACAAAAGATGACCACTACTAAATGACCATACTTATCAGCAGACATCAGGCATCAATCTCTAGTACAGCATTCTCATTGGATGATTTTCGTATGTATGCTCGTGACTTGCTTATCTATCTCAGATTGTTCATCAGTCTAGCAAAGATCAAGTGTGCTCAATAGAATCATGATGCATCTAGCTAAAATTCAAACTATAAGGAAGCTAGGAAGACATCTTTAGATATAACAAACACCATTGAATTATGGTAGTCATCACTGACATCACTTTCTCGATTCATATCTATCACTCTCTCCTGTTCTTCATGATCTGGATATTCTAAGATCCCGAATTGTGATGGTCATTCTCAATTCATGCTCTTCAATGCAACCAAACAAGGATCCAATTATCATAATTCACAAGCTTCAAATCCATAATTCAAGTCATATTGATGCCAACCACACTAACTTTCACCACTACCTTCAATTTGTAATGACACAAAAATAGAATCATGAATTTGGACCACAAATTGAGCATCTTGAACTTACATTTCGACCATCTATGAGGTGCTTCTGCATCACAACTCGCTCAGCAACAGCAGGATCAGCAAAGACAACAAAGCCGAAGCCGCGGGCTCGACCTGTGGACCGATCCTTCATAATCACAGCTTCCAGAACGTCCCCAAATACCTGGAAATACTCTCTCAGACGGTCTTCATTGGTGTCCCATGAAATCCCACCAATGAACAGCTTTCCGAGATCCATTTCCAAATCATGAATAAAACCAGTTGTCTCTAAAAATTCAACAATTCTGATGATAATCAAATAACGGGATCTGTTAACCAAAACACACAATTCTCTATAACCAGGAACAATCCAAAAAGCCCAGCAATCCGCATACGAAGAAACGCCAAAATGCTGATAGAAATGAAGAATACCTTGACGCAGAAATCAAGCAGAAAAAGCTCTTTCAGATTTTATATGCAGGGATGTGTCTCTGTACCAAGTGGGTACTCTTGGATTCAATCCAGAAAGGCTTTACGAACTACTAACCGATTGATCGATAACTAGGATGAGGCCAAAAGGAAACCGATCGCCACCCAGTAATCCAAATGAACGGAAGACAAAAGCTTCGACTAAGAAATGTGTGATAACTAATAAGATCCAAAATTTAAGATAGCAATTATCCAAAAGGAGCAGGCTTTTCAGTTTTTTCCTCCTTTTTTCCTTAATGTTTCCCCTTTCTTTCTGTGTGGGGAAGAAGAACACAGAAAAGAACTGGTTGATTGATCAAAGAGAAAGAGAACCCAGATGAGGGGGAGAGTTGAGGGAGAATCTCAAGATCTGAAGGCCTCACGACAACAACAACAAAAGAATAAGAAGAGGGTGTGAGCAGCTAAGGCTCTCTCCCCTTTTTGGTTCTCTTTCTCTTTTCTTTCTTCCCCTTTTTTTCCTTCCTTCCTTCTTCTTCCCTTTCTCTCTTCTTTGATATAAATTTACTGACACTGTTCTGGATTTCAATTGGGATTTGTATTTATATGTGTTAAAATGGAATTGCGATTTGGTATTTACCAGAAAGGGAGGGAGAGAGAGGAGAGGAGATGTGAGGAAGAGAGGGAAGGGGAGAAGGTTTGGTTTTTTTGGTAGAAATAGGCTGTAAGGTCTGATGTGCATTAAAAAATCAATCTAGATTTGGACTACCAATAATATTATACATAATTCCATAAGTTAAGCTAGAGTTCTAGAAAATGAATAATATACACACATAAAAATGTAAGTGATTTTGATAACATGATTTTTCTATCGAATAATATGAATAAGATAACATATATTATTGAAAATATAGCCATTGATGAATTCTTTTGAAACCCTTAATGAGATGGTCGTACGCCCGAGAAAGCCAATGAAAGATAGGACGATGCCAGGCTTTACACACCCCTGCCTGTGGGAAAATGGGGACAGAGCGGGATAATTCTCTCCATATTTTCTCCTTTGATCATGCTGCCTACACATCGAATATGGAGAATGGTAGACAGAGTCGTCAATGTTAACACCAACAAACCCTGTGTATGGAATCTTTCGGTGAATGCAAATTTGCATATCAACCCGTCCACCTTGTGCTCTTGCTCAGTAGTCGTGCAAACATGTTGACTCAATATGCTAATAAGATGGCCAATCAATACAATGATTTCAAATTTGTTATCAAAGTTTCGTTTTAGTACTTCCACAACGTCCAACAAAGTAATACAAATGTGGTAGGATCGGTGAAATTATTTATGAAAGATAGTATTGTATCTAATTCTTAATATTGTCTCAAAAGAATATAGCATCAGGCTCATATTGCAGTGACATTTGACCCTATAAAAGCCAAGTTATTTGTCCCTCCATTTGACTCTAGACCATAGCTCCCCTAACTCCATGTAATATAATTTCATAACCTAAAAATTGAAACATCTTTAATCATCCCGAGTTTTCATGTGATCGAATTTTGTAACACACTTGACAAGTACATAAAACCTTTTTGTCCTGAAAGTGATAAACAAATAAATAATATTGAAGGGAATAAATTAAAGATAAAGAGATGTGTGAGAGACAGAAGGGATCACTTATTCACTTGTTCTCCCCCACTAATCCAACCCATAACCCCAACAAGCTCTCTGTAAATTATACACACAAAAAAAATTACAAATGAAATAATTTTTGGAATCAATAATGAAAATATTATTGTGTTATTATGTGTATGACCCATTGGTCCAATTTGCATTTAAAATGTATGCAACAACAATTTTTTCTGTAATAAATTTATGCAACATTTGTGTAAACTAGTTTAAAATGGGTTAAAATCGAATCAAATCTGTATAGGACTAAATTGAAAGTGGAGGAAAAAAAAGAGAATGATCATCATTTGATTTATCATCGCCAATCCATATTTGTTTCCACTCGATCCCATATTTCTTCGTACTATTTCAAGAACGATTGAGTCAACTCAAAATCGGTTGACGCGGAAACTAGAGAATCTAAATCCGCATGAAACATAAATGAGATTAAAACACCAATCTCGATTTGATTGAATCTAAATGTTTGTCAATTTTCTCAAATTTCAAAATCAACCATACTTCTAATCTAATTCTATGACAACAACATTCACTTGGTTACAGACAACATCCGACTTTCTTCTTACGGATTTTCCTCTCTAACCAATTACAAATGAGAGAAATATCTTGATCTCGAACCACAATATTTATCACTATTATATAATCATCATGTTTTTTCATCCACACCCAGCCTCTCTCTCCAATCTTCATTTACTTTTAATCCTTCGATTGAGTGAACCAACACAAGTAAAACTATTCAATCAAATGAGGTGAATTCTTTTGGATTGGGATGAAAGATTTTGATTGATGGGATGAAAAAAATGGGTGGCAAATGGTGAGAACGATGTTAGAGCAAATGTGGATAGAAGATAGATAGATTGGAATTGGATAGATAATACTATGCCTATGTGACCTTATTCGGACCACACTTTTGCCGCATATATATTTTGATTGCCTTTTCATTATTTGCCCCTTCTTTATGTGTCTTTGTCTTGTAATACGGTATGGGTGAAAAGGGTTTGTACGTGAACATCAATCAAGCTTTCACCTTTTCTACGTTTAGCAAATGGTGAAACTTCAACAACCTAGACGTAAAAATCAAATGAAATTTTTATGCTATACAAGCCAAGTTAGTTATCCTTCCATGGTGCAAGTAATAAAGTATTGGAAGATGGCTCCATTGAATGATACATCTTAACCGTCACTTATCTTATCATATAGATATCATTATCATCGAATACTGAGACAAATATGGATATATGGTTCGATATGACAAAAATTATCAATGATAAACAAATGATCAAATACTCCATATAAGAGACTGAGTTGTAATGTTTTATGTGCCATCAAGTAGGAGAGCCTTCTTAGCTAGCTAGCTAGCCATGGAAACATATTCAAAATGAACAAACTGCAAGAGTGCCTGTGATTTGAGCAAGATTACAATGAGAATGTAGTCCTCACATCATATGTTAGCCTCGTGTCCCCCTGGGCTACGATGAAGAACATTGGCATATATACTTAACGTTAATGTGGTCTAAACACGTACAATACAATATCCAAATTAGGATGATGTAACTACGAAAATGATTTATTGCGACAATTGTACCTCATTCGTCGCTTTTTTCATATAATAACCATACTCAATAGTCTTTAGGAATTACACTCTAGTCTGTGATAGAGAGGATACTATTAATAGCCTATCATCTTACTACTTATGAGTGTCCGTTTACTACATGATTCACATTTTGTAACCTAAAAAAATTAAATACCGAGGGAAGCTACAACCCACCAATCTTCTTTGCATTATATTAGGTAGTCAATCAAATGTAAACTCTCCATTGCATAAGCAATTGACCTCTTTGCTAATTTTCTAATTTGAAAAATATGCAAAAGACTTGTATATATATTTTGATTGATTACGACATATGAGAGCACAGCATGATTTTACTCCCTTCTTCATGCCTTTCCCAAGTTCCAATTCTCATGTGAGAAAAACAATAAACAAATTATTATACTATTATTTGGTATCAAAATTTTAAACATATGGATTAGCTTTCCCACAAGCCAGCTAAGAATGGAAAGGCTCCAATCTATAATTGGTATAGCTGTATAAAGGTGGTGGTGGTAGTGGGGAATCATCATCATCATCAACACACATATATATACATACATAAACTAACTTAATTATATATACAGACTATTTCTTATTAAATAGAATGATAAATTGTAGACCCTCCATTAGAAATGCCAATGTTTGATGCCATTTGGTTGGCTTAAACAACTCCACATACAAAGGGGAAAAAATTATCTTGTTTCAAGGTAATTTCCACGTATTGTCATTCATGTACATATTTATATATCTTGATAATGTCAAGTTTTAAGGCTTAGTAATTTTTATCACATTGTGATAACGGATGAAAGTTTTGTCAAATATTTTCGCCTTTTCTGTGATCGCTGAATTGTATTGTCAAACTAATTTCACGAATCTTTGAAAATTCTATGTCATTATACAATCTATGCTTGATTTAAATATCGTTCTCCAATTATTGCTCATATCAATAAATTACATAACGAACCAACTAGTAGGTATTAAGGATCGAGTTTAATGGCTCATTCCTAATCCTCTACTTACTATAAAACACTTTATTCTTTGTCTAGGTATATGTTTAGTAAATTAATGATGCAAAACACATGCATGATTGGGGTCACATGAATCATGATAATTATTATCCATAATTTTGCCTTTTGTTTTGCTGCCTGGACTCCCACTACCCCCTCTCTTTTTTTCCCTAACAATTTTATAATTATTCCTTCCTCTTTTAGTTTGAATTTGAGTTTTTATTACCATATCAACTAATGCCGAACACATGGAAATTGATCAGGTTCATATTGATTCACTCTCTAATAAATGAGTTGAGCCCTTAAAAAATCAAATAATTTCACTTGTTCGATTTGAGAATAAAATTTATTAGCGAATTATGTTAATGATGTTCATGAATCATTAGCAGATCTAATACCAATAAGCTAATTATATAACAAACTTAATTTCAATGTCAAATCTCATAACAAACTAAACCAAAATAATTTAAAATTTCAATTCAATTCGACTCGATTATAATAATCTTAAGGAAACAAGAACAACAACAGAAGACAAAGTGGAGAGAATAAATTGTGCGTAAAAGTCAAAACATTTGCACCTTTAGGCCGTGATTTCTGATTTCTCAACGAATAGAACAAAGTACAGCATTAGGTTAGCTGTCAACAAAATGAGCGGCCGTGATTGAATCAAGCTTTGCGAGTGCATCTGCTTTGCTATAGATTCGCTAACAGGTGATCAAGCATAATAGCCGAGGGTGGGTGGGTGGGTTGGGTTCATTTTTTGCGGGAAAATTTCCCAGCTTTCTCTTCCGTCGAAGATGAACAGTAAATCCCTTTCTCTAAAACCCTAATTTTTAGACAAACGGATTGAATGCCAAGTCCATCTCTTTCTCTGAATAAACCCTTTCGGCTTTCGCCCAGCAAATCCCATTATTCCCCCTCTTTTGTGGTTTGCTAGATGTTTGCTGTTTCGAGAATAAAGGCTCTGCTTCCCCTTCAAATTTCCCATCCCATTGCGCCGGCGTTGCCTCACGCTGCCGCCTTCTTCTTCGCTGCTCCCAAGTCGGCCCTTTTTTCTATTTATCCCGCAGTTAATCAGTTCCCTGCTTCTCCATCTCGCACACCCATCATGGGTTCATCTGGGCCGATGTTTTCTCGTGTTCAAAATCGGAACTTTCGGCCGGCGGAGGCTGCGGGGGATTTGACGACGTCCTACCCCTCCGGCGAAATCCACGACATTGTGGATCCGATGTTCGCCGGCAAGACCACCAGTCTCCTCCGACGTATTCAGTCCGAAAGCGAGAATGGCAGGTCCGATCTCCTACTCCAACTCACCTTCGACTACTTTTGTTTTCCTGTTCGTTTTCCATTGTTCTGTTTTGTTGTTGTTATATTTGGTTATGGGATTTGGATAATTTTGAAGAGGCTACGCGGTTCGATTCAAATGAATTAGCTTCTGAGCAATTTGTCTTATTTCCGACTGTTTTGGAACCCAATTATAAATAGTGGAAGTTACCAGCTTTCAGGTTAGAAATTGGCTCCAGTTGGATAGAACTTTTCAGGATCTTTGTTTCTCGGGGAGATTGAATGAAGCTGTGAGCCTCTTGTGGCGTACTGAATCACCCGTGGACGATAGAACCTATTCGCTCATGTTGAAAGAATGCATTCTCACAAGTCGGTATAAAACCGGGAGAAGAATCCATTCACAGATGCTCGTTGTTGGCCATCTTCCCACTGAATATCTCAAGACCAAGCTTTTGATCTTCTATGGAAAATGTGGAGACCTAAGAACTGCACTTGTGATTTTCAACAAGCTAATTGACAAAACTCTAATCTCCTGGAATGCCATTATCTCAGGCTATGTGCAGAATGGCCTTGAACTAGTGGGGCTCAGTCTTTACGCCAAAATGAGACAAATCGGCTTGACGCCTGACCCTTACACGTTTTCTTCCTTGTATAGAGCCTGTGGTACTCTAGTCTTGTTGGAACTTGGGAAGCAAGCTCACGGCGTCATGATCAAGTGCAATGTTGAAGATAATGTGGTTGTCAATAGTGCCCTTATCGATATGTACTTCAAGTGCAGTGACCTAGTTGATGGGCAGAAGGTGTTCAATGAAATGCCTAATAGGAATGTGGTGACCTGGACGTCTCTGATCTCGGGGTATGGTCAGCATGGAAGAGTTGAAGAAGTTTTGGAATTGTTTAGTAGGATGAAGGAAGAAGGGTTTCGGCCAGATCAAGTCACTTTTCTTGCTGTGTTATCTGCTTGTGGTCATGGAGGATTGATCGATCAAGGTTGGTATTACTTCTCATCGATGAAGGATTATGGGATTGAGCCAAGATGGAAGCACTATGCTGCCATGGTTGATCTCTTGGGTCGAGCGGGAAAACTCCAAGAAGCTTATGATTTTGTTCTGAGCTCTCCACTTAAGGACCATTCGGACACATGGGGTGCTTTGCTTGGTGCTTGTAGGATTCATGGAGATATGGATCTGGCATCGATTGCAGCTACAAAGTTCTTAGAGTTAGAACCGGGAAACGCGGGTAAATATGTGGTATTATCGAATACATATGCGACTCGTGGGTTCTGGGACTGTGTCAAAGATATCAGGGGGGTGATGAGAGAGCTTGATATTATGAAAGAGCCTGCTTATAGCTGGATTGAGATTCAGGGGGAGGTTCATGTGTTCTCAACACGTGATATATCTCATAGAAAGTCAGAGGAGATACGGAGTCTCATTGTTGAGATGACGAGCATTTTAAAGGCTGATGTCTGTGATTTGGAGATTGATGAGCATTAGATCATGATGACGTTTGAAGTTGAGTTGTCCTGAAATTATCTGAGTTGAGTTATCCCTAAAGTATTCTAGTCATGGGAATCGAGATGCTTGATTTACTTTGTTAAATGAATTGATTGTTCTTGTGTCTATGTTTTGCAGAAGTGTGGCTGTTGTAAAATCGGACAAGGATACAAGATATGGGTTGGACTCAATTGTAACACATGACAGTCTGAAATTGCCCTGCTGGTCATTGCCCAAATTGTCGATGTTCAGACAAAGTCTTGGTGTTGATGCTTACAACCAGGTTAGAGAATTTGGACGTTGGATACCATTCTCAGCAGTATGCTGGTATATAGATCTCAGTTTTACCATTCTAAACGCAACGTATTTGTGACAGCTGGATGTAATTGGGATTGATGAAGCTCAATTCTTCGGAGACTTGTATGATTTCTGCCGCGAAGCTGCTGATCAGGATGGTAAAACTGTAATAGTAGCTGGCTTAGATGGTGATTACATGAGGTAACACTTGAGAAGCTTTACTCTTTCAAACTTGCGATTGTATAACATGTGCCTCTGGTTTCATAAACAACCGCCCATTGTTAACACAGGAGTTTCAGTGCTGTTCTCGACATAATCCCACTTGCTGATTCCGTGACCAAGCTGACAGCTCGCTGTGAGCTCTGTGGTAAGCGTGCTTTCTTCACGTTGCGGAAGACGGATGAAACGAAGGTGGAGCTGATTGCTGGGGCTGACGTTTACATGCCGGTTTGCCGGCAGCATTATGTCAGTGGACAAGCAGTTGTTGAAGCTACAAGAGCTGTTGTAGAAGAGTCGCCCCAAAAGGTGCAGATAGGCTAGGTTAGCAGGGCTATAAACTTATCATATCCCTTTGTGATGGGGAAATATATCGGTTTGCGGAAAAATCAAACCTTGTCAATTACAAATGGCAAGGCAGTCTGTACATATTAGTTGGCTCTTTCTCCCTAGAACTTGCACCAACTTAGAAGCGGGAGGAGTTGTAGTTGTGATGGTTTCCTTTTTCCTTGGCCAATCTCAAGAGCACGAGTAAAAACAATGAGTTCTAGTTAATTCAAGGGAATCAGATGATTAAAAAGTAAAGAACTTTGCTGTGTCCCATTTGTTTACAAGATGAATCTTCACTGAAGTTTGCTTTGAAGTTATAGTTTAGGACCATGTAACAACTTGTAGTTGTTGCCTTGTTGGGGACCAGCATGTGAAAACCAGAAAAGATGAGGGACTAAACCGAGCAAAGTGTTAGTGTCCCGTGTGGCCGTATCCCGCTCCTCAAACGACTAAACGACACCGTTTCAAAGCAAAGACTACCGCCGGTTAACAGTCGTTTTTCGATGCGCGCGGTCTCCGGTTCCAGTGGGTTTAACCGGGCCTTGCTTTTTTACTAGCAAAACTGCTCCACAGAGATAAGAGCAGTTGAATTTGCTGCTGCTCGGAGAAGAAGAGAGAAGCTTCAAGGATCGTCGGAGGAGCCGTGAGCTATCACCGGCCGCCGCTTCTGCAGCTGAATTTGCTGATAAATGGTTGGTGAGGTCGCCGCTTCCATTGGGTCGCTGTATCTTTGATTTTTATTTTTTAAAGTTCGCTGCTTTTTTTTGGGTCTCCTTGTCAATTGAGACCTTCTTCTTTCAATTGCAGACTAATGTCCAGAGGGTCAAACCGAAAGCTTGTTTCCCGTGCAACCATTCACCTGAAAGTCTTTCCCAGAACCCCATCTATAATCCTTCCCCCGCCCGCCTCCCATCGTTATTTCTCCGATTCACAGTTGGAGCTCAAGGGTTCAAACGAGGAAAATGAATGGGAAAGATTGCTTAAACCATTTGACCTCAAAGAGCTTCGAAGGACTCTCAGTAATAGAGTCACCCCATTTCAGCTCTGCAAGCTGCTTCATTTGCCTCTCGATGTCTCCATTTCCATGGAGCTTTTCAACCGGGTGGGCACTCAGAAGGGCTACATGCACACATTTGATGTATACTATGCTTTAATCGATAAGCTTGGTGGTTCGAAGGACTTCAAATCTATTGAAAAGTTATTGGTGCAAATGAAGGAGGAAGGGATTGTCTTCAGGGAGTCTTTGTTCATCATGATCATGAAGCATTATGGCAGAGCTGGTTTCCCTGGGCAAGCCACTAGATTATTGTTAGATATGAAGAATGTCTATTGCTGTCACGTCACATTCAAATCTTACAACGTAGTCCTCGAGATACTCGTCGCTGGTAACTGTCCTGTTGTCGCGTCGAATGTTTTTTATGATATGTTGAGTCGAGGCATCTCGCCGAATGTTTACACATTTGGAGTGGTGATGAAGGCTCTCTGTATGGTCAATGAAGTGGACAATGCTTGTTCTCTGCTTAGAGACATGACCAAGCATGGATGTGTACCAAACTCTATTGTTTACCAGACGTTGATACATGCTCTATCGAAGAGGGATCAAGTTGATGAGGCTCTGAAGCTCTTGGAAGAGATGTTCCTCATGGGCTGTAGACCTGATGTGGATACGTTTAATGATGTTGTTTATGGGTTATGTAGGGCCGAGAGAATCCACGAGGGTGCTAAGTTGATTGATCGGATGGTTCTGCGTGGGTTTATCCCGAATGGAGTGACGTATGGATACCTAATGGATGGTTTGTGTAGATTGGGAAAAGTAAATGAGGCAGTTGCCTTACTGAAAGAAGTACCGAGCCCTAGTGTTGTCCACTTCAATATCGTTATCAATGGGTATGTGAAGAGTGGTAGACTCGATGAAGCTAAGGAAATTCTCTGTGGAAAGATGATAAACAGTGGATTTATCCCTGACCTCTTCACATTCAACATACTTATACACGGGCTTAGCAGGAAGGGGTTGTTTGGTTCCGCTCTCGAGATTGTTGATGAAATGGGTCGGAAAGGTGTTGAACCAAATGTGAACACGTTCACGGCTTTGATTGATGGTTTCTGTAAGAAAGGTAAGATTGAGGAAGCTAGCCGGATCTATGAAGAGATGTCTGCCAAGGGACTTGGTCTGAATACACTGGGATACAACACTGTCCTCCATGCTTTATGCAAATGTGGGAATATGGCTGAAGCTATGCAGATTTTTGGTGAAATGTCGAGCAAAGGATGCAAGCCTGACATATTTACCTTCAACACTCTAATCTTTGGTCTTTGCAAGGCCAATATTATGGAGGATGCCTTGAGACTCTTTCATGATATGGTGTTAGAAGGTGTGATTGCAGATAGTGTTACTTACAATACTCTAATTCACGCTTTCCTGAGGCGGGATGATATCCAGGAAGCGATCAAGCTTATGAACGACATGGTTTTTCGAGGGTGCGCTTTGAATGAGACAACTTACAATGGTTTAATACGTGCACTATGTAAAGCTGGGGCTGTGGAGAAAGGGTTAGGCTTGTTTGATGAAATGATCAGGAAGGGTTTAGTTCCCAGTAATATTTCAGTTAACATAGTGATCAATGGCCTGTGCAGAGCTGGTCAGATGAACAATGCGATGGAGCTTTTGCGAGACATGATTCATCGAGGTATTGAACCTGACATCGTCACCTATAACAGCCTGATTAACGGTTTCTGCAAGATGGGACGTGTCGACGAGGCATTGAATATTTTCCGCAAACTGGTGATTGAAGGCATACAACCCGATGCTGTGACTTATAACACTTTGATTTGCTGGCACTGCCGAAAGGGAATGGTCGACGATGCTTATTCACTTCTGGATAGAGGTGTCGAGAATAAGTTTATACCAAATCAAGTGACATGGAACATCTTAGTCCATAATATTGTTAAGGATGGTGGAAGAGAGAGTCTGGTATTTTGTTTGCACCAAATCATGTGATGAGACGTGGAATATCTTGGTCCACAATATTGTTCTGGATGGTGGAAGAGATAATCTGGTACATTGAGGCACATGCTTAGTTTTAGCTTCCCTGAAATGGCAATCAGGTTAGCCTGGCCCTGCCGGAAGGTAATGCTTTATTCAAGCTCCTTGAATTCTGCTCTGATACCCAAATGGATATTCGAACCTGGCCTGTTTTGTTTTGTTCAGAACATCACATTGTTTCATGAAATATCATCCAACAGACTAGGGTAGAATCTTCCTTCCAATAGGTTTCTGGTGTTATTTTTTCATTATGATTATGGAGATAGAGCTCGATCTAATGGGTTAACAACTTAACATGCATGTTGTTTCTCCCAAACAGGTCAAAATTGCTTAGGTGGCTGATCAAGTGGCTTCATAAGTCTCCAATGCTTGCAGTTTGAATTGACAGGTTATATTGCAGTGCCCATTGACCACCCTTCAATCACCTCAGCATGAGATTTGCTGTAACATTCTCTTTACTCCACCCCAAACTTGACAATGTCTTTACTCCAAGATTGCCAAATTAATTATATGGTTGGACTGCTGAGTGAAATTCGGTTAAGATCGGGACAGAGTCCGGATGGATATCCTTGTGTTCATCACTTGAACTACTGCAGCAAGCAATAGATACAGACTCAACCTGTTCTTTGACCATATGTTGTGAGACTCTCCCAGGATCCTTGTGGTAATTATTGATGATTCACTCAAGCCTTTTTTGTTTTTCTTTTGTTTGTTGAGTGCAGCAGTTTGGGGTTGTCCAGTTGTCCTGGTTCAGCTTTTCCTGCTCATTCTCTTTACGCTTGGATGATTCCTCGTGATTCCTGCTGTTTCTTACTTTCTTTCGTTGTGTTAGACTCTTTTTTCTTTGCCTAATATTGGTTTTCCATCCTGATAAAAAGAAAAAAAACACTGATACTTGTTCTTCGAAATGTTCAGGATGTACGCTGCGCAGAATGTGGAGATTGCCTACCCGCAGAGAAAGTACTACATAAAGCTGGCAATGTAATAACCAGGAGGCATCCATCAAATATCGAAATGAGTTACTGTCATTGTGATGCGTCGGTCATTTGGGGTATCTTAAGTAGATACACTGTTCTTCTTTATACTACAGTTTATGATTGAATTCGTTGTCTATAATTTTATTTTAAGGAATGCAGACTACATTTGTTGTAATTTAGCAGACTGAACAATGGCAGAAATTGCTGAATGAGGTATTCCAGAAGGCACATAACAAAATACATCTTTAATCAAAGTTGATACATTAGCTGAATCGAACATGATAAAATCACACATTACACAGTTGAGCAATATCTCAACTATACCGGAGTACATAATCTGTTCCTACCACTGATACAATCTAAACTCGTCAATAAAAGATCTTCAATATCGGGTCATATATACCATTAACCGCATAATCTGCAAAACAAAAACAGACTGACAATGAAATAACGATGAGTCTCCTACTCCTCACCATTTAATGCCAAGAAATATTTGATATCAACGATGAGGAAATCTTGTCTTCCCATCATAACATTAAGAGATGAACAAGTGAAAGGAGACATATCATTGAACTCTTGAGTTTCCAACTGCTTTAACTAAAGAGCAAGTCGCAAATCAATAAACAAGTGAAAGTTTCAAACTTGATAACAATGCCTCAGAATTGCAGAATTGACAGCAAGGCCCCTTCGAAGGGCCATTCAGTCCCGAAAGATGGTGTTCTTTTATAACAGATTTCCTCACAGGCATTCATTCATTCACACAAGGAAAGGAGAGATTTTCAGCGAAAAACTAGAGAAGGGTTGTAAGAATGTTTGTCTCATGCCTAGTCCCAGTAGGTAAAGGCGGCGACGCCGCTCCAAAAGGTCCATGAGAATGAGACTAGACCCTCAAAAGTTCCCCGCCCGGCGGAGATACTCCGGTGAAGGAGCACCTCAACGCTAGGCGGAGAGGGGGGCATCGATATTCGACGTTTACTCCGGATTTTACAAGCATTCGACTTTCGTCGGCTTGCTCCGAATTTAAGAGCAAAGCACGTCGGAATTTGCAGAAACAGAGATATCAGTTACAGGAAATCAAGAGGAAGAACAAGAAGAAAAAGATGGAGAGATCTGATATGGGCGACGGTGATGGAGAGGAATACAGAGGAGATGGTGGCTTTTATATACAGCGTGAGCCGTGAGAGAATTGGCAGAGGGAAAGGATATTGCCGCCGACTTGCGGGAAAAGGGTTGTTTTCGCGGCAGCTGTTAGGGTTTTCTTGCAAGATGGGCCGGGAGCTAGACTTAATTGTTAGTTTGGGCCGAGCGTGGTGATTGTCGGTACACTAAGGGCCCAACAAAAGAAAGAAGTCCGTAAATAAAAAAGTTGCTTTCATTGAGAGTTGAACTCAAGACCTCCCGCTTACTAAACGGGTGCTCTAACCAACTGAGCTATGAAAGCTTTGTTGTTTAACTTTTCTCCTAAGATTTTCATAACGTGTTATTGTAGATTTAAATTTACGATTTACCACATGCATAAATGTGATTTGAGGCGCTCATCTTGTATGAAGATGTTGGGTGTGTGGTCAATTAAGAGATATCCATGATACAGCGAAGTCTATTCAATGTCGCCTCGTCATTAGGAGATCTCCCTCATGTAGGTCTTTAGGTACGTGTATCATTAGATACTAGTCACGTGCCCGGCCCGTTGGCCGGATTCGTTTATAAATCATATCAGGCTGTGGTCGAATGAATTTTTTAAACTATGAACTCTCCCGTAGATTTGTCCCGATCGTAAAATTTGAGGATTTAGGACAATGAGAGACGAATTTATCCTTATTGTAAGGAATCACACTTTCATATTTCATATGGATTTTACCTCTTCCGCGACCAAGTGGGGAAGTAACAAATCATTCTTGTCTCCTATCTCAAAATTAAAAAAAAAGAAGAAATAAATTCGAAAATGTAAAAGAGAACAGAACTTCAAGAGGCTTCTCCACCACACAGTTTACCCAGTTCAAGAACTTTGAGCTGAAACTCCATTGTGCTGTGCAGACTGCAGAGGAAGTGCACGACTATGCAGTCCAAAAAAAAGGCAATGTTTGAAGTCCCTACTTGAACCAATCATTGCATCGAAAAAGACTTTTACCGCAGTCAATTTACATAGTATTTTGGATGCACGGGGAACGGGCGGACGTTGAAGGGTAGGGATTTGAGCGAGGTCAGGAACTCCATTCTTCGGATGACTGGTTTTCTCGAAACTTAAAAACTACTTGGTTGGAAGAAGATGGGAGGATGTTGGATCACTTCCCCAGCCCGGCCCGGCCCAGCCTAAAATTTTCTTTGTAGGTGATTGTTGGCCCAAATTTCACTCTCGGCGTGAAACTGTGGACTGGTAATTACAAATATTCAATACCCAGGGGGGAAAAGGGGTAAATTATTATGAACAATATTCAGATTGCCAGGCTGTTTATTGGAATATATTGTTCGTGGTGTTTGTCAAAAATGACAAACCAAAAGTGATCGGTTTTCGGGTTGGAAGGACCTATTCGAACTGAAGAAACGTCGGAGCAGGAAGCAAAAAGAGAATAAAATAGTTCAACCGACATCCTCTTTAATTATAAATATAAGAAGAGAATAAAATAGTTTAACCGACATCCTGACCGACTAAATCCTCATACGAAAAATGAAAGAAAAACCACATGAAAGGGAACCGACTCCTAAAATTGTTTTAAAAGAATCCTTCTATTTACTCCTCATCGTCGTAGACAACTCCATGTTTCCGTTTTTTCTGGTTCTTTTCACTTCCTGCTCCATCGACAACATCAGTACGTCCATCCATAGTAGTTGCTTTGTCGCCATTGGTGTCGCATTGTGCTCCATTAAATGTAGAGACCTCCTTCTCTTGCATTTGGGGAATTTCTTCCTCATTTTTCTGCATTATATTTAGCACTTATTTTAGGTATTATAATTATTGTGCAAGTAAAACTAAATTATCATATCGTATAATATTTACCTCCGACTCATTAGCAATATCTTGCTTTTTCTCAGCACCATCAACGGCAGCGAGTACACCATTAGCAGGTTCTACTTTTTCCTCCTGCAATTGCTTGTGATTATAATAATGAATGAAAGTTCTCCTAATATATATCTATATAGCAGTAATAGAATTATATACATATCAAAATAAAACTGACGTAATGGAATGTGCATGGTAATAATATTAAGTAAACAGAAGTTCCAGTAATAGAAATTAACATGCATGGAATCATATACAAAGCAAAATTAACGTGACCAAATGAAGCTCAAGTAATGCAGAGTGCATGGTAATTATGAATCAATAGATAGAAGTTCCAGTGATAGATATAATTTTCATAGAATCACATTCATTACTTGTACATACCTCGATCAATATTGGGAGATCATTTGAGTTGGAGTTTTCCTCATCCTTCTCTATCTTGATAATTGTGTATTCGCTTGTAGGGTTAGCGATGTTGTAACCTGTGAGCTTGATGAAGAACTTCAACTTCATCCCTTCAATTTGTAAGAGATGGGCCGGTGGTGGTCCTCTCATTTGATCGTTGTCTTGGAAAAGTTTTTCAGCAGATATGCGAAAAAATCGATCGGCAACTCGATCCATAATAACAAAGTCAGCTGCATTTGTTGTGTCCGCAGCTCGGATGTGGATCCTGAATCTATGATTATAATGATGCGATTGAAGAAGAAGAAAAATCGTAGGAGTGGTGAGGTCGTTGAATTAATATATGTAAGCCAAAAATAAATGATTAAAAAGCATGTTGCATCAAATTAAATTATCAACCACGTTGCAATATCTATGAAATTAAAAAAGGTACATAAACTATGTCGTAGTTAATCATGTATCCAACCACGTTAGCAATATATCAAGGAATTAAATACATGAAAGTAAAATTGACATTAAACAATCATCGAATTACCGGGCTGTAGTGGTCTTTAATGTTGTCATACAATTCCCACAGAAGTACTCATTAGAATCTTCTTCGAGTTTTTGTGGACACTTTTGACAGCCAGCATAGCACCACCCATTCTTAACCTTCAGAACTTTGCATATGACAGAATAAATATTTCCCTGCATTTTATATGTAGTGTTAGCAATTGATAATGAGTAGGTTGTTGAATTGAAACTGGTACTGACCTCCTCTCCCTCGTTCATCTTCAATATATTAAGATCATCTATTGTTTTCAGCGGAACTATCTTTTGCTGTTTTTCTATTTCCTTCACTGGCGGAGCTGGCGGATCACCCCCACTGTATTCAGCAAAAGGGTAGGTAATTAATGTCTTAATACGTTATAAGCTTGTAACTTAAAATGCACATCAATACGATGACAAATATGTCGCGAGTTTTACCTTGGTGCAAAATTAATGACTTCAGGAATTTTTGGATCAGCCAGCAGTAAGGTCGCTCCGCTTGAGGAGAATGTATTCTCACCTGCAAAAGTTATGGGAAGTTTATTAAGGGCATATTTTATATGAATTATATTAATTGATATGAGAGTAATTAAATTGTGTGTTTACCATTGTAAGCAACGATGTATAATGATGTAATGACCAGGATGATAGGACGATCACCAGCACTTGCAAGAATGGAATTAAATTGGGTGACTATCCTACCAAAGATAGTTACCTTGACAACCAATCCCCTGTACCCGAATTATGTATTAGATTTGCACTTAGAAATAAAGTAATGTATGTTATTTGAATTTTGAAACGAAAAGGTAAGAGAAATACATACTCTGGAAGTTTCAAGTGTAGCTCTTTGCGGGTAACTTTTCCAGTCAGTTTAGTGCTTGTAAGCAAAGGAGAATACCGAGTAAGTTGGCCAACAACATCTGTCGAATGCAAACATTTGAAAGTTAGTTATTTTTGTTGCAAAAGCATAAGGTTGTAATTTGCATTGAGAATGGTATGTTGTACCTGATAGGTATTTCCTTTGGTTGCACTTCTTGGCAATTTCATCATGTTTGATGAAATTGAACTTGTAAGCAGGTATGGATGGAATGTCATCGCAAGCATGGGCCTCGGTATTTGGCAGGAACTTGATGACGAATCTGTTTGAAATTGGCCTGTAGTCTCCCGTTGTCATAGCGACCTTAAAGTTCCTGATAGTGTACACTCTCTGGTCTCGAAAGAGGGGCTGGAAGTCATTGATTTGGACTTTGGGAATTTGCACCCAAATATCATTGCCCTGCATAAGTTAATTCAACATATATATTAATAATCATATTGTGGAGCGTTAATCATGAAATTTGAATTGACATGGATGTTTGTTTCTCTACCTTTGAGTCGATGACTATCATATCCAGGCGAAGAACAGCATCGGTGTTGAGATTGATTGCCAGCCACTTCCTCGAAATGCGACATTGGATAGTCCAGTCCGTCTTTTGAGTTGTCAGATCGGATATGAGTTGGGATTGCATATTGACTAACCTTCAATAAAGCAATAAATTTGAAAAGTCTAACTCATAAATGTAATAAGCACAATCATAATGTAGGCAATTTAGAATTTGAATATCATAGAAAACAATATTAGCATATATAGTAATGTATATTATTTACCTATATCTGCGGCAAATACATAGTATGTTTGTACGGATTAGCGAATAGGGAAAAGAATAAGGTATGCAAATACATAGTAAACTAATAATTAATGAAGGAATGTAAAAACTGCGGGGATTGGAGAAGGCGATTATCGTACCGGTATACTTCAGCTATGATGCGAGCGATGCAGATGAATTGGCTTGAATTGCTTCTGTTCTAAAGAAAGGTTGGTCGTGATCGTGATGGGTGGAAGTAGCAGGTAGCTACAGCCCTTTATATAATACTTGGGTGAGAGATCTCTGCCATTATTTCCGTGGCAGTAGATGAATTGAATTGGGATTTAGTAATTTTTTATTTGGACTCCTATTTAATAAAGTAATCTCTACTAACTGGGCAGGAATTGAATTGGAATTTAATAATGTTTTAACTGTTCTGGAACTTCGTGTTGTCTTGGATTAGTGTTTAGAGAATTGGTAATAAATTTTTATTCTTTATAGGACGTTCTTCTTATTCCGACGAAATTGGGGCTTGTATTTATTGTTTTGGAAGTCGGTACACGCACATACCTTGTTGGACTGGGATTTTAATTTGAATATAAAATAAAGGAATAATAATGTAGTAAACACCAAACGTAATAACAATGATGTAATTTTATTGCGAATTTCACGGTGGGTGTGGCAGTGTAGGAATGCAATTGCAATTTATTGTCATTTTATTTTGTATCAGGCAATTAATTAATTCAATTATATGGGATGCCCAATAAAATAGGTTAGGATTTTGAGTTTTGGTAAATGCACGTAACTTGATAGAGTAGGATTA